TTAAAATTAAATCAAAATATGACTGAACCGCACAAGTGTACATAATATCGGAGATATCTGATGGCATCTGTAATATGCAGATGCAGCTTTTGCTACAATATTGGTCCATTTCAATCAATATTGTTGTTATCTTACCGTGAAAATATTGGGATCCCAATATCCAATATTTAGGACATAATGCGCTTCCTTTGTAATGAACAAATAAAAATATATCACAGAAGACAAACGAAAAGAAATAATAGTGAAGAAAACACCAAAACGTTTGTATGGATTAAAACAAGCGCAAATGACTGTCGTTTAATTCCCCGAACATGATTAGAAATTTCAATTTAAGATAAATCACCTGATAAACACATCTTCGTATATCTACGGTTCCAAAGGATAGAGCTATGTACCCTTTCACCGCGCGGTGTTTCTGGAGAACGCTCGATCTCCGGGGTTTCTTCAATTTGATTTCAGGAAAACGACCAATAAAATAAATAATACCAACGTCAATATAAAAATACCCGCACCCCCTCCCCCGCCTCCAAACAAAAATCAAAACAAACCACCATTTCTTTAATCACTTCAAATCTATGGGGTATATCAAAACTAAAACCTTTCCATATGGAACCTATAAACCCCCTGTATCAAAAAACTTAGTGTGTGGTTTTTGATTCTTTTCAAAGATGTTTGTGGGTCTACAGTCATAACTAAAACTTGAACAATCATTTTTAAAGTATTTGCTCAACTGGATTAAATACTTCTTTTCAACTTTGCTGTAAGCTTCTAAAAAAGACAGTTTCCGGTTTTTACGACGCGATTCTCGATTTCCGGAACTTCTAGAAGCATTTTGAAACACTGCTAATAATTGACTGCGAGTTGTTGTCTCCTCTTCACCGTCTTTGAAAGGGTATTTGACGTCACTTCCTATAATTCCCCTAAGTTGCAAATTCCGCCATTTTCTTTTAAACGCCTCTTCATGGGTTACACATTTCAGTGTTCTTTTTTGCGAGAGGTAATTCATCAAACTGTTCGTATTGCTTTTGATAGTATCAATTTCCACACCTTCTTCCATTGCTTGAAGTGCCCTAGACATTACTAACTGGGTCAAGTTTAGTTTCTTTAGAACATGCAAAGTGTCCCGTTTAAATGTTTCCATTTTACCTATGATGTCATATTTTACGTCACAAGGACTACACTTGTCTGAAATAGGATTAAAATGATTGTCCTTCATGGCGCCTGGTTTTACGACGTAACGAACTAACTCTGGAAATGTGACATCATGACCACAAGATAAACTTTTATTACTCGGGTTTTTCCGTACAGCTTTGATAACCTTTCGTCCGTACATTGACCAATAAACTGGATTTATGTCAAACAGTTTATTGGCGTAAGCGGACAAAAGACGGGAATATGGCTCACGGACCATAACAAACTTTAACGAATTTCGTATAACTGTTGTTTCTACATTTTTTGCGCTGTATTTGTTACTGTAAATATTTCCCGAAACATTAAATGGGTTATTTGTTTTAGAGACGCCATTCACAATTAAGAACAACCGTCGCCAAAATGTGGATCCTACTTTTGCCACTGGACAATATAAAAACTTCTTCTCTGGGGAATATAATAATTTCATTTTCATTTTTTCCATTGTGCGCTTCGTGGTGTTTTGAGAAACCTGTCGATGGCAGAAATTACTCATATTATTCCTTCTTTCTGACAATTCCAGCTGTATGTAATCTGTTGGTTTGGACTAAATGAAAAGGAAAATCATATTTTTTTTTTAATTTCGGGAAGAAATTTGATGTAAAATCACAACGGAAAAGAAAATGTAAAATATCTGAATGGTTTCTATGTTGATCAGGAAGAATGCGACCATTTCAGGTGAGTTAATCGGAACCCATTATGACTGTTCTGGTCCTAACTGGGATAATGAAGATGGGCAAACGCCATACAGTGTGTTATGAGTGGAAAGTTTGCCCGGGCAGTGGCATTACGACCTGCTCTTATATCGAATTCCAACTGTTCAGTGATCTTTTACGTGCACGCCAATGTCTACAAGTGACCGCGGTTTTCGTCCCATCCGAAGGACTAGACGGCTGTCCTTGCCAGACCCTCCGTCCTGCATCACTGACAAGGCGGAAACACGCTGGAAAATCTGGATGAACTTTCTCGGCCAATGCAGGGATCGAACACCCGACCAGCAGGCTAGCTAGCCAGCGCCTATCCCACTAAGGTATCGTGACCCTCGTCCTAATTTCTAATCATTATATTATTTGGTTGTATAATAAGCAACGTCACACAAAAATAAGACTGACTTTACCTACCCGGAGTAAATTAATCGTTTGAAGAATACCATTGTTTTCTGCTGGAATAATAAATTCAGTAAAAAAAGAGTCTAAAGAAATATTATTCATAAAAGTTATTAATACTGCCCGAGAACAAAGAGGAGGCAATAGAGCAGTGATTCTAAACACAGGAGTGCCGCTAGATCTTTCTAAATGTGCCGCGAAATTTTGAACTGAAGACGAAGAAAATGTGAAAAACCACGTGTTCCCACTGGTATTCACTGGTGTCCACAGTATTCACAGCTAAGTTCGTAGCTGTGTTTTTCTTTATTGAGTCAATCTATGTGTCTATGACTAGTCTGTGTCTACGGTTGTATTCCGCCTGACTTTCCATGTTTTTATTTTGCAAAATTCAAATATTTTTCATATATATTTAGCCAGGTGTGTCGCTATGTTTTCATGTGTTCCAGGGTGTGCCGTTGGCCAAAAAAGGTTGAGAACCACTGCAATAGAGTATCCGTCTATCCGGGTCCTTAAATTCGTAGCTAATCAAAAGACTACGATTTTCACTACCGTTATTTAAATTGACCCAGAACAAAAATGCCATGAGGCTATAACAAAATGAAATGATATGAAATTGGGTTTAACGTCCTACTGTTCTGCTACAGATGGGCTAATGAAGAAGGGGCATACACCTTACAGTGTCCTATGGGGGAAGTCTTGCCAGGGCAGCGGCTCTATGCCCTACTCTTATATCGAATTGCAACCGCCTGGGGATCTTTTACGTGCACGCGAATGTATACATGGGTACTCGGATTTCCATCCCATACGAACGACTAGACAGCCGCCTTGTCAGGCGCTTTCCCGCTAGTTTGGAGGTTGCTTGTTCGATCCCTGCATTGGTCGGGAAAGGTCATCGGGATTTTCCGACGTGGTTTCCACTTGTTAATGGTGCAGGAATGAGGGCCTGACAATAACAGCTGTCTGAGGAAGCCACAGTGCCGCTGCCCTGTAAAATTTCCCTCATAGCAAACTGTATTACGTATGCACGTATTCATTAGCCCAGTTTAGGAGCAGAACAGTGGGAGCCATCCGATGAACAAGTGGGTTGATTATGGGTTTATCATATTATTAAAGGTTCAAATAATAATTTATATCAGATTTGAAGCTAGACAAGAAATTAGGCAGCTTTAGCTGTTACATAAAGAATTTTTAAGAACTGAACGGACTTAAAGAGATTGAAGTCAAAATTGTATAGATTTATTAAGACATAACCAGCAGCGTTGTCCTGAGGAAAAACAAGATTCATTTAGAGAACATCCATGTAACATTTATGTGAGGAAAACAATATTATAATTAGAAACATGCACTGGGATTAATGTTGTATCATTTTATTAATACATATAACGAATTTTTAAAAAGAAACAACAAATAATAATGTCTATATTTAAATTATGTAGAATTAAACATGTAATAATAATACCTATATTTAACTCGAACTTAGCTAATGAAGAAACTTCCTAAATAAAAAAAATAATTAAAATAACTGTGTGGAATGAGACATCAAAAAATCATATCTATATTTGTTTAACTTTTGAACTTACCTGACCAAGCAAGTTTATAAAAACACAAAATAGCCAGAAAATTGATTCCCATATATAAAACTAACTTGTTTCTAGAAATCTGAAAATTCATCGTTGTGTTGTGGTTCTTACACCTGTTACCAATTGGCGTGATTGATAACAAAGATTCACATAGCATAGTAATCAAATATACATGTAAATTATATGACACGATGAGATTTAGGCAGTTAATATATATAGCGTATCTTATTGATTTATTACAGGTGACAGGACGTGTTAGCTTGTTGTCCACGAACCACCAAACCATGATACGAGAAAACATGATACGATAGGGAGGTAATCGATCTGGTTACAAATATCGATTATCGCCGGCCATCTGCCGATCAACAATCGATAATATCGGTGAATTATTTTGACATACACTTGTTTTGAAAACAATCATAATTTATGTTGTAATATCATTCTGTATACATGTAGAATTTGTTTCATTGATTTGACAATAAAATAATAGCATTCCATAGCAAAACCAAGGTGTAGAAACTCGATCTCGTCTTCATTAACCAAGCACAGTAGCAGAACGTACAGTAGGACGTTAAACCCCATTTCATTTCATTTCATTTCGTTTGTAAGACAGAACCGACACCCCTCGCCATATCTTTGTCGTTTATGACCTGAATAGGGGATCACGGTGGCTAAGTGGGTAAGGCGCTGGCCCGCTAGCCTGGAGGTCGGGTGTTCGATCCCTGCATTGGCCGAGAAAGTTCATCCAGATTTTCCGGCGTGGTTTCCCCTTGTCAGTGATGCAGGACGGAGGGCCTGACAAGGACAGCTGTCTAGTCATTCGGATGAGACGAAAAACCGAGGTCCCGTGTACACATTGGCGTGCACGTAAAAGACCCCTTGACAGTTGGAATTCGATATAAGAGTAGGCCGTAGTGCCGCTGTCCGGGCAAAATTTCCCTCATAGCACACTGTATGGCGTATGCCCGTCTTCATTAGCCCAGTATAGGAGCAGAACAGTAGGACGTTAAACCCCATTTCATTTCATTTCATTTTGACTCCATATGTAGGCCTGCATTGTACTAGAGTTACTTCCCATCAATTGTAAAGTGAAAAACCGCTACAATCACCAGATAACCAAGAGACAGAAAGTTTGCACAGATTTATTATTCACTATACACAACAAAGACTACCCATTTCTTACGGATTACTACAGTAGATTCTTTGAGATAAACGAACTAACCAATACGCTCAACTACTACAGTCATTCGAAACTCTCAGCTCACTTGATCAACAATCACCTTCTACTCAACCGAATAGTGCCCACAGTAATAGTAAAAAACGTCTGGAAGTGTGAAGAATAATATTAGACCAAAGTCAAATCGTACAACAAAGAAACGAAAAAACTAAACTTATAAATTGTGTTTATTAAATATTGTTTCATAATAGTGATGCTTGCGGCAAATTTTATCTGCGTTTCATTTGACATTTAGTGAATGAAAGACAATTTTTCCAAAGGACCCAGTGAACTGTTTAATATCTATTTCAAATGTAGATAAACAATAATTCCATTTAATCTTATCCTTCTTATTTATCCTACAACTGGGTTAATAAAGATGGCATACGCCATACATTGTGTTATGAGGAAAAGTTTGTCCGAGAAAGTGGAGCTATCATCTGTATGGTTAAAGGTAATGGAAATTAAATAAAATGGGGTTTAATGTCCTAATGTTCTGCTGCGACTGGGCTAATGAAGACGGGCATACGCCAGTCAGTGTGCTATGAGGGACATTTTGCCCGGACAGCGACGCTTAGGCCTACTCTTATATCGTATTCCAACTGCCAAAGGATCTTTTACATGCACGCCATTGTGTACACGGGGCCTCGGTGTTTGGTACCACCCGAATGACTAGACAACTGTCCTTGTCAGGCCCCCGTCCTGTACCATAAACGTAATGGAGTAAGGTTTAACCTCGCATCAAGATAATACACCGGTTATTTTGTTTTCTGGTCAAGTTTACGATGCTAAGACGGACAATTTGACCAAGACGACGCCATTTCCACCTACTTGTCATCGTATTCCAGCTGTCAAGATTTCTTTTGCGTACACTGAGCAGGTTCTTCGTTCCATCAGAAAGGCTAGTTACACTTGCCTTGTCAGTCCAATGACAAATTTGAGCATGGGCTTTAAAAATACCACGCTGAGAGTATAGTATTGGTATAATATATCCTAGGAATATTTATTTTTACAATATATCCTAGTGATATTTATGTAATATTTATACATTATATCCCAGTAAAATATAAAAAATATATCTTAGTCATATTTATAAATTATATTCCAGTAAAATATATCTTAGTCATATTTATAAACTTATTAAATGAAAAAAATATATACTATGTTATCACAAACTAGCTACTGTTTATTTGTAAACAGAACAACACTATTCACGGGGTTCAAATCCTGCCATGGGCAGAACTTTACGAATTTTACCAGTTATCACTTGCGAGGATGATGTAAATGAGTCTGTTCACCAAGGAATAAATGGGTAACGTTTAACAATTCAAAAACATTATATTTACAAAGTTGAGACAAATGAAACATTTTTAATGAAATATTTAGATCTACAAGTAAGGATCGATTGAAAGCCGTTTAAATTCACTGAGGCGTATATTTGATATTAAGGCGAGGTAGACAATGTTTGAGCTAAAATATCACAACTGCTTTTAGTGGAAATAACCACATCGTTAACAATACCGAGTCATATTATATTATATATAAACAGATAGTATAAATAAAAACTGGAATATTTTCAGTATCATCAACAACTGAATAATGATCAATAAAATTTTCCATTAATGTGGCAGCAACTATCACTTGCCTCGTCCACAAAATACATAAAGAAAATTGATAGAAAAGGATGCTGTGCAGAAATCGGTTGGTAACGATACATTTGCATTTGAAGAGTCCAGGGGAAGAACGACCTAAGTCACATTTTTGTCTTTTTGTAAAAAAGGCAAAACAGACTTTTGGACGAGAATGCTTGGCGCGAACAGAACAACGAGTGGGGTTAACTACAACTTCAAAATGATGTTTAATATGAATCATAATTACCAGTACAACAACTGACTTCCACTTTTCAGCCATATTAAGGTCAAATAAAGAGTACTATGGACGTATTTGTCCTGGGGGCCATTTCAGAAGGGCCTTGGTTCGATGTGACTCTGACAGGTTTTAACTGAAATTGATTTTTCCACAGAAAGCTTATACAATTTGCTACCAGATGGCGCCATTAACTGGGGTTCGTTGAAAAAGTGACTTATAGATCGTTCTTCCCCGGGGATCTTCATTTAGTAGTGCCAATTGGTATACCGTTGCATCAGAACATTAATTGTTATTTGGCTTTAAAACCACATTTACAAGTGGTTTTAAACAGACACATTATTTGCTGGTTGCATTGCAATAAGTTTGTTTGCCTCGTCCATCCTTCCGAGCTTGGTCAGCACTATAATACAGTCCTGTCTTGAACGAACTGTAGTTGGATGATTTTCGCCTAATATCTCCATTAATATTTCATTCTCGCTTAAGTAATGTCCAATACTAATCTCTAGATATTCCTCGTTATCATTTTTAATCCAACGATTCCAATACATCTGAGCGTAAAGCTGATAACACCTGGCTGGGTGGAGACTTAACCTTCCGTACGAAGACATACATAGCGCCAAGGATTTCTCAAAGTAGTTAATTGGAACATCTGTTGAAAACAAATTAAAATGCATACCACTTAAACATACATTATGCAAGAACTAAATCTACCTATTGCAGGTCTTTCTTTAGGCCTGAAATAAATACTTAAACATACATTATGCAAGAACTAAATCTGTCTATTGCAGGTCTTTCTTTAGGCCTGAAATGTTTTTTAAATTATTAATTAGACATTAATTAACTTATCCAGACCATAATAAACTCTCGATGGCATCGGATTTCTCCGATATTGAATAGATTAGAACAGTTCAGCCATATTTTGATTTAAGCTAAAAATGATGGAGCGAGTACGGTGGTTGAATTTTTTGCACACGTATTGTTCAAACCTTCAAAAGCTAATGTCTTCGCTCGGACTAGAGTAATTTGAATGAAATTTTCAAATTATTTATTTTACATTATCTTTGTTCGAACTATTATAGCAAGAATGGCTAGCTCTTTATCTAAATCTTACATAATGTATCTTTAAGTATCTGACACATGAAAAGAACTGGGTATACGGTTACCCTCAACACAATGATTCATTTATTATGTTTGTATGGTCACTTGGGATCGAACACCCGACCTCCAGACTAGAGAGCCAGCGTCTTACCCACTTAGCCACCGTGATCCCTTTGCCGTGATCAAATTTGAAAAAAAAAAGATTTCGAACTTAAATTGATGCATCAAGGGGTCAATAGAATTATTGGCATAAATAAAACACATTTCTAAACTCACTCATATCAGTATTATATTGGTTTTTCCCTCCCAGCATAAAATAGACGACAGCCAATCCCCCACCATTGTTGTTTTTCTTGAAGATATGTTCAGCTTCTTCCAGATATTCTTTATTAAAGTATCCAGCAATCGACAGTACTTCTCCAAGTTTATTATCATTCTTGTCGAAATGTTTGGTGAATACCTGAAAATAATCGAGACTTTGTTAATTACTGTAGCAATGGTGCTTGACAATCGAGACATTTTGGTCAAAACTTCAAACACTCATAAATTCGCTCGGAGTAAAGTAATTTGACAGAAAAAATTTAAATATATATTATTTTTTTAATAATTCTATTTTAAACTTTTATAGTAATCGTTAAAAATAAATTATTCAATAGCTAAATCTGCCAATTGCACGTCTTTATTTATCTAAATTATTAATTAGACATTAATTAACTTATCCACACCATAATAAACTCTCGATATCATCGCAAGCCTGCGATATTTTCTGGATTAGAACCCTATCTGCTGCTTAACGCTCAATGATAATTAAATAAAAAAGTGGATAATCCAGACTATGTGTTTTTATCGTACCAACTTTAGCAATGGTGATTGAGGCTAGACCCAAAATTCAATCGCTCAAATCTCGGTTCAGAGTGGATCAATTTGACTGAAATTTTCAACAAATTTCCTTTACATTATCTACATTTTATCTATTGTAGTGAGAACTACCAGCTCTTTATCTGATCTCCCATAATGTATCTTTAATAAAGCTCTCCATAGTAAATGCATTGTTTTGGACAAGTTTAATATGGTGACTAAGCGCCAATATGGACACTACGTGTTTGTTATGGACATGTTTTGTTATTTAGAGCATATAAATACATTTAGTTAAAAGACTAGACCTACATCGTAACACCGTCTACTGTATACAATTCCTGTTTGACGGTTACTTCTAGTTAGAGGATTATTACCGTACACAAACTTCATACCTGTAATAAATACATATACACATACACATTGGTCATTTGGCTCAACTTTATTTCAATAATTCGCCTGCGCATAAGGGGTCTTTAGCAGTGAGAAAAACTGGAGTACCCGGAGAAATAATACATTGTATTAAACAGAGCAAATGCGCCAAAGGTTCACAGGTTTCTTAGGCAAAATATAAAGTGAAAAGGGATTTTATTTCCTACTTTTCTGTACCGAATAGACTAATGAAGACGGTCTTAGAGTCAAATGGAACGGACAGCGGGCTTACGGCATACTTGTATTTCGAATTCCACGCTTTTTCTACGTGCACGCCAATAGGTACAAGGGACCTCGGTTTTTCGTCCCATCCGAACGACTATACTTTGTGCCCCTTGCCAGACTTGGAAGCGAGCCCGAGGGCGAGTCCGTCAGGTTAGCGAGCAAGCCTCTAATTCACTGAGGCTCCTCTTAAACGAAACGAAGCAGGTTGGTCATATAAGTGCATCAGAAGTTTACCAGAGGGTCAAATATAATAATGAATTAATCAGTTAATCACAAATGAACAAACCCATTATAATTAAACTATAACGCGTCGATGTAATTAATTATTAATAAGAGAGAGAGAGAGAGAGAGGGAGCGAGAGAGAGAGAGTATTTAAATAGTTCGCTTGCGTGTAGGGGTCTTTAGCAGTGGGACGGAGAACCCGTGGAGAACTCACTCCTATACTGGGCTAAAGAAGACGGGCATTCGCCACACAGTGAGCTATGAGGAACATTTTGCCCGGGCAGCGGCACTATGCCCTGCTCTTATATCGAATTCCAACTGCCTAGTGATCTTTTGCGTGCACGTAAATGTATACACAGGATCTGGTTTTTCGTCTCATCCGAACGACTAGACAGCTCCAAGAATAGAAGATAAACAGAATCCTTACCCCTTCTATAGCAAAGAGTGAGCATAGCATATAACGGATCCGCCGATTCCCTGGATGCATTACCAAACTCATTTTCCAATTGTTCCAATAAAACTTCTAATATTTCTATAGCTGCGTCATATTCACCAATATCAACAAGAAACCATCCAAGTTTATTCTTTAAATGATATAGTTCCTTATCTTCTGTAACGTTCTGCGGGAACGAGAAAAATAAATAGATAATGCAACTTGTCAAAGCAAACCGCCACTGAACAAACATTGCAGCAGTCAATCCAAAATGTTAATGTGATATTGTCAATTTCAAATGAAATGAAATGGGGTTTAACGTCCTACTTTTCTGCTCCGAACTGGGTCAATGAAGACGGGCATACGCTATACATTGTGCTATGAGGGAAATTTTACCCGAAAAGCGGAACTATGGCCTACTCTTATATCGAATTCCAACTGTCAAGGGATCATTTACGTGCACGCCAATGTGTACACGGTACCTCGGTTTTTCGTACCATCCCAACGACTAGACAGCTGTCCTTGTCAGGCCCTCAGTCCTGCATCACTGACAAGGGGAACCACGCCGTACAATCAGGATGAACTTTCTCGGCCAATGCAGGGATTGAACACCCGACCTCCAGGCTAGCGAGCTTGTTAATTTCAGAAAGAAAATAAATGTACATAAAAACATATATTGCCATGTTCATAATTTCTCCCTGATACTTTAACGGGGCATGATATAAGATTTAGATAAAGAGCTGGCCGTTGTGGTTATAATATTTCAAAAATAGATAATGGAAAATGAATATATTGAACATTTCATTCAAATTATTTTACCTATGGTTGCAGTTTTGACAAGATAGGTGTATCTTGTGACTTAATCAGTTTTGGACGAGCATCCCATGAACTACAGGCTATATAGAATCATCGCCATATCTTGTATTTTCAGAATGGTGACTCGGTGTGAGTTAGGCGCTTGCTTAATTACCTTAAGGGCCCTTCGAGATATTCTATCTTTGTCCCCCCCCCCTTGTCAATAATACATGCCATATATCATCTCCATTATCACGATTGATTCGGAATAGTAGGGCGTTAAATGGAATAGCCAAGGGGCTCTCTTCATCTATATCCGGCATTGCATATAAATATTGAAATGAACAAGAAATTGTCATTTCAAGTCGGGGATCATCAAGTCTAATCATTAAGTCGACGTTACCCAATGTCTATCGTCAATTTAGTAAGATTATTTAGCCTTTAAATAGCCCACAAGGCCTGTAATCACAAGAACTTACCTTAGAGTAATCGTTTAGAAATTTGGTATATGATTTAGCAGCTATATCATAGCCACCTATATACTGCCAATACTTCATTAACTGTAACTTAGTCTTCTCTTGATACAACTGTAAAAACATGTCTGGTTGAAGAAGACATTTCTTCAGATCTTTCCGATTATCCAGCTCATACAGATGAAACGGAAGTTCCTCTGCTTTCCTGGTTACATCATTGCTACGGGGGAAAATTGTATTATTACACATATGCAGAATCCCCAAGTAATTTGGTGTTTTTCCAGTCATATTAATTAGTTTATGTTTTATGCAGTCAAAAGTCCAGACTATGAGGCAAATATGAATAGGTGATCTGATCAAAAACAAATCCATTAATCATTTACATTTTGAATATGATTTATAGAATATGCATATTTATAACACATCTTTCCTTGTCGGAAACATTTTGTATTTGTTGGGGTACTATTGACAACAAAACGCTCTTTTTGGTTCCCGGCGGCGATTAGTAGGACCGGCAATATCTCTAATAACCTTGCGTTCAAATCATATGACAAATGCGGAAATGCTTAATCTATGCTGATATATGTTTGCTAACCAATCACAGTTGTTGAAGGGATAACAGATAAATAAAAAGCTAAATGAAATCACAATCAAATAGTTTTACCTTGTCTGTTTTTTTGATAATGCCGTGAACTTTGTCTCTACAATTTAATTGGAATTTTTACGATACAATCAATTACGGTACCTTCTAGAAACCAATACCAATTGAAACCAAATAAATTCTACATTACCTTCCAGCCATACAAATTGAAACAAAATAAAGCTTCACGGTACCTTCCAGCCATACAAATTGAAACAAAAAAAGCTCCACGGTACCTTCCAGCCATACAGATTGCAACAAAATAAAGATCCACGGTACTTTCCAGCCAAACAAATTGAAACAAAATAAAGCTGCACAGAAGAAACCAATACAAATATAAACAAAATAAAGCTCCACGGTACCTTCCAGCCATACAAATTGCAAAAAAATAAAGCTCCACGGTACCTTCTTGAAAAATAATCAGCTAGACGTTGATGCCACCAACGTTGAACCTCTTCATCGTACAAATAAACTTGTCTAACAACTTTACTAGCAGATCTGTGATAGAAATCTAACCGTCCTTCACCGGATGTTCCACATGGTCTTAGAAAAGTCTTTAAACCAAGATAAACATAAGCCCACTGAAAATACAGTTAAACGTTGAAATGTCTTATTTCATTGCACAAGGATAATGGAATAACATTTAGTGAGAGAGAGAGAGAGAGAGAGAGAGAGAGAGAGAGAGAGAGAGAGATGGGGTTTAACGTCCACTCGACACAAACTAGGTAATTTCTGGACTAACATATGGTTTTATTTTATTTTAATAATTCGCTTGAGCGTAGGGATCTTTATCAGTGGGAGGAAACCGGACGACCCGGAGAAAACCCACGAGGTTGGACAGGCGACCCTACTCCTTGTCACGTACCACGCCAGTTGACTCAATGACAGGCTTTATGATACAGCGCGCACGTGCTAACCATTCGGCCATCCAACCCCCCAGGAATAATATTTAGTACCATCGATATTACAAATTTCAAGAACTTTATTGTCTCATTATTCATTAGGTTTGATTAATGAAGCCGTTACAGATATGTTATTGAACAAAGCGGTTATTTCCCTGTGTGTGTTCCCATCTCCATCAGTCCAGTTGATACTCTTAGTATCCTTTCTTCTTGTCTTGTCCCGCAATATGAAGCTCTGCAGTACATTCAGAAATAAAAACTTTCAAGTTCAAGTCCTCAGACTCCATGCTATACCAAAGTCCCTGGATAGCCATATCTACATAATACTTGCATGAAGTGGCAGAGGCATCTGATCATAGCGAATAACGACTCATTCATATAATTGAACAGTGCGATTCCATAAATGAATAACTGAGATGAAATGAAATGGGGTTTAACACCCTACCTTTCTGCACAGACTGGGCTAATTAATGAAGACGGTTATGCGCAAAAACAGTGTGCTATGAGGGGAATTTTGCCTGGACAGTGGCCATGCGTCATGCTCCACTGACGAGAGGGGAGGGGGGCACAAAGAAAAGTCCCAGGAACGGGATCGAACCCGATACCTTCTGGTTGGTGTGTCAAAGTCTTACTCGCAGAGCCACTGTGATTCCTTTAAATATCAAATTGAAGTAAATCGACCGATCACTTCTGAGCAATTCAATGTTTTGTGGTAATAGTTTTAGATACGCTGTTTTGGGTCATGTGTTTGGTGTGTAATTTGTATACTTAAACCAATTCATCATTAAATTATATAGATCAATTAGTACCCTACCTCAGCCATACTTATTTTGCCATTAGAATTATTATCAGTCTTGACAGATTTCTTATATGACACAGGTTTCAGGGCCAGTAACTCTAACAACTCGGATTCCATCAAACCAAATCTGGAGGTTTCTAAGACACAGAGAGTGGCCACAACAAAATCTTCACCATAGTCTTTACTTATTCTCTCAAATACCTGAAAGTTGAAATATAATGGTGCCATATAGAAATCATCTAAAACCCCGAAACTGTTTCTCTTTGAAATTTTCAACGTATGCTTCCTTCAATGGAGACGTAACTTAACTTAAGATTTCGTGAACTATGTAACAACAGCTTTTTTAAATATCATTATAAAGATGGACGTCTTGTCAGCTCATGGTAGATTTTAAGGGAGTGTAGGGGAAATAACTCTACGAAACCGCCATGTTGAATTTAATCTAATTATGCAATGTGAATGGATGAAATGGGATTTAACGCCCTACTTTTCTGCAATGACTGGGCGTATGCCATACAGCGTGATATGCGGGAAATTTGGACCGGACAGCGGCTCCACGGCCTACTGTTATTTCAATTCCAACTGTCAGGGGTCCTATTACGTGCACGCCAATATTTACACTGTATCTCGGCTCATCTGAACGACTAGACACTGTCCATGTCAGACAAAAGAAGTCCATCCTGCACCTACTGACAAGGTGAAAACATGACGTCAAATTCTGGGGAACTCACTCTACCAAATACTACTTAAAGTAGCTAAGTCTCTACCCCAATATCATCCAAAGTCATACACGATGAAAATACGAATTATTTGTCAATTCAAATCCACATTGATGTTGTGATCTTACCAGGAAAAGACAGGCTTCTGATATCCAATATTTAAGACAAAATAAACATTTTACCATTGGTACACGAATCGTGTACCATAGTGCGTTTTAGCGTCATTTGCAACAAGTGACCAGAAAGAACGAGGCTAGACATATTCAACTGGAGAATCTGCTCAATAGAGTGGAATAACCAGACGCTCGAAATTGCTATAGGGTTGAGACACAGGCCGTATTTCGTTGGACATAACTGATTTGAAAGAGTCAAAACGGAAACAATTGAATGTAAATCAGTTTATATACAATCAGATTACATTATTATATACGTTGCTACCCATTTGGGTCAATTCCTAGGTCCCAAATATTAGCGATTTAACTCCTTTAATAAAGTAAATCTCCTGGATTTAAAGGAGCTAAATTGCTAATATTTGGGACCTACAAATCGACACAAATGGGTCGCAACGTATATAATAATGTAATATGAATGTAAATAAACTGATTTACATTCAATCGTTTCCATTTTTACTCTAATTCCAAAGCAGTTATGTTCGGCGAAATACGCCAGAAGTCTTAATCTAATGGCAATCCCTATACTGGCCATTTAAGTCTACGACGATAGTATTTATTGCGCATGCTCTCCAGATAAGAATATGAGGTCACCGTTTGACATGACCTGTTGAATATGTCTAACCTCGTTCTTCCGAGTCGCTTGTTACAAATTGCGCTGAAACGCATTATGGTACACGATTCGTGTACCAATCGTAAAATGTTTATTTTCTCTTAAATATTGGATATCAGAAGCCCATCTTTTCCCGGTAAGATCACAACATCAATGTTGACTTAAAACTGACAAATAATTCGTGTTTTCATTGTCGAAGGTTTTGGATGATATTGAGTTAGAGACTTAGCTACTTTAATCTAAGGTTTGTTTTTGTAAATGGAGAAATGGTAAGCATGTGGCAGCTGTAGATTGCCAGAGATGATTTAGTAAGCTAAACCTGATTAAAACAGTCGGTATCAACTGCATCAAAATCATAATACGATCCATATTGGTTGGATAAAACTGAAAGCCAATGTAAACAAGAAACAAACAGGGTACTTACTATCTTGGTCAATCCAGTTAGATCCTGTGGTAAGGTTTCGATCTTTTTAGTCAATGTTCTGAAATCTCCCGAAACTCTCAACTCTTCACAAGCAACACTTAACCACAATGGTCGACCAGCATCTTCCTTTTCAACCAGTAGAGACATCTGTAGATAAGAATATACGAACTCTACTGATCAGATATTGTTTCTCTTAAACGGCCGGTTGATGTGACAATAATTTTTATTATTCAAATTGTAGACAAAATAAGACCAAAAGCATTATATAGCTGCAAACTAAGTATTGGTTACACACGCTCTTGACGGCGAAATAAGAAAATAAAAGTTCAATATGGAAGAATCTCGTCACTGGGGATTAGGGCAAACTAATGTCTGAGCCGGAATAAATAAACAAAAAACGTGTCTTGTCCCATATGAACAACTACTTAAAGGACAATATTGGTGTCAGGCATTATTACATATGTGATAGAACTGGTTAAATACATTCCAAATATAATTTTAACACAGAGAGCATTGCTACGGGAGATGTGTAACAAGCACGTGAAGAAACGGGAAGTGACGTCAAACATGACAAACACGAGTTGTCCTTCTATATAACTGACTTCTTTTTTTTGAATTGTCAGATATCCTCTCATCGTCTCATATAACAACTTTTCATCTTCAACTGAATTATCAGTGAAACGAAATTCGATCGTTTGTCTGTTATCGCTCGTTACTTCAGTAAGTTATATAGAAGGACAACTCGTGTTTGTCATGTTTGATGTCACTTCCCGTTTCTTCACGTGCCTGTTACACATCTCCCGTAGCAATGATCTCTGTGTTAAAATTATATTTGGGATGTATTTAATGAGCTCTATCACATATTTTATAATGCCTGACACCAATATTGTCCTTTAAAGTAGCTAACGTAAATGGGCGTTTATGGGCTAACAAACATACATTAATGTACGATGAGTGTATATAAACTGATTTACATTCATTTTTCAAAACTTCCATTGAATCAGATTCGTTTGTCGAAATAAGTTAGCAGTCCAAATTGAATGGCAGTCCAGTTTCATCGGAATTTCACTTACACATCGACGTTTAGTATCATTCATTAAGGCGGCTGATTACAAATTGCGCTCGAGAGCACGCAGAACACGCCAGCGTGAACTGGTTATAAAATTAACTGTGTCTTGAATATCTGATAACATCCGGGGTCTGTTTCACGAAATTTTAACTAAGATAAAATCCAAATTTTATTAATTTGATTGGATAATATTAGATTGATTTTAGTGCTTAGCCAATCAAAATTGAAGTATCTACTAAAATTTGGATTTTATCTTTAGTTAAAATTTCGTGAAACAGGGCCCAGATTTTCACGCTAAGATAACTGGGATAGTATGGAATTTGAGTGTCTTAATTATACTACAGTTTACATTGCAGTACACTGGCAGTAGCTTTATAAACAATAACAAACTTTCTATTTCAGCTGCATGATGTCTGTACCCCACCGCGTCTCTATTATTTTTTACAAAGACCCCCCTCCCTCCGCCCCGGCGCCCCGCCCCCACTCTACTGTGTAGTATGCCAAACAGTGCCCTGATTTAGTCGGCTTGAAAAAATCGACGAGAAAATTGATTAAAAGTGTTAATATATTTTTACCTGTTCATTATCTAACTGTTTGTTAAATTCTAGTAAAATCTGTTCAACTATTTCTTGTCGGACATCATTATTTAATGGTTCAACTAACAACTCTTCGGGCTGAATATTGTGATTTTTTAAAGCTTTAAGACATTTTCCTTCTAATGTACTAACGATAATCTTTAATCCGGGAACCATTTCTCTGGGCAGCCATGCTAATTCAGCCGAGTTTCCTTCAATAACAAAACAGTTATTTTAACCTATTTGTCCAGTCTTTCGGATCGGATGTAAAATGCAATATATTGGGAACATATTGGAATTAAAAACAAAGGCGCAAGTGTCAACGTATGTTGCTGTTGTCAAGGTGACCCAAGTATTATGTTGACGCCACGCCTTTCTGTTCCAAATGGATTCCAGTATAAAGCAAATAATGTAAATTTAATACCTAAAATTCAATAATTGCATTTAAAATATTGGAAATTTAACCGATGCCAAGACATAGTATTTTATTAAGTCATACTTTCTTTACGATCCTGGAGTTAGCCAAGAAAGTTCATCCGGATTTTCCGGAGTGGTTTCCCTTTCTCAGCAAGACGGGGTATGGCAAGGAACAGTGTATATTCGGTCGGATAGGACGGAAAACCAAGGTACCGTTAACATATTGACGTGCACACAATACACCTATTGGCAGCTGGAAATCGAAATGAGCGTAGGCCGTAGCTGTCTAGAGTTGGAATTCGATATAAGAGTAGGCCGTAGCGCCAATGTCCGGGTAGAATTTCCCTCATAGCACACCATGGCGCACCCCATCTCCATCTTCATTAGCCCCCCCCCTTTTTAGTCCCGAAATGACCTAGTTTGTGTCGAGTGGACGTTAAACCCCATTTCTCTCTCTCATTAGCCCAGTTCGGAGCAGAACAGTAGAACGTTAAACCCCATTTCATTTCATTTCATACCTTCCTCTTCCATCTGATTCAGTGCATCAATAAAAACCACTAATTTCTTGAAACCACTGGATTGTGCAGCTTTGGTAGCGGTCTTAAACATAGTAGGGGCAAATCGTAACATCTCTTCAACGTCTTGTGGCATGTTATCCTCACTCGGCATACACTCCCGGTATACTCGGGACAAAATACTGAAAGGATTGGTCGAATCTGGTGTGGCCCCAACAAAATGATAAAAGACCTGTTTGGTAAGGATACAACATTTAATTAGCCTCGTTATTGTAATTATTAAAATCGTAAACTCCATTATGAAAGATTGTTAACATCTTTGCGTAAATCAAGAGTAGTAATTCCGAAAAATAATTGTTGGGAATCATTCCCAATCCATAGAAATCTTTCGTGTGAACATGCGATGAAGGACCATCGCAAAATGTCAACACTTGCATCCAGACGGATATCCCGCGGATATATCCCGAACCCGTCCGCGCTGACGGATTAAGAAAATATTGACACAGATGGATATTGATGTGAGTTTAAGGCTAAATAACTGAAATTTAATTTATCATTAAACGCGGTGACGTTCAATCAACCCAGCAAGTTCTGCAGGTTTTTCGTGTGGACACAAGCGTTGAAATGTTGCGACAGTCCCCTAGCAAACTATAAAAATTCAAAAATAAAGCCGATAGTACTTACTAATACAATAAATTCTTAAACATACATTTTGCAAGAGCTAAATCTGCCTATTGCAGGTCTTTCTTTAGGCCTGAAATCTTTTCTAAATCATTAATTAGACATTAATTAACTTATCCAGGCCATAATCAACTCTCGGTGGCGTCGGATTTCTGCGATATTAAATAGATTAGAACAGTTCAGCCATATTTTGATTTAAGCTAAAAAAAAAAAATGGAGGAGCGAGACTTAGCTTCGAACAACCAGGGCGTAGTTGACATTATTGCACACGTCTTGTCAAACCTTCAAAGGCTAATATCTTCGTTCGCAATAGAGTAATTTGAATGAAATTTTCACATTATTCATGTTACATTATCTAAATCTTACATAATGTATCTTTAATCAATAGAGGGAAATCGATCCAAATTAATCAAGCTGAACAGACTATAAATGTTTAAAAAGGTCCGGTGATAATTGTTATAACAAGGTATCGTAACTTATGAGGAGCAATTCCGGGACAAATTTCCAGCAATCAAGTGTCATCTGGTCACCTCTTGGTATTGTGGCCTCTAAAAGTGTTAATCAGAATTTGTGAACGGATTCATAGGCGGACCAACGGGAAGTGTCGACATTGTTCGAAAACAATGCAATGTGGGTATATAGAAAGCATTTGAGCTCACTTAAATTAAGGAAATATCAGGCCCCGAGTTCAGAAAGCATTATCAGACGTAAGTTAAGAATTTACTCAACTTTCAATCACCGCTGTTTATGAGAAATATCTTTGATCCAGAAACACAAAATTTTTCACATAGTTTTTTTTATGACGTATTTGTTACATTAAAACAGCAAAGGTTTTATAAAGCGCTATATTTGTGATGAAATAAGGCGAACAATTTTCAAGAGATAAGTTTCAAAAGGAAATCATCACCCAAACTGAATAGCAAGACGTGACAAGATCATACTTCTTCCTTACCTTATTGTCTTTATTCTGGAGTGCTTCTTTAGCAGAATACGCCATCAATGAACTCTTTCCTGCACCAGGATATCCGGCTAATAGAAGTAGTTTGTCTTTTTTAGGTTTCTTAGTGATGTAATCTGTGACCGTTTTAACAGCTGCATCTCGTCCTAATAATACCTGGAAATTGATCATTTTTACAATCAATAAGTGCAGCTACATATTACTATCAATGGCATTTCAATACTATCGATGAAATTTACAGGCTTCCTATTTTCTAGCATGGAAATATCACTTGTCGTTCGGATGGGACAAAAACATTACCGTGTACATAAAAGAACCCTTGACAGTTGTAATTCGAAATAAAGGTAGACCGGGCAGAATTTATCTCATACTACACTGTATGGTGTATGCCCGTCTACATTCGCCCAGTCGGCACAGACAGGTCGTTATACCTCATTTCAGCTCTTATATTCAAACAACCTTACATAATTACATAATTATAGAATTATAAAATTATAGACATACCCCAGATCTTTGAAGAAGGAAATCTCTTTGTTCTTCTAGTAAAATCTCAGATTCGGTCATCTCTTCGCCCAAGGAATCATTTGGGTATTGTTTCTCAAGCACTTTTTTAAAATGTTCAAGTATATCCTTTCCGAATTTTTCTAATCCGGTTAAGGTAAGCCTGTTGTCTTTCTCTTCCTTCACCTGACAATCGTAATCTTTCACTTGACAGGGTGGGAAGTTGTTTTTGATTTTGTCTGTAAACAAGAAGAATCGACACAACATTTATAATAAGGTACACATATTCTTTCCCGAGAATCACACTTTTAAATGAAATGAAATTTTGAGATTTGCGTTCTATACCACCCAGGCGAGTGAAGACGGACATATTCCATACGGTGGCCCAGTAAGTAAGACATTGGTTCGCTAACCTGATGGTCCCGTGTTCGATATCTGCGTTGACCGAGAACGTTCATCTTGATTTTCCGGCGTGGTTCCACCGTGTAAGTGATTCAGGACAGAGGGCCTGGCAAGGGACAGCGTATAGTAGTTAGGATGGGCCGGGGGTCCCTTGTACACATTGTAGTGACGTAAAAGATCCACTGGCAGTTAGACTTTTATATAAGTTGGCATACTGTATGGCGTATGACCGTCTGCATTAGTCTGTCGGAGCAAAACAATAGGACATTAAACCCCATTTCATTTCATTTTTCATATCCATATATTGTACTACAAGGTAAATATGCTACTGTTTACTCTTATTTCCATCTAGCAGAGATATCTTTAACGTGCTGGCCATTTTTATCGTCAACACAGACATCTAACTCCGGACAAAAACCAGCGTAACAGTAAACTTCAACACATACTACTGTTTTATTTGGGCGACGATTTAAAGAGTATTCTCTCAACTTTTCAAGCTAAAGGTTTCGAAGATCATTATCAAGTTTGATAACGTTGAGAGAATACTCTTCAAAACTTCGCCCAAATAAATAAGAAGCTGTGTTATGGTTTAACGTCCACTCGACACAAACTAGGTCATTTCGGGACTAATATATGGTCCAATTTTATATCATTAAATCGCTTGCCGGTAGGGTTCTTTAGCAATGGGAGGAAACCGGAGGACCCGGAGAGGCGACCCTACTCCTTGTTACGTACAACCGGGGAATCCAAACCACGGCAGATTACTCAATGACATACCTTATGATGCAGCGTGCACACGCTAACCATTCGGCCACCCAACCCGCCCATGATACTATTGTGGTCAGACTAAATCTTACAGTGTGTGCAATTTGAGGAAGCTACGTTTCCCCTTTAACTTTTCCGTTAACTTTTCCGTTTGCCCATGATCTTTTTACAATATTGTGAACAACATTCATTTCTCCTTTTGTGTTTTGGGAATTCAAATGGCTAACACAATTTGGGCAAATTTTTAATCCTTACTCTTTAAAGTCTGTAAAGAATCGATGGATTCTTGGTTCGTCTCAACAAATGCTTTAAGTATGGCCTCGTCTTGAATCTTTGGTACAAACTTGGGACTGCGTAACATAAATAAGGCCTTTAAAATGAAAAGAAGACACTCTTAGGCCAAACCAGATTAATTTTAGTTCTTCAGGGTTCTGATCAATAACTAACACACTCAATTCTTGTGTGCGATGTTTTGTGTAAAATTTTAAAACTTAAATATTTGGAACTAAAAGCTATTGAGAAGAGCAACTGAATACATTTTTTGTTTTTAAAGGAGTTTTTTTTTCTTGAAGACATTCGAGGCAGAATTATGATAGGTGATATCGTATAACAGAAATTCAAATTAGAGCGGCCTTATATATTTAGTAGCAGGAAAGGACATCATGAAAAGATTGTCAACTAAGGAATTCGGATACTATCAGAGAGACGACTGTAAAAGAACGAACTCCAAAATGATCGGCAGTGAATATTCGCTTGGCAACTGAAAGAGAAATGAAATGGGGTTTAACGTCCTACTGTTCTGCTACGAATTGGGCTAATAAAGATGGGCATACGCCATACAGTGTGCTATAAGGGAAATTTTGACCGGACAACGGCACTACGGCCTACTCTTATAATGATTTCCAACTGTCAAGGGATCTTTTACGTGCATATCAATGTGTACACGGGACCTCGGTTTTTGTCCCATCCGAACGACTAGACAGCTGTCCTTTCTCGGCCAATGCAGGAATCGAACACCCGACCTCCAGGCTAGCGACGTCTTACCCACTTAGCCACCCCCCCCCCCACCCAACCCCCAACTGAAAGGGATGATATCAGGGCGAGTTAATTAGTATTCAATATTATAAACTATTTCCGTCTAAAAATTAAATTCTAAACCATTTTTTAAAATTATTTAGAAAACACAATATACTTGTGCTGGAAGTATATCCGGATAGACATATTTCCAATTTCCTATTTAGTCTAAATTGATACAAAAAATAGTACGCGAAGACGTAAATTGGGTAATAGGCACCATTCTGCCCGGACCAGTTTGTGTTACTACGTCCTATGTAAACAATGCACGCGCTAACGACGCCGTATGATGTAACGTCACACGTAGACCTATAATGCATAAAGGTCAGTCACCGAACACAGAGTTAACTTAACTTGTCTGCGATATCACTTCTGTGGAAGCGGGCGTTAAAACACCAGGTAGTAGTAGTACAGAGTTAACTTGTCGAAGATATCACCTTAGGTGGAAGTGGACGTAAAACCTTAGGAACGAACGAACGCACAGAGTTAAAAGAAGAATTTCGTGACCTCTGTGATTGACGACACCCCCGCGCTACTGTTTGTAATGTAAACATGATCAAATAGTATAATCAACTGACACTGACAGTTATTCTATTAAGACGGTTAGGCAACTACTTAACTTTTTAATGACCCAGTCATAATTGATTTATGGGGTCAATTCGTATTATTTAGGTCAAAATAAAGCGTTGAATTATGTTTATCTAATGTGTTGTTTCTATTAGTTGTGGGGGAAATATTAAGCGAAGGTCAATTTGTTGACTAATTTATGTTAGATTTTCACTTAGATGTAAAATGTAGTATTTCGTAAAACGAAACCAACAAACGCTTGTGCTACAAATACAGTTAACATTTCGATCAAAAATTAAACAAGAAGGCCAGGGGTTGGATGACCAAATGGTTAACGCGTGCGCTTTTTATCATAAGGTCAGTCATTTAGTCAGATGGCGGGGTTTCGATTTTTCCCAGTTGTACGTGACAAGGAGTAGGGTCGCCTGTCCAACCTCGTGGGTTTTCTCTGGGTCCCCCAGTTTTCTCCCACTGCTAAAGACACCTACGCGCAAGCGAATTATTGAAATAAAATTGAACCATATGTTAGGGCTTGGCAAAGACAGCATCTAGTCGTACGGAAGAAACGAAAAACCGAGGACCCGTGTACACGTTGATGTCGTGTAAAAGAACCCATGACAGATGAAATTCGATATAAGCGCAGGCCGCATAGATTCGCTATCCAGGCAAAATTTCCCTCGCAGCACACTGTATTGCATACGTCCGTTTTCATTAGCTCAGTCGGTGCAGCAAATAGTGCGTTAAACCTCATTTCATTCCCCATTTATAAAGTCCGCTTTCTCGATTTTGCGTTTCGTTTTGGGGATTTTTTTTTTTAAAATTATGTACACTATTTGTATTTATACGTCAATACATACATGCGGGTTTTTATCCCAATAAGCACCAGTAAAAATCTCCAAGGCAGTAACAGACATTCCTGGTAACCAGTTATATTTAGTTTTAATGTCATCAGGAACTGTTTCATCATCACAAACGTATCCATAACGTTCTGATAACATACATAGAAAATATGGGAATTCGTTCTCCTCACGACACCTGCAATACAACAAAAGAAATACAAACACCTTGATTATGAATTGACGTGTACGATATTTTTATACTGTCAAGATTTCGCGGATTCCAGGCAGTACCGGATCAATACCCCCCCCCCCCCCCACACACACACACACACACACACTTCGGACAGAGTGCCTAAGGAGTCAGAAAACACTTACCTTACTTAAAGTTAAAGATACATTATGGGAGATTAGATGAAAAGTTGGCAGTTCCCTCTATAATAGTTAAAAACTAGATAATGTAAATGCAATTTGCTGAAAATTGATCCACTTTCAACCGAGAATTTAGCGATTGAAATTTCGGCCTAGCCTCGATCATCATTACTATAGTCGGTACAATAAAATTCATAGTCTCGATTATCCATTTCATGATTAAATCATGAATGAAAGTTGAGCAGAAAATCTGATCCTAATCCAGTAAATATCGCATCGAGAGTTGATTATGGGCTGGATAAGTTAAATAATGTCTAATTAATAATTTATATAACATTTCAGGCTTAAAGAAAGAACTGCAATAGGCAGATTTAGCTCTTGCATAATGCCTGTTTAATCGGTTAAAGTGTCCAGGCTGCTGTCCATTACTATATATACGTATTTCGTACACCCCACTCTATGAGATTTTTTATTCATCAGTAAGGGACAGGTTGCATCTATAAATGCGGAAGGTGGTGGGGTACGTAAAGCTCGGACGCCACAGGGCCCCCGCCTGGTTAATGCGGTCGTGTGATCCCAGGTGAGCGAGTTGTTAAAATTATTTGTCAACATTATTAGAATTAGCAACATTTACTTCCATTATTTAAACGGGCCTTTACTCCTAGTCATCATTCTCTTCATACGATTATCTCTTGGTGGAGGGTGGGGTCCTACTAATAACCGACATAAACCTAAAGAGGGGGATTTTTTTGGGGGGTGGGGGTGGGGGTGGGGCAATTTCACATATCTACTATAATTTTTTATAACATTATTTAAATTTCGCATATGATATGTAGAATATGGATATCTATAACACATATATCGGTCAGGTTTTGTAATAGTTTGTACGATATTGAAAAAAAACCCCGCTCATGTCGGTGATTAGTAAAACATTTTCAGCATTGCGCGGATTAAGATTAATCGACTATGGATCAACCTATCAATCATAACCCTTGATAATTGATCGGTTGCTTTTTTTCAAGCCCTGAGCCATAGCCATAGATGTTAATAGGAGAACGCTAGATGGGAGACGGTCCTGCACATATGACGTCATGTGTGGATTGTGCGTTAAGGTTAGGATAAGGGTTAGGCTTGGTCCAGAGTTAGGGTTGGGGTAAGCGCTAGCCCTGTTTTCGTCCCGAAACTTTCTCCAAGAAAATCATAATTGCATATTTATAATTGCATATTCTAATCTGAACGACATCCTAGTGCACAGTAAATTAGATTAAATAACACCAGCCCTCAGCCTAACCCTATGTAAAAAATTGATCAAACCCTAGTCCTAACCCTTAATAAATACAATCAACTAATAATAAGAATCCCTAGCCCTAACCCCGGGATAGTGAAAAAAACTCATTTTCAGAAAATCCAATCCTTAGTGGGAAACACACTAATGTGGCTCTCACCCGAGAGCCTCAACTTTTTTCTTTAGAAACCAAAATACCAGAATATCACAAGCGGCACCGAAGGAGACCATCAGCGCCACCAACACCAAAAAAACAGCGAAACCAACTTTGTATATTAATCTAATGTATTGCATGTATTTTTTAATAAAACTAGGAAATATCACGAACCAAATTTACATCATCCTAGGTCAGTGCTTATGTGGAGACTACACCTCTGCCACAAATTCTTAAACCTAACCCACAATGCACATACGACGTCACATGTGCTAAAATGTGCAGGACCGTCTCCGATCTAGGGTTCTCCATGTTAATAGGGTAATCATAGGAATAAACGGAACGAATAATCATAGCAATTTTGATTCAAGATAACAGGCGCCTCCTCATCAATAATCAATATTATTTAACTACTCCCCCCCCCGCATATTCCTTAGTGGAATATGGACTAGGACACAAAAAGCAATGGCCATGTAGTGTCAGAGAGTACGAAAGCTTCCTATCATTGGTGTGGAATCTAAATGCAGGTGACCTCGTAGCAATGATCATCAGCAGATGTAGTGTCATATTCCTGAAGCAATGGCCCGAGAAATCCCTCTCTGGCCATTGCTGGATTAGCTTCTGATACTAGCGCTTTTGAGGGAGTGTGTCTATTCTTTCCATTCAATCAAATCTATCCAAAACCACAGCAACATGACAGTCCTTCTTTTCATCAGGGGCGTTCCCTAAAACTTTGGACAATGATTTAAGGTATTAAAAACGACGAAAGTGTTGTTCGTCTCAAAACAAGATTATATCAGTGTTGATAGTTGATAGCCTTGTTTGTCACACAATTAGTTTTTCACAATATTTTGCTATGTACTGGTTAATTGGGCATAATAAAATCGTTAGTCATGACGTAACGTTATGTAAACCTATTTTGTCCAATTTGGAGCCCTGTTTGGTATTGTTACGCAGTAAGCTATTGGTTGTTAATTGGACTATTGATCAGTCATAATTTAGAACAAGAATTTGCTTTCTTTACAGCAGTGAGTAGTGGGATTAGCTCTAATCAAACGAAACATTGCGAGGAGTATGATGTAGTGTACAAGTAATACTCACCTATCTATCTCAGACAAGCATGCCATTAACGTCTCCCTGGTATCGGCATCTTTTGGAACACCCCATCTTAAATCACATTCTATAAGCCGAAGTTTTCTTTCATCACACCACTGACGTAAAACAGGCACCACCGACTTGACCAAATATTCACGTTCACAATTCATATCTTTAAACGTACTCGATATAAACAATCTGACGGTCTTCCATTGTTTTCTCTGGTAATAGAATATACGGAATTAGTCATCATACAGCGTTAAGTCTTATTTTAATACGAGAGAGAGAGAGAACGAGAGAGAGGGAGGGGGGCTTTAACGTCCACTGGACAAAAACTAGGTCATTTTGGGACTAATATATGGTTCAATTTTATTTCAATAATTCGCTTGCGCGTAGGGGTTTTTAGCAGTGGGAGGAAACCGGATAACCCGGAGAAAGCCCACGAGATTGGAGTAGGCTCCTTGTCACGTACAACCAGGAAATCGAAACCACGCCATGATAAAGCAGGCACGTGCTAACCATTCGGCCATTCAACCCTCCTATTTTAATAAGAAATGTCTCAAGCGAAACGATCTGACTTGTCACCACAAGTAGCATAGACGAACACAAAGCTTTCGGGAAACATTTGCCTCTTTGGCATTGAACACGTTACTATAGTGAAAACAATTGGGGGTATAGAGGAATTGGGTTTAACGTCTTCTCGACACATAATAGAACATTTCGGGACTAACATTTTATTTTATTAATTCGTTTGCGCATAGGGGTCTTTCTCTGTGGGAGGAAACGGAGCATCAGGAGAAAACTCACGTACAAGCGGGGATTCGAAACCACGCCACTTGACTTAATGACAGACATCATGATCTAACGCGCACGCGTTTAAGCCATTCGACAACCCAACCCCCGTTTAGAAAGATACATACCTTTATGTCAGGTAAAACAACAGGTGCATCATCAGAAATTAACTCATCAACGGCATCCCAGAAATTGCAATCTGGGTTGCTAGTTCTTTTGTCTTGCAAAATTTTCCTGATATCACTTTGTTCCCATTTTCGTATGGTCTGTGCGTCTTTCTGACGCATTGATGACATGCGGGAAGTGACAGCGGGATTTTTAAAAGATTTTGAATTTTTGGAATTCACGACTGCAGTTTTATGAGTTCGGCCATCTTGCGACTGATCCATTGGTTTCTTTTCTGAAGCTATGTAACCATTGGTATTTGACCGATTCTGCATGGATGCTCCACATCCCATCTTTGGACGAACCCAATGATAATAATCAAAATACTGGTATGGATACTACATCATTTTCTGTTGAAATTGAAATAACCTGGAAATGTAAAAAAAAGATTTCAGAAAAAATGAGTCCTGCTAATCACGGAAAAGAATTGAAAAGATTTTTCAAAACCTTCCCCACCCCACCCAATAATCGACACAAGCTATATAGTATACAATTGTTCTTGTTTTTGGGCGGGGGTGGGGTTTAACGCGTGCGCGTTGTATCAGAAGGTCGCCTGTCCAACCTCATGGGTTTTCTCCGGGCCATCCTGTTTCCTCCTATTGCACCATATAAAATTGAACCATATGTTAGTCCCAAAATGACCTAGTTTGTTTTGAGTGGACGCTACTCTCTCTCTCTCTCTCTCTCCCTCTCTCTCTCTCATATCTCTCTCCCCTCTCCCTCTTTCTCTCTCTCCCTCTCTTCAAAACCCGTAATTTTTCCATATCACCCCAAGATAACAAAACGATTTATAACTTACCTTCATGATCATTGAGTATTATATAAAATGAAATCCTATGCCGTCGCCGGTGGTGTACAACGAAGATCAATAATCACAGGTTTCCTATCTGTTGTACCGCTAATGAATCACCAAGTTAATATCATGCTACACGTATATGAACATACACTGTGTTTACTGACCTGAATCGAACAGGATATATCATGAATATAACTCCCAATCGATATAAAACCGTCATTCAATACTTGACAACCGATATAAACATTTACAAATATCACGTGATATCATCCTTTAATGAGCCATGTCAGTGAGAGAGAGAGAGAGAGAGAGAGAGAGAGAGAATGGGGTTTATCGTCCACTCGACACACACTAGGTCATTTCGGGAATAACATGGTTTTAATTTTATTTCAATAATTCGCTTGCGTGTAGGGGTCTTTAGCAGTGGGAGAAAACCAGGGGACCCGGAGAAAACCCACGAGATTGGACAGGCAACCCTATTCCTTGTCACCTACAACCGGGGATTCGAAACCACGCCAGTTGACTCAATGATAGACCTTATGATAACGCGCGCACGTGCTAACCATTCGGTGCCCCCCCCCCCCAGGTCAGTGAATAAGAACGGGAATTAAATGGGGTGTAACGTCCCATTGGTCTGTTCAGAAGGGGCTGATGATGACGGGCGTACACTAATCAGTGTGCTATGAAGGAAATTGTGCCCGGGCAGTGCTGGCTTTACGGTCTACTCTTATATCGAATTCCAACTGCCTATAGTGTTCTTTTACGTGTACATTTTCCGGCGTGATTACCCCTTGTCAGTGGTGAAAAACAGGGGGCCTGACAGGGACAGCTGTCTAGTCCCTTGGATGAGACGAAAAAAACCGAGGTCCCGGGTACACATTGGCGTGCACGTAAAAGATCCCTTGACAGTTGGACTTCGATATAAGAGTAGGCCGTACGACCGCTGCTCGGGCAAATTTTCCTCATAGCACACAAGCAGAACAGAAGGACGTTAAACCCCATTCCATTTTATTTTACGTGTACGACAATGTGTACGCTGGATGAGAATAGTCTTTTTTATATAATACGGCGGTAAAGCTCTGTCCTTCATTATTATGTATGCATAGGCCGTACCGAGGCTCGGTGAGTAGGGCGTTGCGTCGTTTACCTAGAGATCCCGGTTTTGGCGGAGAAAGTTTAACGTGAAAAATCCCTGACATTTGGAATTCGATATAAGAGTAGGCAAAAACGTTGCTGCCCGGGCCAAATTTCCCGCATAGCACACTGTTAAAACCCATGTCATTTCATTTCATTTTGGGGGTCTTTGGTACCGATGCTGCTTTATACCAAGTGATGGATGTCATGTGATAAGCTGGCTCTTTATAGAGTATCTGATACCACCTCTGAAAACATTTGTTTTGTTTGGACATATGAAATGAAATGAAATGAAATGGGGTTAAACTACCTACTGTTCTGCTCCGACTGGGCTAATGAAGAGGAGCATGCGCCATACGGTGCTATGAGATTTTTTTACGTGAACGTAATGTGTACACACGACCTCGGTTTTTCGTCCCATCCGAACGACTAGACAGCTGCCCTTGTCATACGCTCCATCCTGCACCACTGACAAGGGGAAACCACGCTGGAGAATCCCGATGAACTTTGTCGGCTCACACTGGGAGCGAACCCGCGACGTCCTGACTAGCCAGCGTCTTACCCACTTAGCCACTTACCCACTAAAGAACACCAGCTCAGAGATTAAATGCAAAGTATAAGATTGTTAGCTATGGTGAGCTGAGAAGTGGCATTCAGTTTTTGCGATCGCAACCCAGGCCTAGAGACCCCGCCCCCTCCTTCTCCCGCGAAACCTTCGATATGTTTCCAGGGTAGAATTTATTATCCAGAACAAAACAAATTATCAAAAATTGTATTCAATATTATTTATTTGACATGATCGGGGATTCCAGTTTTAAAACCACAGAATCAACCAGTGTAACCGTAGATCCAGCTAAGATATTTGCTGTTTCGTGTATAAACGGATGGAGTGCCTACAGGACATCCGCTTAATCCCCATGAGGTGACTCCTACTACAACCATTTCACCATTAACATTACAAACAGCTGGTCCACCACTGTCACCCTGGAAATAGATGAATAAATGTAATTATTTACGAATCCTCCCAAGCAGCAGGCCCGTAACTAGGGGAGGGAGGGGGCCGAAGGGGGTGCTTCGCCCCCCCCCCCTCGTGAAAAATTTTTCGACCATATATATTGACTGTAAATATTAAATGCACCCCCGAGAACACTTCCCGGCCCCCTCGTTGCTCTGAGCTAGTTACGGCCCTGCCAAACAGAGAACACATGACCATTGTGAAAACCAAATTCAACTTACGTTACAAGCGGAGCTGCTACCAGAACCATCAACACAGATATTGGTATTTCGAACTCCCAGGAATCCAGTGAAACCAAGAGCACTTTGACATGCGGAATTGGTGATAACGTTAGTAGAGGTTACCTGAAGAGCATTAGGTAATGGTCCTCCATCTGGAAAAAAAAGTTACAATGTCAGAGAATTAAATGTAGAATCAATTTATAAAAAGAAGCATATCCCTTTATCTGAGCTACTTCCGGAATATAAGCATATTACTTTGCTCTTTTCTTAACTTGCTTAAAGAGGTCCCGAATTACGAGTAACCACAAAGCTTATTTTCAATTGATAACTAAATAATCAGGAATCAGGAAATAAAAAGTGATTTATAAGCCTTTTTGGCCATAACGTGAATATTTTCAGATTTGTCATAGAAGATACATTTACTTGCAAATTGAGTGCATTGACAAATATCTGTTTCCATGATAATTAGGATGTCCTGTAATCGATTCATGATTAGGATCCCGGACGGTGATTTATACAATAGCGTGTATTAGTAATGTTCCTACTGTAATCACTGTACTTGCCTAGATGTTCGACCTCTGTTAGTAATAAAACATTCAGGGATTTTACAGTAATTATTGTACTTACCAAAAGTTCGACCCCAACCAGTAATATAACACTCTGCGACACTACTGTAATCATTGGAATCATTTGGTGGTAAGGTGGCGTATGTAATGCCATCATTTTCATCAATGGGTGTTACAAGCTCAACCAAACCAATGTCATTAGGAAAGCCAGTGCTGTTTGGGTCGTAACTTGGATGCTGGAATCAAATTTATATTGTTAAATCATGAAGGGGGCGCGTTTCCCTACACAACCGAATGAACTCCGACTAGAAACACGTTGATGCAATACGTATTGAATCAATTTTCATTATATGGCTGAGCTAAATATCAAATAATAATATTTTTAATATATTTTCCAGATTAAAGGACAATATTGGTGCCAGTTATTATCACATTAAGACACATTTTGATGAGAGGCCTTTTAGTAAATTAAAACATAATATATACTGAGACGCAATGAAAGCGCTTCACTGATTTGACTGGAAGTGTTGGCGAAACGTAATGCGGCTGAAATGAGATTTTAGGTATGACATATCTTTACCGACGCAACAACCATCCATTACTGTACTTTACTCTACTGTGAAACTCCGGTGCAAGCGTTAAAAAACAAAGTCAGCAACGGCGTTAAGTCAGAAGTGTCCAACGTCAGGCACGCAGTCCTGCAAAGTGTAGTCGGTACTGATGGACCCATGTCGACCCATCACAGTAGGAGCAGCACGGGAAGCCGATAGCCTAGTGTAGTGTAGTCGGCACTGATGAAACCATGTCGACCCATCACAGTAGCAGCAGTACGGGAAGCCGACAGCCTTGTCAAGGCGTTGTCACACGGTGTCTTAGATCCTACTCTTAATTTGAATTCCAGCAGTCAGAGTTTTTTTACATTCACGGGATCTCTGATTTTTGTCCCATCCGAACGACTAGTTGCTGTCCCTCTGACAAGGGGAAACCACGCTGAAAAGTTATGGGGAACTTTCTGGGCCGACACGGTGATCGAACCCTTGTTCTCCTGATTAGCTAGCCAGTCCCTTACTCAAATAAGAATATAGGAAGAAGAATATTGTCTGTTTCTGGGAATCTTATAGAACTGAACTATTATCTCACCTGTATCTTTCTTACAAGTTGTGAGGCTTTCTCGAATCCTGAGGGTGTTTGGAGAAAATGGCCACCGGCAACCACCTGCATATCAGACCTATGGTATCAAATATTAGCAAATATAGAAATATGTCTCGACTGACAAGTGGATGGTTTTGTGTAAGATTTGACATATCAATATTCTTGCTTATGGCTACACCACTGATAAAATCCATTTCAAATGCTTTGTATTTCAAATAAAGCTTTGCTATAATATCCCAACATCTACAACTGACGAGGCTCTGGTGGTTAGCTAAATCTATTCCTTAAGGCTACCCCCAGATTTCGTCTAGGTCGCTGAGATGTAAATAAGGTTAGGACACGTGATTGTTGACGAAACTGTGGGTTAGGGTTTGGGTAAGGGTTACAATATTAATCTAGAGTTTTACAATGTCGAGGTAAATATCAATTTATAGAGTTTTACTATGTGAAGATTCCCTTTACTTACGCATCAGCGTCAATACAATGTGCTGCGGTTAGAGCCCAGTTGCTGTTAATCATAACAGCACCACAAATATGTGACCAGCTATTGCCATCTCGACGTCTAAGAGACGCTTGCCACGGGTGACTATGGGGTTCAGCATCTTGACCACCAACGATTCGTTGATTTTGAGCCTCGGCTTTAAGAAAAAAGAAGCGAAGTTAAAATGAGATATCACCCAGAGCCATTCAATCAATATGTTTTTGGTATCTTTCGTCTTTGGTCTTCAGCAATGGGATCTCAAAATAATAATGACCCTTCTTCAGCAACAGTTCGGAGAAACAGAGTTTGGCGTCGTTGCGGCGTAAGGTTAGCATCAACAAACATTGTGAACTGTGCGATTTTTACATTTGCTAAGCAGGAGGTTTCACACGGTATTTGACACAAGAGTCTCAAGCCTAGTTCATAACCCACCGTACGTGCTATAGTAAATCCATGCGTGAGACTTACGCTTCACTTGCGTGTGTTCGGCACCGTAGAAGATTGCAGACTGGCCGTAGAGACTTTTGGTCCTGCTCATATAACATTTAACATTTTCACCCGGTTTCTTGCAGCTGGTCTGCTAGCTACCAAACCCTACGACCCGTGCCTGTCACAACACGTACGGTGGGATGTGAGCTAGGCTTTAGATATTGTTCCCAGAGCATGTGCTCAATCACAACGACCGTACCACGGAACCAGTAAAGTAACATTTACTTCTTAACAAACCGACGCTCGTCGGTCCAAAAGAATAAATCGCGACAGAACTATCTGTATTACGCCACGCTCGACGCAACACAGTTTCTAGGACGTCGGTCATTTCTACTCGCAGTCACCACTGTTTATTACGTGTAGGATAAAGCACGAGACAGAGGATATGCTCTGGAAAGAAAGACTGAAGAAAATAACCCGAGAGGCCGAGGTTTTTCTCTCGAGAGTTGTTTCTGAAGTCTTTCTTCCCCAGCATAACCGAAGGCGAGGACTTTATCTTGCTTATAAACCGTCTATGTTTACATGTACGCAAGATGAGAATATCTCAGAATTCCCGTATGAAAAACCTTATATCATGTTTTCTTATGGAAAAACTTTCAGAAGAATAACCCCAAATTTCCCTGTATATAACCAAAGCCGCCCCGACTTTCAGACCGCAAGTTATTCCGGGCATAGAATATACCCCAAAGATCAACGAGATTTACCGTTACAGGTTTATAAATGTTGTATTCAACCCATAAAGTCGGTGGCTATTTGCAACGAGGTTACAAGCCATCCAATTCATCCGGCTTCTGACATTACAGTTAAAAAAAAATGAAATGAAATGAAATGGGGTTTAACGTCCTACTGTTCTGCTCCTATACTGGGCTAATGAAGACGGGCTATGAGGGAAATTTTGCCCGGGCAGCGCACTATCGCCTACTCTTATATCGAATTCCAACTGCCAAGGGATCTTTTACGTGCATTCCAATGTTTACACAGGACCTCGGTTTTTCGTCTCATCCGAAGGACTAGACGGCTGTCCTTCTCAGGCCCTCCGTCCTGCATCACTGACAAGGGGAAACCACGTCGGAAAATCGGGATGGACTTTCTCGGCCAATGCAGGGATCGAACACCCGACCTCCAGGGCTAGCGAGCCAGCGCCTTACCCACCTAGCCACCGTGGCTCCCATTACAGTTCAAACTAACAAACCATTTATGAATAAATATACTACGATACCTCTTCGTATTTGCGAATTTATAAAGATTGTTGAAATTCGATCTAATAATTAATAACGATCTTACCTATGGCAGCCACAATGAGAAGAGATAGAACAATCTTCATCATTGATTTCATTAGTGTTACTGATGATTATGTTCTCAAGTCAATGATCTTATATAGTTACCAACCATCAATAAACTGGTACTCCAAATCATAAAATGGTAAAGGACATTTAATGAGACATGTAGATTTACGAATACATCTAAAGTTTATATCGAAATGAAAAGAGGGAGAGAGAGAGAGACAGAGAGTGAGAGAGAGAGAGTGAGAGAGAGAGACAGAGAGTGAGAGAGAGAGAGATAGAGAGAGAAATTGGGTTTAACGTCCTCTCGACACAAACCAGGTCATTTTGGGATAAACATATGTTTCAATTTTTATTTCAATAATTCGCTTGCGCGTAGGGGTCTTTAGTAGTGAGAGGAAACTGGAGGACCCGGAGAAAACCCACGGGGTTGGACAGGCGACCCTACTCCTTGTCATGTACAATCGGGGAATCGAAACCCCGCCAGTTGACTAAATGACAGACCGTGTGATACAGCGCGCGCGTGCTAACCATTCGGCCATCCAACTCCCCCGAAATGGAAAGAAATGGTGTATAACATTATACCTTTTCTGCACCGACTGGGCTAATGAAGGTGATGGGGGGGGGGGGTGCGCCTAGTCTTATTCCGAATCCAACTGCGAAGTGTTCTTTTAAAGCACGTCAATGTGTACACAGGGCCTCGATTTTTCGTACCATCCGAACCGTTGTCCTGCACCACTGACAAGGGAATTCCGCGCCGGAAAATCAGAAGGCAATTCCTCGGCCAACACCGGGAGCCGACCGAAGACCTCCTGGTTAGAGAGCCCGCGTCTTATCCACTGAGCCACTATATCTTTCAAAGTTAATAACATTTACTAAATGCAATGGAAATGGCGTTGCTGATAAGTCTGCATCATCAGTGTCAGTTTCTGAACTACAACAGTAGCTCATGATTTGAAAATATATCGTGTAACAAAAGATACGAGTAACCTGATCCATTGCCAGAAACTAGATATTGAGAGAAAAAAAAAGTATCTGTACAACTTTGATTCACTCTTTTTTTCTGAACGATGACGTAGGCAACTATAAGGATCAGCATAGATTGGCAGATAGAGAATATTTGTAGGTTTATACAAAATACAGTATGAAATGGGGTTTAACATCCTACTGTTCTGCTCCGGCTGGGCTAATGAAGACGGGGGCTGAATGTTCTAACGCGTGCATTGTAGATTATAATGCTTTGTTTTACAGCGAATCAGGTGCTATGTTTCAAACCAGTGAGAGTGAGGGTGAGTGGGGGGGGGGGGGTGACCGAATGGTTGGCACGCGCGCGCTGTATCATAGGGTCTGTCATTGAGTCAACTGGCGGGGTTTCGATTCCCCGGTGTACGTGACAAGGAATAGGGTCGCCTGTCGATCCTCGTGGGTTTTCTCAGGGTTCTCCGGTTTCCTCCCCCTATTAAAGACCCCTACGCGCAAGCGAATTATTGAAATAAATTGAACCATGTGTTAGTTCCGAAATGACCTAGTTTGTGTCGAGTGGACGTTAAACTCCATCTCTCTCTCTCTCTATCTCTCTCTCTTTCTCCAGTGAGATTTTAAATATTATTCCCAAAATGATCTAGTTTGTCTTGGGTGGATGTTAAACGTCACTGCCCTCTATGTAACTTCCCTTTAATGTGATCGAACATATGGTAGTTCATTATTAATATTAAATGACTACAATAAAACAATTATTATTCTTAACATAGAGACTTCAAGTATTTAAAGGAGGGACTGACAAATGTTTAAATTCCCATGTATCGTTAAGTCATTGAGCTCACGTTCGGGACAATGGCTTTCTGCTTCAGGTCACAGAGTTCAGTAATCATAAAATGTAAGGAGGGGGGGGGGGGGGCATCCTGGTCGTTCACCCGGCTTCGCGCTGTAAAACCAAACTCCACTGGGTTACATTCCACATGCAGGAATAAACCCTATTTCTCTGTGTCGACTTGACGCTTTACGATAAAACATAATTTACTCGGTGAGAATATTCTTGAACACGACTTGTACATAATACACCCCAAGAGATAATCAAATACAAAGAGTCCCTAAAACAAAAGACAAAATCCACCAAATATTGTGTTTACTTCCTTTTTCTGGTACAAAATTATTGGGTATATCAAAAATGTCAAAACATTTTCTCGTACGAAAATAATGGGTATATCAAAACTGTCAAAACTTTTTTCTGGTACGAAAATAATGGGTATATCAAAACTGTCAAAAGATTTTCTGGTACGAAATTAATGGGTATATCAAAACTGTCAAAACATTTCCGGGTACGAAAATAATGGGTATATCAAAACTGTCAAAACTTTTTCTGGTACGAAATTAAAGGGTATATGTCAAAACATTTTCTGGTACGAAATTAAAGGCTATATCAATTCAAAATGTGAGTATCGTATAACAAAAAACAAACAATATATAAGATCTATATTTTTATTTATATAGAAGTTTAAGATTGAATCAACCAGTGTAACCCCTGATCCAGCTAAGATATTTGCTGTTTCGTGTATAAACGGATGGAGTGCCGACAGGACATCCGCTTAATCCCCATGAGGTGACTCCTACCACGTGCATTTCACCATTAACATTACAAACAGCTGGACCACCACTGTCACCCTGGAAATAAATGAATACACTTGTAACGAAATGACAGCTGTCTAGTCGTTCGGATGGGACGAAAAGCCGAGGTCCCGTGCGCGTTTGATCATAAGGTCTTTCATTGAGTCAGGTGGAGTGGTTTCGATTCTCCGCGTCCGCCCTAGCGAATTATTGAAATAAAATTGAGCTATATGTTAGTCTCGAGTTTCGAGAAGACGTTAATCTCTCTCTCTCTCTCTCTCTCTCTCTCTCGCTCTCTCTCTTTACGATAAGGGGCGTTGGGTGGCCGCTGTAGATCATGATACGGTCTGTCATTGTATCAGTTGGCGTGGTTTTGGTCGCCTGCCTAACCTCGTGGGTTTTCTGCTTGTCCTCCGGTGTCCACTACAGCTAAATATCCCTACGCTATTATTGAAATGGACGTGTACCTTATTATAGACACAACATGCCCTAGTATGTGTTGAGTGGACGGTACACTTACGTTACAAGCGGAGCTGCTACCAGAACCATCAACACAGATATTGGTGGATCGAACTCCCAGGAATCCAGTGAAACCAAGAGCACTCTGACATGCGGAATTGGTTATAATGTTAGTACGGGTTACCTGAAGAGCATTAGGTAATGGCCCTCCATCTGGAAAAGAGTTAAAAACGAAGACCTGTAACAGCTAGTTACACACTTGCTAATTAATGACAACTGTATAATTTCTAAACACTTTCTATACATACTAAACACTAGTTTAGAATACTGACCACTTATATGATTTAATGGCAAAAATTTGCCATTACAAAAACAGCTAGCTTCATCAGTCAACGGTATCAGCTTACCGGTACAAGTGGGTTTGGATGGCCGAATGGTTAGCACGTGTGCGCTGTATCCCAAGGTCTGTCATGGTGTGGTGGTGGTGGTGTTAACGGGTGCGCGTTAGTTCATAGGCCTGTCATTCAGTCAACTGGCGTGGTGTCGATTCCCCGGTTGTACGTAACAAGGGGTAGGGTCGCCTGTCCAACCTCGTGAGATTTTTCAGGGTCCCTCCCACCGCTAAACACCCCTACGCCCAAGCGAATTATTGAAATGATATTGAACAACGTGTTAGTCCCGAAATGACCTAGTTTTGACGAGTGGACGTTACACCCCTCTCTCTCTCTCGCCCTCTCTCTCTCACCCACCAGTGTAATGTAATAATCGTACTTACCATAAGTTCGACCCCAGCCAGTAATATAACACTCTGCAACATTACTGTAATCATTGGAATCATTTGGCGGTAAAGTGGCGTATGTAATGCCATCATTTTCATCTATGGGTGTTATAAGCTCAACCAAACCAATGTCATTAGGATAGCCAATGCTGTTTGGATCATAACTTGGATGCTGAAAAGAAATTTATATCCGTTAAATCATCAAGACGGCGATATATCATATGCTGTCAAATTTATATTTGTTTTGAAAGGCCATAAATATTAACCCCCAGTCTAAAGAAACTGGTCCTGGTGAAAATGATATCCGTTAAATATTTCTTAGATTGTTAAGAATGGGACAATTTACCTGTGGAGTAAAACCGAACTGAACTCCTTGTCCAGGAATCGACAGTAAAGGATTTCCACTCCTAAACTTATGACCTCTTGTCCAAGCACCCTTCCCCCTTCCACCCCGACTCCATCCCATCTGATGAAATACTCGCTTTGTACCAGTATTCGTATGTGCATAATACACTGTTTATTTTTTTAGTTTGTCTTCATCTTTGCAAACCGAATAGGAAGTTAGGGGCTCCCATTTGGGCAAACTGAATACGAAGTTAGGGACCCCAATTTGTGCAACAGCGCTGTTCTATTTAAACTGCGGTATAGTTCAAATTGATAAAGCAGAAACAACCAAATGATTTTTCGATAATCATGAAGCCCATAAAGGTATAGTTGTGCATTTAAAAAAAACCCAACAAAATCATGGACTTCTACCTCACGTTGTCGTTAAGATATTTCGGTGTGCGGTGTTCTGTTTACGATAGTCGATCACGCGATTCGAAGCTACCTGAATTCACCCATAACGTCCCTACATGTACCGGGTGACACAAAAAAAGCGTTCATCACCTAAACTTGGTCGACGAAGAGGGGTCGTCAGGGACCTCCAGTGGTTCCAGCAGGATGGTGCCACCCTCCACACTTCAAACGAATCATTGGCATGGCTACAGCAGCGTTTCCCTGACCGACTGATCAGCCGCAGGTGTGACCCGGAGTGGTCGCCGCATTCACCGGACTTGAACGCCCCAGATTTTTATCTGTGGGGATACCTTAAGGACAGGGTGTATGGCAACAACCCCCCGACTATACCTGATCTGAAGGCAGCAATCACAGCAGCAATAAAAGCGACCCCAAGGGAAGAATGTGGGAGGGTCATCGAGAACTTTGCCCGCCGGATCCAAATGTGCTTGCAGCACCGGGGAGCTCATTTAGAGCACATTTTCTGAGCGCCAGTTAAACAAAGAGTTTTTGTGGTACAGACTTGAAACTTTGAAGATGTCTGCTACATAGACTTAACCTACTGTAGCTGAATTTTGGTGTTAATCTAAATAAAATTTCGGAAGTTATTCGATTGTTATTGATGAACGTTTTTTTTGTGTCACCCTGTACAATGGAAACATAATTCCCAAAGTTGTCCAAAGGTTTACTCTACCGGGTTTTATTAAAATATTTAGTAATTATTATTGATCGCCTTACCTGAATAACTCGTGAAGCAACTGATGCTCTCTCAAATTGCGAGGGAGTTTGCAAGAAGTGGCCACCAGCTACTACTTGAAGATCAGAAGCAGACCTATTAAATGAATCATCAATTAATACATCAAACTCTTACACCTACACAATCTACCCAGACGAACAACAACAAAACCCCACGCCACTATAAACAATGTTCCGGGAGTAAATTATCTCAATTCCAAAAATAGTGGCAATCAAGTGAAAAGGAGAAATTCGGAGTACAACGCATGTGCCGACTGCATAAAAAATATCTCAATCAATCATGACAATTGAACCATATTTGTTACTTAAAATACGTCACGATTCTATTTACAACACCTCAGCTGTTGAGACTGGCAGAGGGTTGAATTCTATATCACTTGATTGCAATTCTATCAGTTCGGGACGTTCCAGACTGATACTCGAGCACACCTCGAGCAAAATTACAACAAGATACTAATTTGTTTGAAATATTAGTTATAAATTCATTATTTGTATTAATAAAATGATTTTAATAACATTAATAGATGTTCCCAGATAAAACTTATGCTTCAAAACTCGCAGGCCCAACATACGAATAAAGGGGAAGCTACTCTTAATCAAAAATACAAGAAGTTGCCAATTTGTTTAAAATATTAGCTATAATTTCATTATTTGTATTAATAAAATAATTTTAATACCATGAATGGACCAATTTCACTCGGTCAGGTAACATAGCGTATCATAATTGCGTCTATTGGTTCTGTAACCTACACCAGGTATCAGCTTGGACGTTATTATTATTATACAACCTTCGCAACAAAATTTTAGTCCTTTCATGTCATTTATGATAAATGTGTAAAAATTTGACACGGCTGTTGTGACTGAATGGCGACGGTGGATCGACCAAATTGATACGTACAAAAAATGTGAATACGTCAACGCGACAACTTTTCCACAATCCAAGAGTATATCAAGACTTAATTCTCTATTTCTCCGAACGACTTAGGTGTAGCAATATTGCAGGCTACAATAATTAGCAGTTTGGGAGGCCCCTATTCACTAACTGACAATCGCTCAGAGAATTTAGCTTTTTTTTATTCAATCTGATTAAAATACAGATCTATATTTGGTTTCGTATTTTTTATACTTTCGATGGCCTACACTACATGAAGATCTGACCGGTTCTAGTGGAAGCTGTCGTACCAGACACAAGAGGCGTTTGACCCTATGACGTCAGATATTGATTAATCAATCAACGTTGACGTTTTGACTAGTGGTTTACCCACAGTTCCGTGCATCGCACACAAATAACTCGCCGTAACAGACCGTTTCATTAGTTAGCCACTCACTTTAACCAGAACGCGTGTTATATAAGAACTCGTCAAGATCATAGTGTTGTGAAGACAAGTAAAACGAAATTTTGAAATATAAAAAACAAAACGAAATAGGATTGATTTTTATTATTAAGACTGCCATTGAAAAAATCATTCTAGTTCCATATATTCCGGAATATCTATAAATCACTGTTTTCTATATTTCATTTTTGTTAACTTATGTGTATTACAGTGACCACCACCCCTTTAATATACAGGAGACAAATCATATTGTAAAGGTACAGTAATATCAATAAAAGTTTGTCAACATTAATAAATTACAATTCAATAAATCCCTTACTGTATATGTGGGTGCATAACTGAAACCCATTGAAAATAAAAATATAGTATATGTCTTTACTTACGAGTCGATACAGTGAGCGGCAGTTAGAGCCCAGTTTCTGCTAATCATCACAGCACCACAAATATGTGACCAGCTATTGCCATCTCGACGTCTAAGAGACGCTTGCCACGGGTGACTATGAGGTTCAGCATCTTGACCACCTACGATACGTTGATTTTGAGCTTCTGCTGTAAAGGGAAATCAATGTAAAGTTACAACTAACAAGTTACCGCCCTGTGCATTATTTTACAGCTTTCAAATAATGTGTAGTCTATGTTTTGTTGGTCACATTATCTGCATTATTACAAATACGTTGATGCAGAAAAAAAGACACTAAAAACCATTTTATTTCATATAGCCTATTTTGGAATCAGAAAATTCCGGATAAAATGCATACATTTTTATAACATTTTTAATTTCAAATTTCTATTTTTCTCTATGGGTCTCCTTAAACTATCAATAAAAAGGCCCACTTCTGTTAAATTATATTCATGATTGGTTTGGTACCAACCGTCGTTAAATTGGTATTTAACAAGCTAGCTAACTATTGTTAGCTACGGACTACAGTTAACTATAACCATACAACACGGTAATTACATATTTCTAGGCGGGACTATGGATTCTGAAATCTATGTGGGAGCCACGATGGCTAAGTGATTAAGACGCTGGCTCGCTAGTCAGGAGGTCACGGGTTCGCTCCCGGTGTTGGCTGAGAAAGTCCAACGGTGCAGGACGGGGGGCCTGACAAGGACATCTGTCTAGTCGTTCAGATGGTACGAGAAACCGAGGTCCCGTGTACACGTAACTCTTGGCAGTTGGAAATGGATATAAGTGAAGGCCGAAGTACAGCTGTCCGGGCAAAATTTCCCTCACAGCACACTGTATGGCGTATGCCCGTCTTCATTAGTCTAGTAGTAGCAGAGTAGTAGGACGTTAATCCCCAATTCATTCAATCATACATGACAAGGAGTATATAGGGTCGCCTGTCCAACCTCGTACGTTTTCTACGAGTCGTCCGGTTCCCCCCCCCCACTGCTAAAGACCACTACGCGCAAGCGAATTATTGAAATAAAATTAAACCATATGTTAGTCCAAAAATGATCTAGTTTATGTCGAGTGAACGTTAAACCCATCTCTCTCTCTCTCGCTCTCTCTCCCTCTCTCTCTCTCTCTCTCTCTCGTGCTGGTGTGGTTTACAGCACGCTCCTCCATTTTAGCTTAAATCACAATATGGCTCAACTGTTCTAATCTATTTAATATCGGAGAAATCCGATGCCATCGAGAGTTGATTATAGCCTGAATAGGTTAATTAATGTCTAATTAATAATTTAGAAAACATTTCAGGTCTAAAGAAAGACCTGCAATAGGCAGATTTAGCTCTGGCATAATGTATGTTTAATGTTTTAAGTAAAACTATTCCCCATAACAATCTACTGTAAAGTCATTAGGGGTTGATACTGAAATAACTACAACCGTCAATAATTGTGACACTATGCAGGCTACCCTTGCAGGATCCCTTCGACCGCCTCAGACGGACTCACAGTTCCTACCACCATTTATTTCTCCGCCCAATTTCATAAAATTAGGGTTGACGTAACGGCGTGCTCTAATGAAACACTTGTCCATATATGGTCAAGGATCCGACCAGATAGTTGACGCCCCTAACCTTTTGATATAACTTAGAACAGTGCGTTCTCCACGGGAGAGGGTTGGGCGAAATAGCCAGGGTAGACATCATAGGTTTCAATCGTGATTAACGTTAAAATATCTAAAGAACAGTTGCTGTGTCGATGTTGTAGAATATATCATTGTAACATACAAAGATACCTTCAACACACAGAAAGAGTTTGAAGTCTTATTGATCACGACGTAAAGTCCTACCCAGACACAGCATAGTGTCATATAATCACATGCTCTGAATTTGACGTACATAAGGTAAGCTGCGGTTGATACTAGGCGACAGTTTGTGTCGATGTGTTGGTCATATAACAACTTATTTCCAAGCTTGTTATTGGAAATAAAACCTTCGGGATGTTTTTTTCGAATAACAGCCTGGAAAACCGTTGTTATCTACTATATAGACGATATTTGTCGTTTTGTCGTGAATAACATATTTTATTTCATCGAGAAGCAAGAAAACTTATATTTTCACGAATGCGTAGCATGAGTGAAAATATAAACGTTTTCTTGCTTAGAGATGAAATAAAATATGTTATTCACGACAAAACGACAAATGTTCTATTTATTTTATGATTTTACAATCATTTTAGGTAAAAACAACATGGACTACTGCTAGCCAGTGGAATAACACTTTTATTTCACCGATAAAACGCGGTATTCCACTACTGATCAAAAAATAAATACATGTAGTACACTACATGGCGTGTGCCCATCATCAGCTCGGGCATAATATGATTTGTCATTTGATGGAGATGTTTACGTATAGCTATTAATTTCAGTTGTACTTACCCACGGCAGCCACAAGGAGGACAGCTAGAACCACTTTCATTGTTGCTATATGGTTACGTTACTGTAGATTTACTCGTAACGCTCGCATTTATATACGAATTGCCAATTCACAAGTGTTGTCTTATCCATGCCCATAAAATTTTTAAAAAAATTCTTTGCAGATGGTTCTTCGCATGAATTCGAGTTAATTGCAAACCACTTAAAATCCATTCTCTTGTCATTTTATTTATCGATTTCATTTTAAAGTTCTGGTTACATACAGTTATAGATTTAGAAGAAGAGATATCCCAGGTTATTCCATTTATAAGGTCCCATCTAATCCCCCAACCTCACGATTCGAGGAAGATAAACGATGTTAAAATACATATTTAGTTCTGGTTAACTATGGTTAAATGGTATGGCTAGTGAGTGAATAAACTATAAACTTGATGTTTGAGATTTGATGAGTCTCTTCCAGTATCGCCGATTTATTGTATTAACAATTGTACTTCTGTTTTACCAATTTTACAGAGGCGGTGTCGCTGTTTGAAACATCTGATGACTGATACTCATGAGAGAGAGAGAGAGAGAGAGAGAGAGAGAGAGAGATGGGGTTTAACGTCCACTCGACACTAACATATGGTTCAATTTTATTTCAATAATTCGCTTGCGCGTAGGGCTCTTTAGCAGTGGGAGGAAACCGGGGGACCCGGAGAAAACCCACAAGGTTGGACAGGCGACCCTACTCCTTGTCACGTACAACCGGGGAATGAAAACCACGCCAGTTGACTCAATGACAGACCTTATGATACATTCGGCCATCAAACCCTGCTCTAAAACAAGAAGTGGTATCACTTGTTATATAGAATGTAAGCAAACCCCGATTCTTGCAATCCCCGATGGGCGTATACGAAGATGTTTGATTGCCTTATTATGTGCTTCGCAGAATCAGTTTACTGTCGACGATTGGGGAAGAGTTTCGCCGTTTAAGCAACGGGCGTCGCACGCTCGAGGAGGACAGTCTTCGAGGATTTCTTTTTTCTATTATACTGATATCCCAAGACACACAATATCCGGGTAATCGCAGCCATAGCAGGTCTAATTATGGTTCAGCCGAAAATTCTGAGAATATTTTCGTATTCAGTTCTATCGACCTTCTTTGTGTTAAAAATAATCACCAACTGATTGGTTATCAAACGAACAGTTGACATCAATTTTTGACATGAAAATGTTTTTAAGGTTACTGACGTCGTCAAGAGTTACCGGGGGCTTTAATGCTCTTGGAAATTCACAAATATACATTTATAGCTGGTTTTCATGTATGTTCGCAAGGTAGCGAATTGTAAACTGTCACCGTAAGTTACGAGTTATCCAGATTTTCCAGCGTGGTTCACCCCTTGTCAGTGATGCAGGACCGAGGGCCTGGCAAGGACAGCTGTCTAGTCATTCGGCTGGTACGAAAAACCGAGGTCCCGTGTACACATGGCGTGCACGTACAAGATCCCTTGGCAGTTGGAATTCGATATAAGAGTAGGCCGTAGTGCCGCTACCCGGGCAAAATTGCCCTCATAGCACGCTGTATGGCGTATGCCCAATTTCAGTAGCCTAGTTTAAGAGCAGAACAGTAAGAAGTTAAACCCCATTTCATTTCCGTAAGTTACGCGTGAGTTTGTTTTCTGGGCTTTTATTTGGTTATTTTTTGTATTTCTCAGAAAAAAAACTCGTTATAGAATGCCTCGACAAATTGTCCCTTTTTATGTGACAAGGCATATGGCATTAAGGATGAGCAATTGTTTGCATGCATTACGTCTATAATTTATTACTATTACACACATAAAAAATTCACATTTAAGTTTCTGCATACATAACTACACATGATATATGGCTACAAATTCCCATATTAATAATAGTTGGATATAACACCAATTTATTGCACGATATCCACCCTACTCCTTGTCACGTCAATCGGTCAATCGAAAACCCGCCAGTTGACTCAATAACATACCTTATGATACAACGCGCACGCGCTAACCTGTCGGCCATCCAAACCCCATTTCTGGCTTTTGAATCCCATGTAAACTGCACTAACAGGAATATCAGTTAGAAAATGGTTAAATTCCATTCGATATTTACAAAGTTATGTGGAATTTAAAGTTTGTCAACATTCAGCGTCCACTACAGACGATATATGGGATGTTGTCAAAACTATTCAACACCACCTACAATTTTTACTGAAATTTATTGATAGGCCTCTATATAATACGGTTGAATCCAAAGTGAAAGATTGTCTACCTTTGATGTTTTGGTTTGTTACTTCTTAATTTGTAAATAATCGACTTTTAGCGCGGATTAGGCCGTTAAAGGATTAGATGGGGGATCAAGTGGCTAAGTGGGTAAGACGCTGGCTCGCTAGTCTGGAGGTCGGGTGTTCGATCCCTGCATCGGCCGAGAAATTTCATCCAGATTTTCCGGCGTGGATCCCCCTTGTCAGTGATGCAGGGACTAGTCCTTCGGATGATACGAAAAACCGAGGTCCCGTGCATACATTGGAATACACTTAAAAGATCCCTTGGCAGTTGGAATTCGATATAAGAGTAGGCGATAGTGCCGCTGCCCGGGCAAAATTTCCTCATAGCACACTGTATGGCGTATGCCCGTCTTCATTAGCCCAGTTCGGAGCAGAACAGTAGGACGTTAAACCCCCATTTCATTTCATTTCAAAGGATTAGATATTTTCTAAAAAATACACATGACCATCAGCCGCTTTAAAGGAGCTAAGTCTCTAACTCTTTAACATTTGTGCGTGACAGAGGTAAAAGAGGGCGTTCGTGTAAGGCTGGGAAAAGTTTAGGTGCCAAAACAAAACTAGTGGTAAAAAGGTGTTCACCTAATACGTGACAGTAATAAAATAACGAGAGAGAGAAATGAGGTTTAACGTTCACTCAACACAGACTAGGTCATTTCGGGACTAAGTAACAAAAGAAGGCGTATTAAGCGATGTCACGCGGTGGCTCAGTGAGTAGGGTTCGATACCGGTGTTGACCCAGAAAATGCCTCGGGAGTTCCGGCAAGGTTTCTGTTTGTGCAGGATGGAGGGCCTGACAAGGAAAGTGTCTAGTCGTTGGGATGGGACACAATCTGATTAAAACACAGATCCAATTTCGTTTCGTTTTATAGTTCAAAATTTCGATTTTACTTGTCTTTACTACACTTGGATCTGGAAGCGTTGTTATTTAACTCGTGTACTGATTGAAATGAGGGGTCAGTCAATCAAATGATCTCTCGAATCGAACGTTTGACCTTTTTTGCGCGGAACTGTGTGTAGACATAAGCGGCAATAGAAATCAAAACAAAGCAAAAGTAGATAAAAAAAATAGATGGCGGTCGCTAATTGGTTAATCGAATGACTGACGTAATCGGGTCAAATGTCGCTTGCTTGGTACCTAACGTCATAGAATGTTAACTCCCACTATAACTTGTTAGATCTACATGTAGTGTAGGCCATCGAAAGTATAAAAAACGAAACGAAATATAGATCTATATTTTAATTACATTGGATGGGACAAAGAACCGAGGTCCCGTGTACAAATTGCCTTGCACGTAACAGAAGGCTTGACACTTGGAATTCGAAATAATACTATGCTGTAGCACATCTGACTGGGCACAATTGCCATCGTAGCACACCCTATGGCATAAATCTGTGTTCATTATCCCAGTCGGTGCAGAAAAGTAAGTCCTTACAACCCATTTCATTTCATTTCATAAAAAAAACTGTGATTGGCGAAATACACCTTTTATTACATGATCGGCTTTTATAATTAAACATTGATATATAAATCTAGAATTAAACATTGTTATATAAATCTAGAATTAAACATTGTTATAAAAAACTATAATTAAACATTGTTATATAAATCTAGAATTAAACATTGTTATATAAATCTAGAATTAAACATGAACAGGAAACAATTACATAAATGTTATAGTTTAGTTGATGTAATACTGTTTAAAGATGGGTTCCCAGAAAAGTATTTATCGGGTGGTTATTTCAAATAAAAGTATGGCAATTTTGGCATATATGGAAAGCAGAGATATCCAATTTTACTAGAAAAATACTGGATTCCCCGACAAACGGGGGGTTGGGTGGCCGAATGGTTAGCACGTGCGTGCTGTATCATAAGGCCTGTCATTGAGTCAACTGGCGTGGTTTCGAATCCCCGGTTGTACGTGACAAGGTGTAGGGTCGCCTGTCCAACCTCGTGGGTTTTCTCCGGGTCCTCCGGTTTCCTCCCACTGCTAAAGACCCCTACGCGCAAGCGAATTATTGAAATAAAATTAAAAACCATATGTTAGTCCCGAAATGACCTAGTTTGTGTCGAGTGGACGTTAAACCCCATTTCTCTCTCTCTCACCGAAAAACACTCATAGAGCGTATACAGGACACAAAAATGTAAGGGTTTCCCTAATCAACAGTCCGACGATTAAGCCACCCTTTCTTATTAAACAAGGATTAAATGGTGAGATAAGCATTGACTTAAAAAAAAAAAAAAAAAAAAAAAAAAAGTTTTTATTTCAAATGTACATACGCAATTTTCAATCCTTTTTAACAATTTCACAATGTTGTATATTAATGTATATATGAATACAGTCTAATGCATATATGTATTGTATATGATATTGTATTTAAAAAATTTGTGAATAAACATTTTTCAATGTCATGTCAAAGGTCATGCATGCGAACTTTGAGCGCTTGATGTACAAGTTGATAAACTTTATGAAGAGTTAGACGTACAACACTTTCTGAGATAAAAATGACGGAAAAAGACGCGGGTAGTGGATAATCTGAGAATTTAATTAGGATTCGATATTTGTAATAAAAAGTAAGCGATTAAAGACAGCATCGTCTTATGTATGCAACAAATTCTCCTCTGACTTCCAAGAGAGGTAAGTCGCGTGACGTAAACATGACCTGGTTTGGTCGAATTTTTATGGCAGGACATTCCTTCGCAATTACAATGTTTCAGAAGTATTTGAAGCAAAGTTATGACAAATTAATTAGTTTAAATATGTTTTTAGCCCATTTAAACCATTAAATCACCCAGTTTGTACGCGGGAACCCATCTTTAAAATACTGTTAAAATATTTAATGCGGAATTATCATATTTAACAAGAAATAAACGTAACTAATTTTATACACGATCATATTCAAAATGAACCCAAAGCGCCCAAATTGCTTTATTCTGAACAAAGTATTGAATGATTGAAAGCGTTGGTAAGAAAATGCATAACAGTCTTGATTGTCAGGAACCAATGCCACAATAATAAACGAAGTCCCGATTTCCAATTTTTCAATCGACAATGTCCGTGAGTAGTGTCCATGTTATCGTGTAACGACTATTTGGCGGGGATTGTACTTCCAGCCCAATATCTAAGCCACCCGTTGGTCATGCGAGTTTATTATGGACTGAGCATGTGACGTAAAAAATCAGATTTATTTCTTAGATAATGCCTCTTTGAAAAGTATTTAACAGTATATTTTATTTTGGTATACATGTATGTTTGATTTATTTATATTTCATATTCATGTATGTTGAATTTAATTATATTTGATATACATGGATGTTTGATTTATTTATATTTATATTTTAAGTGTATTTGATATATATGGATGTTTAATTTAAGTATATTTGATACACATAGATGGTTAATTTAGTTAAAATTGATATACACGTATGAGTATTTTATTTATATTTGATATATTAGTTTTAAAATATAATATTTTGCTTTAATTACGTCGACCACATGCATTATAAAATATAAAAAAAACATAAAATTACAAAAACTATCATTATTTACATCTTATTAGATATATATACATTTAAGAAAAAAAAGCGGTATATTATAACAAAGTAAATTTTAAAACCTTCTTGCTTTTATTAAAACATGAAGACGTGATATTAAACATTTATATAACTCTGTATTATGCCTTTAGTTTTTAGCATATTTATATAAGGGAGATAATCAAATGCAAATAAGGTAGTGGTTATTTTACAGGTCCTTGTGGTTTAGTGGATATTTATAAACCGTGATGAACAAGACGAGTCAAAGTTTTTATTTTATATAAATGGATGTTTAAATTGATTTGTATTTAATATGCATGCATATGTGTAATTTATGTATATATTATAACATACATATGTGTAATTTATGTATATATTATAACATATATAATTATGAGTAATTTATATCTTGTACCATGGATGTTTAATTTAATTATATTTGATACACCTGTATGTTTAATTTATGTATATATATAATTTACATGTAACTTTAGTTGATTTGATATACATGCATGTTTAATTTATTTATATTTGCTATACATGTATGTTTAATTCATTTATATCCGGTATACATAAATGTGTAATTTATTTATCATGAATGTTTGAATTATTTATATTTGATATGCATGGATGCTTAAGTAATGTATTTAAATATTGATGCTTAAGTAATGTATTTAAATTTATGGATGCTTAAGTAATGTATTTAAATATGGATGCTTAAGTAATGTATTTAAATTTATGGATGCTTAAGTAATGTATTTAAATTTATGGATGCTTAAGTAATGTATTTAAATATGGATGCTTAAGTAATGTATTTAAATTTATGGATGCTTAAGTAATGTATTTAAAATTATGGATGCTTAAGTAATGTATTTAAATTTGATATACAAGTATAACCACAATACTGCCATCTTTATATTTCATGTTTTGTCTATTGATTATTACCAGTGGTATAAAATATAAAATATTAGTTTATATCCCAATTAAAATGTATCTCCTCGCGCATTGATACAAAAACTTGGACCTACTTATCTTATATCTATAAATTGTCGAAACACAAACTACTAATCTCGTAATCAGACGTAAATACCCTCAGCAGACTAAGAGTGGTGTCTTCTGTGGGCTGTTTAAACTTTTAAGTATTTATAAATTTATCAGTGAATTTAATATTATCTAGAAAATGAGCTTGCAGTTTTACACAAACATGAAATGAATTTAATGTTGTATTCAAAATTTGGATGATTCAAACATTAAATACACTAGAATGTTATTTATGAAGTTTGGTTGTTAGGGTTTCTAGAACTCGTTCTCTTGTAATATCCACTTTCTCTCTTCCACTTCTGTAGAGCATCTTTCTTTTTCCTCTTAAAGAACCCACACTGTAATATAGAAGCGTTACAACTACACTAGAACACTAGATACCACTTCTGATTTAAAGAGTTCACACTCATTTTTATACTTGGTAGTAATTAGAATATTAGATTGAATTATAATACAATGATTTTAGTCTTACACCCACTCAATTATAACAGTACATTGATAGAGCTTTTCCCACCCACATCTCCTCATTGGTGCATTATTGTCGTTCGGATGGGACAAGAAAATCCCGATGTTCCGTGTACACGTTGGCGTGCACGTAAAAGGACTCTTGATAGTTGGAATTCTATTGCTGTCCGGGCATAATTTCACCCAAAGCCCACTATGTGGCGCATATCTGTCTTCATTAGCCTGTTCGCTATAGACAAGTATGATGTTTTCATTCATTCATTCATTCATATATCTTACCTTTCTAAGAATAATGGCCAATAAAACAAGTAGACACAAAGCTCCTATAACACTACCGATTGGTATCCATATATTTACACCAGCACTACCATATTCTTTAAATATCGGGGTCGATACCTGAATAATAGGAGTATTTCTTTTACATACATATTACGTTGTAATATCAATAGAAACCATTTTGTTCAAAAGAAAATCAGTATCCAATCAAAATGGTAGATGTTTTTGGGGGATTAAGTAACGAAGGCATATCTAAGTTTTTTTATTATTCGGCATGATGAAGAATTTAACTTATAAGTAATTTCTATGCGGGAGAGATATCAAGTAATTTCTATGTGGCGATCTCAAGCAATTCAATTGTGAGGGTCTGATCAAGCAATTTCTATGTGGCGATCTCGGGTAATTTTTATGTGGCGATGTCAAGTAAATTCTCGCGGAGATATCAAGTAATTGCTCTGTTGGGGGAGATATCATCAAGTAGTTTCTATGTGGGGGGGGGGGGGGGTTGGTGCATAACAACGAATCTACAGGTTAGTCGTGAATCCATTACTACAACTGTCAAAAGAAATAATGAAATCATCCCCATTTACCTGTCCTTCTTTATCTTCATTCCAAGGTAGAAATAGTAAATGACTGGGCTGTAGAACGGTTGCCGTGGTCATATATTTCATTACATCATGATCCTGTAATAAATGGTATTATTTATAACACGACAATAGTTATTCATGACAATAGTTAGATTACCTTTAAGGGGAGATCTTCAATATTCATGACAATAGTTAGATTACCTTGAAGGGGAGATCTTTCATATTCATCACAATAATTAGATTAACTTGAAGAGGAGATCTTTAATATTCATGACAATAGTTAGATTACCTTGAAGGGGAGATCTTTAATATTCATGACAATAGTTAGATTAACGATGATGCTTTCTCTAGGTTGAAGTGATCCAGGGAGCTTACATAACATATCATCACAAAAATAATTGTTAGTTAGTTACCTTGAAGGGGAGATATTTAATATTCATGACAGTAGTTAGATTACCTTGAAGGGGAGATCTTTAATATTCATGACAATAGTTAGATTAACGATGATGCTTTCTCTAGGTTGAAGTGATCCAGGGAGCTTACATAACATATCATCACAAAAATAATTGTTACAATCCTAGAAATAAAAAACAGATTTAAATAACAATAACAATATCCAGAATATTAAAGCTCCGATATGGTAGAAATAAACAACAGATGTAAAGGACAATAACAATATCCAGAATATTAAAGCCCCAATATACTAGAAATAAACAACAGATTTAAATGACAATAACAATATCCAGAATATTAAAGCCCCAATATACTAGAAATAAACAACAGATTTAAATGGCAATAACAATATCCAGAATATTAAAGCCCCAATATACTAGAAATAAACAACAGATTTAAATGACAATAACAATATCCAGAATATTAAAGCTCCAATACACTAGAAATAAACAACAAATGAAAAGGACAATAACAACATCCAGAATATTAAAGCTCCAATATACTAGAAATAAACAACAAATGTAAAGGACAATAACAATATCCAGAATATTAAAGCTCCAATATACTAGAATAAACAACAGATTTAAATGACAATAACAATATCCAGAATATTAAAGCTCCAATATACTAGAAATAAACAACAGATGTAAAGGACAATAACAATATCCAGAATATTAAAGCTGCAATATACTAGAATAAAGTTTATATATGGAGTCTAAATATCTTATTAAGAACTGTGTGGTCCAAACAATTTTCAAATCGTTAAATATGCAGTCTAAATATTTTATTATAAACATTTTGGTCCAAGAATTATTCAAATCAACCAATGCTATCTTAAGTTAAGTCCATTTAAAGTTTACATTGAATAAAGTAAATAAAAAAAGGATGGGATCTTTATGAAAGGTATACCGACTTAAAGAAAGAAAATTCTTCTAAGAAATAAGTTTCTAAAACTAATTGAAGTTGAAAACAACACGGATGAAGAAGATATTATGCCGAATGAAGCAGATACAAGGGGAAGATGTCGGAATTCATGGGATCTGTCTAATTTGTGCTTTAGCGTTTGTAAGTTAGAAGATATAGGTATACATGCATAATTATAGCAACATTAGGAGATCAGGCAGTGGAAGCAGATTGTCTGCCTACTGAATAACATACCAAATGGTGTGCATTGTCTTCCATATCTTTCTTTTTATCGGACGTTTGTCGCCGTCTACGACTAGGAGCTACATCTGGAATATTGTGATTTTTGCCAGCGGTCGTTGTTGTTACAGTTGTGGATTCGGTGGTTGTTTGAGTGGTGACTATGTCGGCTTGAACGCTTGTACCAGCGGTCGTCGTGGTAGTCATTGTGCTAGTTGTCGTGGAGGGTCGTGTGTTACCACCCTGAGATGATTTATATGATAAACTACAATACACTTCTTCCCCACTTTCAGTTTTAATCTAAAAAAAATGCATTACTTTGATAAACATTTTGGTCTAGTCAATCTATGACTTTGGCTATAGGCAATCTCAATTGGTATGTTCTAAGCATGTAACGAAAAGCTTTACCAAAATCAAAGGTTTCAGTTTAGGTCAAGATGGGGTCTGTAAAATTAAGGGTATATACATTCTTAAGGAAGGTCATTCTTGTAAGCAAATATTTAGTGTGCCATTCAAAATTATTGATTATAATGGATGTTACATTCTTGTGTATTTGTATTAGGTGTAGAATTGCAGAACATCGTCATTGATGCATCACTCAACAGGAGCGGAGACAGAGTGTCTGGTAAGGTCTTCAACGAGTTAGTTGGGGTGGGGTGGGGTGGTCTAGCCGTGTTGCAGGACCGAGGGCCTGGACCGATCTTCAACGAGTTAGTCAGGATTTTTCAGCCGTGTTTCAGGACAGAGGGCCTGACAAGGAGCAGCGTCTAGACTTTCGGGTGACACGTTGGCTAGCACCTAGCAGACACGAGATTGTCCGGGTTTTTTTGGACACTTCTTCCTTGGTATGGTTGATGGAGAAACCCCATTTCATTTTATACCACATGCGTAAAATGTAATGAATCGAGTACTTACTTTAGCTATGGCGGATTCTACAAGTTGTTCACCTGTTTGGTACCGATAAGGTAACTGGATTGTTACATTAGTTGATGGAAGAAAACTAGGCCCATTATTTATCATCAAATATTTATGGATGATTGTTAGATTTTTTAAGCTGAGATCTTCTTCCGTGTTGACAGATAACTCCGGTGGGTAGGATTTCCTTTGCAGAAATAAAAAGAAAACACACACATGAATTTAGTGCAACCTAGTTTAGTTATAATAGTTTCGCCTTTAAATATAATTCTAAGATAGGATTGTTTTAACAGATTCGTTCCTCGACAGTTTTCAGCCCCGTGACCAATGGTACATGGCGTAGGTCCACGCAAGAAAAAGCGCCTAGTCCGTCGGATGATGCGAAAGACCATTACCAGTACGTTAAAAATCACTCGGCAGTTGGAATCGAAATACAAATATTGTGTAGCGTGGCAGCCCAGGAAATGCATTATGAATGCCCGTCTTCATTAGTCGTGGCTAAGTGGGTAAGATGCTGGCTCGCTAGCCTGGAGGTCGGGTGTTCGATCCCTGCATTGGCCGAGAAAGTTCATCCAGATTTTCCGGCGTGGTTCCCCCTTGTCAGTGATGCAGAACGGAGGGCCTGACTAGGACAGCTGTCTAGTCCTTCAGATGAAACAAAAATTTCCCTCCTAGCACACTGTATGGCGTATGCCCGTCTTCATTAGCCCAGCATAGGAGCAGAACAGTGGGACGTTAAACCCCATTTCATTTCATTTCTTCATTAGTCCAGTCGGTGTGACAAAAATAAGACGCCAATCCATAGTTTCTTTCATTTACTTAGGACAGATTGAAGCGGAGCCAATCATACGTGCAAATGTATCTTGGAAACAGATTGAGTAGTGGGGAGGGGAGGGGGTCAAACGGTTAAAACAATGTCTGAATATATTTAAATACTTTTCCTAAAATAAATAAATCCGGGGGTATCAGGCCAGGATTCTAGTTATACCATTAATTGTTGGGGGTAGTATCAGGCATTCTAGTTACTTCTAGGGGGTTGCAGTGTTAACAGGTCATATTGGCAATGTACAGGTAATTATTGTTTTAAATTGTCAGCACATGTCCACGCAGAAAATACAAGGGCGTATTTTTTTTTTTCATTTTAAGACAAAACATTTAACATAAATGACCTTGACCTTGACTTACCCACTTATGTCAGGGGAGGCCACTATCCAAACATCCGATGAGAAATTAGCTACGTTATTTGCCATGTTGTTTTCTGCACTGGCTGTTTGGGCTTGAATAGAAACGTTAACTTTTGCATTATTCAATGACAATGCATCTCCCTCCAGGAGCACAGAGAAGTTAACAGCCTGGTTTCTGTTGATTGGAGGAAAAACAGTACATGTCAGTTTGTAATTCTGATCTTCCTCAGATTCACCGTTGCATCCTATCGGCCATCTTGGAGATGACTTAACTGTTCTGTAAGACAAGTTTTCGTTCCAGTAGAATTTCACTTTACTTCCAAAAGAATTTTCTCCATAATTTACTAAACGGACATCGAGATTGATAATTTCTGTTTGGTTGATAGTTATAAATACTTCCCCTTCGGAAAAGGAAAATTCTCCTTTGATACCCAAATCTGCTTCGCATATATTATCCTCGCCACAACTAAGTTGAAATCTTGTCTGAAAATAAACAGAAAACATGAGATGCCAGTCTACTACACATTGCAACAAATATCAACAACTGCGACGACGGTAAATTCAAAAGCCTAAGTTTATCCATAACATGCCTGTATATTTCTTGGTTAACCACCCCACCCCTCCTTCCTCCTTAGCCAAGTTGCTGTAGAAAGGTGGGACGTTCCATGTCACTAATTCATTATCCCAGTCGGTGCAGAGAAGTAGGGCGTTATTCCCCATTTCATGTTACGAATTCATTAGCCAAGTCGTTGTAGGAAGGTAGGACGTTATAATCCCCATTTCATGTCAGGAATTCATTATCCCAGTCGATGCAGAAACATAGGACATTATAAGCCCCATTTCATTTCAAGAATTCATTAGTCCAGTAGGGCGTTAAACCTCATTACGCGTTCCAGTCCCTTCGATACCTAACACGTTTTGTTTTCGAAAGAGGGATGATTTTTGTATATTTTAGTCTGACGTTTAATAGCTTAGATTAAAGATTTTTAAAAATTGTCTTCAGCTTTTTTAGTGAAAAAGTTAGGGACGATCAAAGAGATGATAATTAACATTAAAGCCAGTGGTGAAATTGGTGGTGATCTGAGAAGGATCTCAATGTGTACTTCGCTTACATTGAAAATACGATTCGTTTCAAAGCTCATTTAACACATGATTAAGTCATATATAGAGGGGGGGGGATCACGTGGCTAAGTGGGTAAGACGCTGGCTCGCTAGCCTGGAGGTCGGGTGTTCGATCCCTGCATTGGCCGAGAAAGTTCATCCATATTTTCCGGCGTGGTTCCCCCTTGTCAGTTATGCAGGACGGGGGGCCTGACAAAGACAGCTGTCTAGTCATTCGGATGAGACGAAAAACCGAGGTCCCGTGTATACATTGGAATGCACGTAAAAGATTCCTTGGCAGTTGGAATTCGATATCAGAGTAGGCGTATGGCCGTCTTTATTAGCCCAGCATAGGAGCAGAACAGTAGGACGTTAAACCCCATTTCATTTCATTTCATTTCATATATAGAGGGCTACCTACTCAAATCTTTAAATATAATAGAAGGCCGTGTTTAATGATACTCACATCTTTGGTTAAAACATTGGGCCGTGTTTGGTTGATGATTGGTTTTATATCACCAGGATCAAAACTAGATTCATTTAATTTAAATCGAGCTTCAACTCTTACGGCAGTGAAGGGATCTTGTAGTCGTTCTTCCTTTAAAAAGAAATACAAGTTTTATCTTAAACATAATGTTGCCACTCAAGCGATTTGTCCCCTAATGTAACTGTTGATGATTCTGTTGATTATAAACGATCCAACATACCAGAATAAAGCTTGGATATAAAACATAAACACCACCCAACACTTTTATCCAAATGTTATTCGAATCGATTCTTTCTATTGATTTCAAACCTCCATCTTTATGTGTCTTAGACAAATAAAGTAGTAAGAATTTATATTGTTATCTTTTTTCAAATGGTGTACTCAAAGGGTGTATATCTCTATTCTTTGGAACAATAAAATGGAAGAAAAATGGTCTAAAAGGGATGTATATCCAATTTTCGAAACAGTTATTGCAATTTCTAATTAATTATGCTCGGTGAAAATACGTGAACAGTCCAAATTAAAGGACGGTTGTTTACATCTGTTTAGTCATTACTAATTACTTTCTGGCATATTGTCTTGAAGGGTATGTCTTTCTTTGTTTATTACAAATGGCACCCGAAACCATATAATACACAACTCGTGTACTCACAGTGATGTATATTTGATATCAGAATTTCAAATTTTCAAGGCAAGATAACAGTATCAATATTGATTCAAATGGACCAGTATTAAGTTGTAATTCGTGTTTTTAATTTCGAATATTATGGAAAACATTGAGTTAGAGGTTTAGATCATTTAATCAAATAATAACAAGGTTTTTTTTACATTAAACACAATACAGAATTTTTACTTTCGAATTACTGTGAAATTACCTGTTTTTATATCTCCGGAGCCACGTTGGCTCAGTGATTAAGGCGCTGGCGTAGTAACCAGGCGATCCGGGATTAGATTCCTGTATTGACCGATACAGTTCCCAGGGATTGTCTAGCGTCAGTGGTCCATCATTCGCCCAGTTTTTGCAGAAAAGTAGGACGCTAAACCCCACTTATCTAATTTCATTTCGTTTAAAGATCCGAAGCATTAATAAATAATTCTTACCGTAAGAGTTATTAAATCAAATCCTTTGCAGTTGTTTTTACCACGTTCGACTAGTAATTTTTCCGATATCTGATTTAACCAATCATCTTCAGTATGTATTTTAACTCTTCTTAGACTGGATCTTTTTAAAATATCCACACTTATATTAAAATCCATCTCTGTAACATAAATCATGAGACAGAACACTATAGACATACATTTATATATTATTCATAAATGGGGAAGGGTTTGTGGGTGGTCGATTTATCTAACTTGTTCGGAGTCAAATGGCGGGGTTTCGATTCCCAGCTTGTACGTGACAAGGAGTAGGATAACCTGTCCATTCAGACTCGTGAGTTTTTCCCGAGTTCCTCCGACAGACCCATACGCGAAAACGAATTATTAGAGACTTTTGGCAAGCGTAAATTCCTGGTCCGTATCGCGTATCCGTATGGATTTTGCGTGTGACGTCATCAATGTTTGTGTATTTCTCATACGTGATACGACACGCGGAAACGGCAGTACGTATCGACCAGCTTTCATACGGAAAAGGTCCGTATAACATTGTTGTCTTTTTACCGTCTTTTTTGCTACTTTTAGCTCATGAAATGTTATGCCGTTGCGTTTTTATGAATCTATGTGTATCCTAGAACACGAAGGTGTATATTTAATGTGATTTTAATCATGATAAAGACCGTAATTTAATCATTATATTTGATGGATTTTCTCGGAATGTTCATACTGTTCGATCTGTCTGCATGCTGGTTGATCTACGTGCTAAATTGAGGGAGGTGGGACCTGGCAAATCCGCAAATGATTTTATTCTTTGTTAAAGGGGTATAATCTTCTGAAATGATACATTAGTGAAACCAAAAATTGCTGATGGTGATACGCACGCGACGCGAAAATCTGCCAAAACTCTAAAACTACATTGACGCAACGTATCACGTATGCGATACGGATACGTGATACGGATGGGAAAAATTCAGCTTGCCAAAAGTCTCTATTGTGTCGAGTGAACGTTAAAATCTATGGAAAACCAAACAGCTCTTAATTCTTAGTCTTAGTTAAAATCTATGGAAAACCAAACAGCTCTTAATTCTTAGTCCTTAATTCTAATTTCTTCATGTGTTGTCGTATTCCGACATTTGTACACTATAATTAACATTTGTATCTTAAAATAAATATTTGTTTTACAAATTCTACATTTGCCATATCAGATTTGTAAATTATATAAGCCACCTTGCTTGATTTTGTATCAAATCATTAACCTGTTTAAATTGTACAATATCTGTACTGTTTAAATCAAGAAAAGATAACTGGATTTTAAACTTAATTTTCTGTTAAAGATGAATGACTTAAATCAATAATATATACCTATGTTGATAGATCTGGTGTACATGCTTACCTATCTGTTCCGGGGCCGATATCTGAGAATAATTAAAACACAATGTAAGACCTATACAGCTTTCAGCGTCAGCTTTAGCCGGACAATTTGTTCTATTGAGATTTATCAGTTCGGAGTCAAAGTTTAAATCTGCCACCAGGTCAATGATTGGTCGAGATCTTAACAGAACTGCCTTGTCAGAATTGGTACAGCCAATAGCCATATCTAACACAAAATATACAAAAAATATTAGTAGTCACATTGATAGTACTGACATATACCATTTTCAGTACAGCAGCCAATTGGGCCAATGAAGTCAGGAATAGCCATATAGTGGACTGCAATTGAAATTTTGCGCGGCACGGGACTTCGTTTGGTATTCCCATCCAATCGAATAGAGGCTATTTCTTGACAGGCCCTCCACCCTGCACCACCACTGACAAGTGGGGGGGGGGGGCACCGGAAAAGCCAGAGGAACTTTCTTGGCCACGACGACGCCTTGAAAAACATAATTTGTTTTAATAGCATTAAACATACATGATGCAAGAGCTAAATCTGTCTATTGTAGGTCTTTCTTTGGGCCTGAAATGTTATCTAAATTATTAATTAAACATTAATTAACATATCCAGACCATAATCTACTCTCGATTTCATCGTTAGCCTGCGATGTTTATTGGAATAGGTTCCGATTTGTGGTTCGACTTCCATTTATGATTTAATCATGAAATCGATAATCGAGGCTATTTTTTTTATCGTACCGACTATAGTAATGATGATCGAGGCTAGGCCTAAAATTCAAACGCTATATTCCCGGTTCAGGGTGGATCAATTTGACTGAAATTTACAGCAAACTCCCTTTACATTATCTAGATTTTAACTATTATAGTGAGAACTGCCAACTCCTTATCTAATCTTCCATAATGTATCTTTAAATATTGTGGTATAATGACTGGTTATCACTAATGTAATTGTATTCCATAAAAGGGTGTCCTGCAAAGTGCATAAAGAATTCTAGAAAGCATTCGTTATAACAAAAACTTTGTACCTGGATAACCGTTGTCGTCCACGTCTAATGGTTTAGATATATGGGATCCAAATCCAGTTATATTTTCAGACACCATTTCACCTGTGATACGTTGAGAGTATTCAACTATTTGTCCATCTGCAGAACCGTGATAAATATATACAGCTCCGACTCCGTTTTCGTCCTTTGCTCCCACAGCAATATCTACAGAAATGAGAGTAGAAATACATTTGGATCAGTAATTATAAACCATCTTTAAAGTCTCCCAAATTATTTTCTGTTACGGTTATTCAGTTACAATGTGACCCTTTGGATAGAATTGGACACTTTAGTTACAATAAGACACTTTAGTTACAATAAGACACCATATGACGCTTTAGTTACAATATGACCCTTTATTATAGTTACAATATGACACTTTGGTTACATTATGGCACTTTAGTTACAATATGACACCTTAGTTACAATATTAGTTAAAATATGGCACTTTGGTTACAATATGGCACTTTGGTTACAATATGACATTTTAGTTACAATACGACACCTTAGTTACAAAATTAGTTAAAATATGGCACTTTGGTTACAATATGGCACTTTGGTTACAATATGACATTTTAGATAAAATATGGCACTTTAGTTAAAATACGGCATTTCGATTACAATATGGCACTTTAGTTACAATGTGACAGTTTAGTTACAATATGACAGTTTAGTTACAATATGACGCAGATTTCCAGCCAGGATGCTCTGTATATGCAACTTAAGATAGATATAACTTCCATTCCTTAGGTTTGGTTAAGTGGGCGTTACTCTTTAGGGGTCTTTAGCAGTGGGGAGGGGGGGACTGGAGGTTCCGGAGAAAATCGACGAAGTTGGGCCGGCTATCTACTCCTTGTCTCTGATAACAAAACGGGCATAACTGCATTTATTTTCAATGACCATAGCAGAGGTTTGTGAAAGAAACCCGGAAATAGGAGACATGTGAGATGACGCCAGGCACACATTTGGGCTTCGCCAAGCACAAGTCCCCGTTTGCCGGCATATTTTGGCACACATATTTCTCTTCTGTGGTCGTACTGATATTGCAAATATATGTCCAATACGTAGTTCAACTTGGCTGGTACTAGTTTATTAGTGCTTGGGAGTTTGACAATTAAAATAGGTATTTCCAGGCCCGAGTGTGTAAAGTAAAATCTGGTATTCAATATCAAGTCAGTCTGGGTATTTGTACTTTTCAATCTTATTTTTACATAGTACTTACCATCGATACCATCACCATTCACATCACCAAGATTACTTATTGAAGATCCGAATCTGGAAAAGGCTGTATTGGACCCGGATAGCATGATAGGCATATTTTGGAAATAAGTCTAGAATATCAAAGAAAGTGAAATACATTTTTCTAGAAAGATTCCAGGAAATAAGTTTAGTTTATTTTCGCTCACCTTTTTCCTAATTATATAATAACATATTGGCATAATTCTATTGCATAGTCTAGTGCGAGTTGGGTCTTTCATTCCTTTCTATATTAATCTATATTACATGGTCTAGTAGCTTCCATTCCTTTCTATGCTAATATATATCGAATAGTCTAGTGGGGGTTGTAGCTTTCATTTCTTTCTAACTAATATATATCAAATAGTCTAGTGGAGGTTGTAGCTTTCATTCCTTTATATGCTAATATATATCTAATAGTCTAGTGGAGGTTGTAGCTTTCATTTCTTTCTATACTAATATATATCTAATAGTCTAGTGTAGGTTATAGCTTTCATTCCAGTCTATATGAAAAGATGTGACGGGTCTCTTGCGTGAGACATTTTAAAGTCTCGATGCGCCATTTGTATTTTTCGCTAAAATATCAAATTTCTCACGGATTAATCCACGCTAATATGCACTCACTCAAATTGATTATTTATTATTTAATTAAAGATACATTATGGGAGACTAGATAAAGAGCTGACAGTTCTCACTATAATAGTTAAAAACTAGATAATGTAAAGGCATTTTTTTGAAAATTTTAGTCAAATTGATCCACTCTGAAAAGAGAAATTAGCGATTGAATTTTAGGCATAGCCTCGATCATCATTACTAAAGTTGGTACGATAAAAAAAATAGCCTCGAGTATCCATTTTTTGATTTAATCATGAATGAGCGTTGAGCAGCAGATCGGATTATAATCCGGTAAATATCGCAGGCTATATTGTAGTTGACAAGTGCTTGTATAGTGTTAAATTAATCTCATTTAACGAATACAATAAATACACAACACAACGAAATTTCTCATATGATATAAAAATGACGAATTAGTAACGAAATAACCAATCTTAAAATGGTAATACAAGATTGATTCTTATTAGGCTAATGGACAGTTTTGTTTTCATGTTTATTCTTAACCCGTTGAAGAAAACTTTATATAACGAAGTGCCTGATATAACGAAATAAGTTAGTAACTGGTGTAACGAACGAAACTACTTATTTAAGTAATTTGTTAAATAACGAAAAACAAATCTTGGAAAATTTCCGATTCTTTTTGACAAGTAGGCAGTTTTGTTCTCATGTGCGCGAATACACCAGGGGCCTGTTTCACGAAACTTTAACTAAGATAAAATCCAAATTTTAGTAATTTGATTGGATAATATTAGATTGATTTTAGTGCTTAGCCAATCAAAATTGAAGTATCTACTAAAATTTGGATTTTATCTTTAGTTAAAATTTCGTGAAACAGGGCCCAGCTGTGTATTTTTAACGTAATATAAGTTATGACTGTTTAATGTTTCCATTACGTTTTATTGATTTTATGACGTTATCTTTGATGCCATTCTATCTAGCCAATTAACTGTAAACACAGTTTATGTTTCTTGTTTTTATCGCCTAAATTATTACTCGCTCAAGGATACTTTTCAGCACTACACCCCCCCCCCTCCCTTTTCTAAAATAAAATATGTACTTATTGGCCTGCTGGAGCATTGGGGTTTTAAACACACAATATATAAATTAGACTATATTATAACAGTGAAATCTGATTAAAATACAGATCTATATTTCGTTTCGTTTTTTTTTATACTTTCGATAGCCTACACTACATGAAGATCTGACCGGTTGCAGTAAACGATCGCGTCAGAGGTCGTACGAACGGCATTTGACCCTATGGCGTCAGACATTGATTAATCAATCAGCGTTGACGTTTCTAGTGGTTTACCCACAGTTCCGTGCACCGCACGCCAATAACTCGCTGTAACAGATCGTTTCATTTGCTAATCCCTCACTTCAGCCCGAAGGCGGGTTATATAATAAATCTTCCAGACAGTGTTAAAAACGAAATTTTGAACTATATAAAAACGAAACGAAATAGAGTCTGTGTTTTAATCAGATTGATAACAGTACTTTGTCTTGAAGCTCTTTCTTTTGGCTAATGAAAATCCAAACACGTCCTTCGTCCTTTGGGAAACTTGATTCTTCCAAGTCCGGGTCAACTTTGGTATAAAACGGAGCACCAACAAGTAAATCATCCCAACCATCACCATTAACATCAGCTGAACACAGAACAGACCCGAAATAAGACCCCATGGAATCCTGTAAACACAAAAACAGACCCGAAATAAGACCCCATTGAATCCTGTAAACACAAAAACAGACCAGAAATAGGACTCCATTGAAGTCAGTAAACACAAATCAGAACGGCAAAAAGACCCCATTGGAACCCACAAACGCAACAACAGGCCCGAAATAAGACGCTCATTGAAACGTGCAACAACAGACCGGAAATAAAGACCGCCCACAAAGTTGGAGGGACGGTCGAGCCCCGGACCTTCTGTCTAATGATTTTGTGTCCTACTCACTGAGCTACAGCGACTCATGTTTGATAATCAGAACAAAAAAGTAAAAAAAAATCAAATCAAGAATGTCAATTGTTAATTAATATAGAGTTGTCTCCCTTACTTTATCTGGACAACTAAGCTCCAATAACTGAATGACTTGGTTCCCAGCAATTCTTTCAAACAACATAACCTGAAAAATGAAAACACTCCGTCCATTTGGTTTCGTTGTAAAGTTAAATTCTCGAATACATAGAGAATCTCCAACCAGTACTTTTTGATATCAAAAAATATCAACACAAGTTGATAAGGTTACATAAAACGATGCTCTGCCGAGTTTTATTTTTACTTTATCAACGAGTGCTGATATTTTTTGATATCAAAAAAGACGAGTAGGAGATTTTATTTATCACCCAATCCCTTCTTACATGCACATAGATAAATATAATTCTTTGCTGTAGATTTCACTTTTACTGAACATTACGGCGTAGTGATACATTATTTTTGTCACAGCAATTCAACCATTGCAAAGTCCTTTATATTGACCCAGTGTTTCCATAGTATTACTTACTCGACCTGTATGATTAAATCTTGGTGCCCCAGCAGCAAAACATATCCTTTTGTTAGAACAAAAACGGCCTCCCACAACAGCATAACCTACGTAAAGAAAGTTTGTAACTTAAATGATTGACATAAACGATTAAGGATCTAAAGACATCGAATCGAAATATCTAAATCTTCGCTCACGGCGAGGATGAGGTGGTCGTACTTCAACGATCAATTTTACCCTTTTTGATTTATTGTTTTTATTTTAGAATTATGCAAAAATTATCTATCAGATATTTTTTTGTTTTGAAGCTGTAACGTATTTTCAAAATTTACTTTCAACATTTCGAGAAAGTACGTTTTTAGCAGCACAAAAGAAGAACGAAGATGTCCCTCGTATATATCACTGGGCGGGAATATTTCCGCAGTGCTTCCCTATACCAACCAATACCACCTCATTATTGTGAGTACTTTAATTTCAGTCAAAATACTCTGAACCGAGATTTTAGCCTAACCTCGATCATCATTACTAAAGTCGGTACAATAAAAAAACATAGTCTTCATTATTCATTTCATGATTTAATTATGAATGGAAGTCGAAAAGCAAATCGAAAGCTAATCCAATAAACAACGCAGGCTATCGATGTCATCGAGAGTTGATTATGGTTTGGATCAGTTAATTAATGTCTAATTAATAATTTAGATAACATTTCAGGCCTAAAGATAGACCCGCAGTAGGCAGATTTAGCTCTTGCATAATGCATGTTTAAGCGCAGCGCCAAGCATTATGATTGACTACTGATTCCCTAAACTAATATTGGTTGATTGAGTCACGGTAGCTAAGTAAGTAAGGCGCCGAAGTACTTACACAGGCCGCCCCTGGAGATTTTCCACTTTGGTATCCACTTCTCAGTGATACAGGACGAACAACAATCCATCGTTCAGATAGTATCCCTGGTACTTAAAATTCAATGAATATTAGACGGACACGAGACTGTCTGGACAAAGCGAAACTAAAAACTATCAATGAAAATCGTACTGTAAACTGTCAAACTGTTCAGAAACAATCCACGATCTTTCCAAGATTTTCTTATACGCCTATTATCTACTTACCTAGATTATCGTTCATCTTTTGTTTTTGTCTTGGAATATCTACTATTGAATCTTCGTAGTTACCTCCCTTTATTACAGCAAATCCACCTGCAATTCAAAAAGTTGTCATTACATAAAGACCGGTAGTCGCTCATTCTATAAATCACCGATAACTAGGAATGAAAGGTTGTGGACAGTTAATGGTGCTGATATAGCACATCCAGGTGGTGAAATAGACTGACGTCAGTTTTCTCCCAATAATGCCGGTGGTTAAGCCGCCTAAAAAAACATTATGTTAGATATAAGACTAGAAATACTTACCTCTCCAGGAGTTCAGACCTGGAGCACCGAGTACATATGTTTCTGACTGGAACTAAATATATATGTATATGTTAAATAATCAGTTCCAGTATATTATAGCCGTGAAGAAATTACATATACTAATCAACAGCTTTAATATTCACAATTCAAAGAACCGAATCAAAATATCAACGTTAGTTAATCTTTCGGTTTGGATTCAACCGGATTATAGAGAGGTCAATCAGTAGATTTTAGTGAAAATTTTCACCACATCCCATATATCGTCAACGGTTGTTAATCCGCCACTTTGGATTCAACGGTATTATATAGAGGCCTATCAATAGATTTCAGTAAAAATTGTAGGTGGTGTTGGATAGTTTTGACCACATCCCATATATCGTCTGTAGTGGACACTGGATGTTGACAAACTTTGAATTCCACATATCTTTGTAAATACTAAACAGAATTTAACCATTTTGTACTGCTTGTCCTGTTAGTGAAGTTTACAGGGGATTAAAAAGCCAGAAATGACAACCAAATACACTGAATTCAGTGGAATTAAAAAGCTAAAGATAAAACATTTCGTTTATTGTTGCCACTGCTGAAAGATGGCGTCCACTCCCAAATGAAGATCGTTTCGTGATGCCAAAACTATCAACACAGTAAAAAGTAAAAACCAAAAATATGAGGATCTGTTATGAACTAGACGAGTATTAAGTTTGCTATATTTAAATTTCAAATGAAATCTTAACGATTTAGTGCTAATACGGACTGTTGTTTCCCTTACCTCTAACGAGTCACATGAAAATCCGGATTCAGCCATACCCTGTACGAATCCAAGCTTCGTATCCGCATATTTCGATTCATTTTCCACTGGTAAAGAGCTGTTGACTTCGGATCTAAGGTCTGTATTGGTAATAATACATCGACCCGTAACAAAGGCCTGTTGTTTAAACCTTACGTCCTTCCATCTTGGTGCACACATCTGCGATAGATTGGGAAATAAACACATATATTTCATTTCATTTCGAACAGCACTTTGACGTTTTCAATGTCTTATATTGAATTGGAAGCTGTAAACGGGGGCCACCGTGACTTGCTGAGTAAGATGCTGTTCGATCCCTGCGTTGGCCAAGAAAGTTCATCGGGTTTCCCTCATAATTCCACCTTGTCAGTGATGCAGGACGGAGGCCCTGATAAGGGTCAACGTATAGTCGTCCGGTTTAGACGAAAACCCGAGGTCCCGTGTACACATTGGCGTGCAGTAAAAGAACCCTCGACAGCTGGAATTCGATGTAGGAGGCTGTAGTGCCGCTGTACGAACACAATTCTCCTCATAGCTCACTGCATGACGTATGGGCGTCACCATTAGTCCATTCGGAGTAGAACAGTAGAATATTAAACCTCATGTCATTTCATTTCCAAACATTAAACAATTTGGAGCAGTGAATACCCTGGACCACTATCATCTCTAAACTATCCGTTTATTACAATTGCACAAAAAGTGACACATGGCTGACCCCTGGCGAATAGTATGTAGATCCTAACGTCTGGTTTTAAAATATAATAACAATAATAATGACGGATGCCATACACGAAGCAGGCCGTTGTATCATAAGGTCTGTAATTGAGTCAACTAGAGTTGTTTCGATTACCCGGTTTTACGTGACAAGGAGAAGGGTCGCCTGTTCAACTTCATGGGTTTTCTCCGGGTCCTCCGATTTCCTCCCACTGCTAAAGACCCCTACGCGAAAGCGAATTATTGAAATTAAATTGAACCACATGTTAGTCCTGAAATGACCAAGTTTGTGGACGTTAACCCACCCCTCTCTCTCTCTCTCTCTCTCTTTTTTTTAATTGATATACATGGATATTTTTGTTATTATTTAAACCGAATAATCTGTTCCCCGGTTGATAATTTGATACGTCATACATATAAAAGATATAAATATATACCTACCAAAATTTTGGAATTGGATATCTGATTCACGCAACTTCCAAATCCTTCCATTGTTATAGGATATACGGGTGGATGGATTGAATATGTCCTCCCTATCGAATAAGATTTAGATAAACATTACATGTTGTTCTTTTTCTGTGTTATTATTGTTATTTTTAATCGGCAAAATGTTCCAAAAGCCAAGTGCTGTCCAAAAGTGTCGGTCTTTTTGTTTTATGTTATTTATACACAAGGTGGGCGGAGTTTGGTGACTGTTGAGTTTGGACAGACTATCTGGTATTATCGAATTGTGTTTTGAAAGTAGCCTGCTTACGTATCACAATGTTATTTATAAAAGATCCGGTGTCTAGGTGAGTATATAAATGGGGTTTAAAGTCCTACTGTTCTGCTCTGATTGGGTTAAAGGACAATATTGGTGCCAGTCATTATCACATATGTGATAGAGCTGGTTAAACACATTCCAAATATAATTTTAACACAGAGATCATCGCTACGATAGCTGAATAATACAGGTTTCCTGAATCGGAAGTGACGAACGCCAAAGGAAAACACGATAAATCCCTCTATATAACTGACTGATGTGACGAGTGATAACAGTTACATCCCACTTCTACTCGTTGCCACTGGCAACCTTTGATAAAACTGTCCTGTTTAATTGCAATACATGCTTAAAAGTATCCGTGTATCAGAAATGTACAGAAAGAGTTCTGATCATTTCTGATACACGGATACTTTTATACCGTTTTAGATATCTGTCAAGCAACAAGTAGCGGACGTTTAGTCCGACCCAGATCGCAATTGATAACGAGGCTCTAACCAATGTACATGAAACAACTAGTCAAATTCATAGTAACAAAACAAAATGGGGGGAACTACATGGCAGTTCAAAACATATACAATGACATTAAATGAACATAACAACATATTACAAAAATCAATTATTATACATACCAATTGGCATCTATTTCATAATTTGGTTTGATTTATATTAATATGCAAAATATATAAATTAGAATATTGAATAATTATTTTAATTAATTGTGATGATCGAAGGCGCAGTTTTCTTGCTGGACACTTCACAGGCATTGAAAATAAGCAGGATGAAAAAAAAAGCCTAGAAAGTCATAAACTTTATTACAAATAAATTTCAACGGAAGAACCATCCGCCGATGCATACTTTCACCAGGAATGACCCACGTTTCGCATTTCCTTTACACTACATTTAATAATATCGCAGTCCTCTACGCCATAGACATTGTTTTGACGATCTGGTCTAAACAAACACGTGATTGTATCATAGCAAGACGCACGTGTAAATACTACTCAGGTCGTCTCTCCACTGCGAAATCATTCTACCATGAAATGTAACGTGAGGCTCAGAAAGGGATAAATAATGAAAGAACAGAAAGTATTTGTCACTTTTCGGTTGAAACGACTCGATAATAAATACTATTTTTCACATTTTGCTTCACAATACTCGATAGAAATGTGATGTAAGTAACTTATTAGCACCTTTCCTCGGTGTATCGGTGAATATCAGGACAGTTTTGGTCGGGAGTCGCCTCGGCTCCGCCTCGGCTGGGCCCCTCGACCAAAACTGTCCTGATATTCACCGATACACCTCGGAAAGTGTGCTAATAACTACTACATACACGGCCGAATTTCTGCTCACTAATAATTCCTTCCAAGACCAAAGTTGCTATATGGGACTGTAAGAGGATACCTGACAATTCAATAAAGTAATTGAATAATAATAATAATAATAATAATAATAATAATAATAAAAGTATTGTAATGCACGGACTTTTTCTGTTTTTCTTTCGTGTTCTCTTATCTAGTGTCAGTCAATTCTTTTTATGAATTGTCAGATATCCTCTCACAGTCTCACACAACAACTTTTGGTCTTCGAAGGAATTAGTGAGCAGAAATTCGGCCGTGTATCTGTTATCAGTCGTCACATCAGTCAGTTATATAGAGGTATGACTCGTGTTTTCCTTTGGCGTTCGTCACTTCCGATTCAGGAAACTTGTATTACTCAGCTATCGTAGCAATGATCTCTGTGTTAAAATTATATTTGGAATGTGTTTAACCAGCTCTATCACATATGTTATAATGACTGGCACCAATATTGTCCTTTAAGGAAGGCCGACACACGCAATAGAGTTTACTATGAAGGACAATTTGCCAGGATACCGACATTACGACCTACCCTTATATCTAATTCTAACTACAAGGGGTCTTATACGTGCAAGTCAGTGTGCACACGGGACTAGGTTGTTCCATGCCAGGCACCATATCAAATATTGGTCTGTATCAATCAATATTGGTGTTGTTATCTTGCAATGAAATTATCAGATCCTTATATTCAATATCCAAGATATTATCAACATTTTAAAATCATTACACAAGTCGTGTATTGTATGGTTTCGGGTGCCATTTGTAATGAACAAAGAAAAACGTACCCTACAATACAGAGTTGTTATTTTGCCGTGCAATTATGGGGTCCTAATATTCAATATCTAAATATCTATGACATTATCAACATTTTAAAATCACTACACAAGTCGTGTATTCTATGGTTTCGGGTGCCATTTGTAATGAACAAAGAAAACATATCTTATAATGTAGATGTAATTCGTAATAGCTGATTCACAAACGACAAAATAATTACTATGAAACGTTGACTGTACTTACCAGTACCGGGATTATAAAATCTTGAACATTCCCCCTCGTCACTTGTATCACATATATACACACTACCTGTTCTATTAACACCACTTCCGGTATCATCATTTGGCGCCCCTACTAACAATCTGAAACAATTGATAAACAATAAGTAGCATATCCATTACTACTGGGGAGTGGGGTTAGGTGGGGTGTAGACATACTAACATGTAGATTGATCTGTTATCTGTGTATGGACGGCAGTTTTCCATATTTATTTCAGATACAAAGGCTATCTATATGCAAACTCCTCCTGTTATGAGGGAAATGTTGCGAAGAGCAGCGCTACGACCGACTCTTTATATCGGATTCCAACTGCCGGGGATCCTTTTACGTACACTTCAATGTGTATAAGGGACCTGCCCATTTTAGGTATGTAGGGTGATAGTGAAGCTGGGAGTGGTAGAACCTCGTGCGACACTATATTGATCCTCACCCTCATATTAGTATTGTATTAGTATTAATGTTAGTATTAGTGTTGTATTAGTATTATAGAATGATAGTATTAGTATTATATTAGTATTTTATTAGTATTACCATTAGTATTAGTATAATCATTAGTATTAGTATTAATTTTAGTATTGTATTAGTATTATCATATTAGTATTAATGTTAGTATGAGTTTTGTATTACTATTAGTATTATATGAGTATAGTATTAGTATTAGCATTATATTAGTATTAGTATTAGTATTAGTATATTAATATTAATATTAGTATTATATTAGTATAATCCAATCCCTTTTAACACTTACCTTATACCATCTTGGTTTCTTGTTAGGACTGTTGTATATCCAAAATAGCTTGTTTTTGGTCCACTAAATATTCTGGCTTGATCCGTGTCAATATTATACGATAAAACACTCCCAATACACAGGCAAATTATACACACAATTATAAAACTTAAAATGGTGAATAGTTTGACACTCATAATGGTCGTATTCTATATACAGTTAATAGGTGAATTAAATAATCATAAACTTATAAAAAGAAACATTCACTATACAAATAAATGTTGATCCCCAATATTGAATATCTTCAGTTATTATTCTACATGACCCTGTGTTATTACATCGTATCTATGAAATGCACTGTTAAACGAAGCCAGCAGTATATATCATGTGACCTCCTTACTTCCTAGGCGTGCTGCAGTTACATACGTGATTGAGACTTGATGATCGTAAGCATAGTTGTAACATCTGTCTTTAAAGTGGCTTTTAGTCAAATAATTAAAGACCGAAATAAAGATTTACGTAAACCTAATTGAGACAATTTTTTGATGTAAGCTTGCTTTTTCATGAATAACTGGTGTCATTTCTCATCATCAGATTCTTCTCATTTTGCAAGTCGAATTCGGCAATATTCGTATTTGGGCTACTAGTAAGGATCGATTCAGATATGGTAGTTCTTCTCTCGAACACCCAAGTCTCTAAACACGCCAGAGTTATCTCAACTTTTTTCTTATCGACGTTATAGTAACCTACGGTTGATTGTATTTGGTTTTTATCTTACGCTGCATCCATCTTGAGGTCATTTTCCGGTGTGGTTCTCCCTTGTCAGTGATGCAGGACGGAGGGTCTGACAAGGATAGCTGTCTAGTCGTGCGGATGGGACGAAAAACCGAGGTCCCGTGTACACATTGGCATGCACGAAAAAGATCCCTTGACAGTTGGAATTCGATATAAGAGTAGGCCGTAGTATCCGGTCAAAATTTCCCTCATAGCACACTGTATGGCGTATGCCAGTCTTCATTCGGAGCAGAACAGTAGAACGTTAAACCCCATTTCATTTAATTCCATCTTTAAGTCATTTATTGTTGAAACTACTAGTTTTCATCACATTAGTGACTTACAGATTTATAAATGCACCAGATTTAGTATACAAGCAATAGGATTTAGCGTCCATGTAATTCAATAAATTTGTTTCGGGAAAAACATTTGGTAAATTTGAATAAATTGGGTTTTTTTTGTGCTTAGGATCTTTAGTTTGGGCTAACAGGATAACACCAAAATATTCCCATTTATAGTTATATATTTGATCCACATCCACAAATGCTAAAATCGTGGGACTGAACCTATGATTCCACCGGTTAAAATACTTTTAAAATAATAACAGCTTAAAACTCTAAATAAATAGAAAAAAATTCAATATATATTTTATATTTCAACATCCTTTTACAATACCAATCAGTTTTTTAAAAATATATTACAATTAGCTTAATATAAGATCGTTTATTTTATAATTATATTCACTGTGCGTTTTCTATTTTGGTTTGAAAAAACCCATAGGCCGACCCAATTGTTTGGAGCATCTTTAAACTTTTAATTTTAAAAATTGGCTGGATGATGGAATCTAAAGTGTAATGGTTAATCTGTTTGTTTCCTTTCCGTAATTATGATCTGCTTGTCTGGTATTTGTGTATACGTCACAGTGAACCACAGAGTAATGATATATAATATTAACAACAGGATCTTTAAGGCAATAATATTTGCACCGTTTTGTGATAACTAACATGACGGATGAATTTAACTGATTCCCACGCCAAGTACATAATACCCATCCTATTGGTGTCTGTTTAAGATAGATAAGTAGATAAGATGGTTTGTAATGAGAGAGAGAGAGAGAGAGAGTGAGAGGCGTCCGCTCAACCCAGGCTACATAATTTCGGGACTAACATATGGTACAATTTTATTTCAATAATTCACTTGTGCTTAGCGGTCTTTAGCATTTGGGGGGGGGGGCTAGGACCTGGAACACCCCACAAGTTATTGTACAGGCGACCCTAGTTACGTTCAAGCGGAGAATCGAAACCACGGCAACAATCTGTTTCATAGACGTGATGAAAGCAATATGACTGACCTTAAAGTATCTAAGTCTCTAACTCAGTATCATCCAAAATCTTCGACATTGAAAACACGATTTATTTGTCGGTTAAAATCAACATCGATGTTCTTTTCTTACCGCGAAAAGATGGGCTTCTGATATCCAATATTTAAGACAAAATAAGCATTGTACAATTGGTACACGAACCGTGTACTATAATGCGTTTCAGCGCTATTTGTAATAAGGGACTCGAAAAACGAGGCTAGGCATATTCCAGAATTCATGTCAAACGGTGACGCTATATCCTTATCTGGGAAGCATGCCCAATAAATACTAACGCCGTAGACTGGAATAACCAGAAGCTAGAGATTGAAATTCGATTGAGAATACTGGCGTATGTCGCCGAACCTAACTGTCGCCGAAATTACAGTAAAAAAGAAACGATTGAATGTAAATCAATTTATATACATTCATATTACATTATTGTATGCGTTGCGACCCATTTGTGTCCATTTCTAGGTCCCATTATTAGCGACTTAGCTCCTTTAATATATATTCACCTGCATTCTACGTGTGGCGTCTAACACTGCGCCGATCAATGACTCCTATAGCGCGTGCCAAACTGATTAGCAGTGAATATTCGCTAGACCTCTAAAATCACTAAGAGGGATGACATATAGGTGCGTGTTAATTGGCGTGGTCTCGATTCCCCTCGTGTACGCGACAAGGGGTAGGCTTGCCTGTCCAACCCCTTGGGTTGTATCCTGGTCCTCCGATTTCCTCCTACAGCTAATGACCCCTACGCACAAGCGCATTATTGAAATATAAGTGAACCATAGTTTGTCTCGAGTGGACGTTAAACCCAATTTCATACCCTCTATATAGAGCAACATTATTGCAGTGCATACCAAACGGATCAAGTTTATCCGCAATGAATATTACATTAATACATTATGTGTTGCGTCTTGTATGCATTAATAATTACATTTTTGCATACAGAATAGTAGTAATACATCATAAATACGTATCCAAAGAAACGTAAGTAAGAATGGTCTCAGTAGATCACCCTGTGGTACACCGATGTAGGCAATATTTAAGCTTTTATTGGACAACTGAACTTATTTTTCGCATAGTTATAATATAATGACTATGGAATTTATATAGAAATGGATTTAAATGGTAAATAAAGAATTCACATGCTTGGTTAAAAAGAACATTCATGAAATGACACACGTTCAGGATTTCAGTTTACAATGTCATGAAATTAATGAATGTACCGTACCGTCTTGGAATGGACTGTGCCATTCAACGACAGCACTTTTGTTAAATAATAATGATACAAATGTAACAGACATGTATATTCCCTTCATCAATATGACTTACTCACAATATATTGAACTTACCAAACGGAAATGTGTCATTGCACGCATTTATTTATCTTGAATAATAATAATGATGCAATAACATATATATAGTACGAACATCGAAATTAATATAACGGCCCTTAAATTCCTCTTGCTCTAATATATATATATATATATTTGTATCCATACAATTATATATTTCTATGAGAGAGAGAGAGAGAGAGAGAGAGAGAGAGAGAGAGATTAACGTCCACTAGAAAAAACTAGGTCATGTTGGGTTTAACATATTGTTCAATTTTATAGAGGGAGGGAGAGAGAGAGAGGGACGTTACACCCCACCTCTCCCTCTCTCTCTCTCTCTCTCTCTCTCGCTATAAAGTGACAAAAAGGGCATCCATTCAATATTAAATCTTGGTATCGAAATACATGCATACAAATGTAAAATAAGTATCGATGATTGATATTGGGTGTTTGAAACAACATAGCAAAATCAGTGTGAAATTGGTGGCTTTGAAATAACTTGACTCTTTGGTATGACATTATTGGTGTTTAATTTATTTGAATTAGTACTATAAACAACTTTCTTTCTTCTTGATTTCCATTAATTGGCGTTTACTATTTTCAAATGATTCATTATTTAATAATCAAAATAATTTCGACAATGTTAAATGGACGAAGTTAACTTTAACAGTCATAATGATCATAGAAATGGCGCATGACATAGAACAACCAGCATACTATGATACATAATATGGAGAACAATGTTATAGCCCATAATTAACTCTATTATAACGACTGATTTAATTACACGGAACGCAGTTGAAAATTAGACGTTAAATACTTGACAATAGAGTTACTCGTATAAATGAGCATATTGGTGACCTCTGTTCACTAGCATGTATAATCTATCGCATTATTTATAATTATTGATGTATATTATACGTTATGTTCATTCATACTTTCACTATACATACACACAAGGGGTGGCTAGTTCTCGTACGATTGATTAAAATGAACTATTTTTAAACATATTTTTTCTATATTATTTCGATATAGCCGATTTATGAACGTCATTGATATTATTATTATGATTTATAGATGTAGGATACTTGTCTAAATATGGAAATGATTGGTTAAGTGAGGGATCCGTTGGATTCGACGGACCTGTGTTTATGTAGCACATTTAATAACTAAAGGGCGTTCCGGTATTACACTGCAAATTCTTATATCCTTCTATAATAGCCGTATGCAAACAGGAAAATATAGAATTCCACACTGGATAAACGGAGCTATCAGTAAGTAGTCCGGTTCTTTGTGTAGAAGAATAGTCATGACGCTCCCAGCGGAAATATTTATCGTCTGTGTATGATAAGAAATGAATGTTCTGACATATTGTTAAGGATTATTCGATTATCAAGTTTGTGGTACGTGCAAAGGACGTGTTACGAACGTCTGGATATAGATGTCATCACTGGCAGTTAATTTTGGTCTAAATATACAGAAAATGAAGATAACAGGGAAGTGATATAAATTTGATCCTGTGTGTTCTGTGTATTTTTAGAGTATCGTGTCATATCGGAGAGACGCCAGTATGGTTAAACACAAGATGTTAAACAAAATTCTATGTTTATTTATTTGTATTTATGGTAAGTAGAGTTGTTTTATATTGTGGGGACTACATGTAGTTCGTTTTACGTTAAATACTGTTGATTCAATAAAGTTTATATATACAATTACTGTACTTATTATAAAAATAACTTAATTTACTGATCACTATCCATTCCCCTTGTCCGTGGCGCAGGGCGGAGGGCCTGACAAGAACTGAGCTGTCTAGTCGTTTGAATGGGACGAAAAACCGTGGCATGCACGTAAAAGATCCTTTGGCAGTTGGAATTCGATATAAGAGTAGGGCATAGTGCCCCTGTCCGGGTAAAATATCCCTCCTAGCACACTGTATGGCGTAACCCTCTTCATTAGCCCAGTAGGAGCACAACAGTAGGAGTTAAACCCATTTCATTTCATTTGATCATAATCCATATATAATCTTTGCACGGTTATCGAGGCAAAATAAGAGTTTTTATATCACATTTTATATGAATATTATACCATTTGAACTGGCATATTGCTCAAGAGACTCTGAGGCTAGACAAGCGATCCGACTTCTTTCTTTTCGCTTAAACAGCTGAATTGGAAACTCGAACACTTTATCCAGTGGCCCTTATATTGAAAATTCAACTCGCACCTCCCTTAGAATGAAAGGACAACTCCCAAAACTGTAACACTATTCGTGATAACAGGAGATCAATTTCTTCTTAAGGATTTATTATCGACGGTAACAGAATATGAAACAGCTACAATAAATACAACAGGAACATAAACAATAACATCAACACAGTACGTGACTATATTACAACCATTCCATCCTTCTGCCACGGCAGCGGCTGAACTCGGGAGAGTCAATACGCTCGTCTCTGCTCGTCTCTGCTCGTCCGCCAAGGCTTCCGTCAATTTTACTGTCGGTAAGCTTGCAGCTATATAACGTACAACCCATAGAATCCCTTATGATGAAAAGACGACTCCCACCCTCCGTTATGAAGAACAGACACTCCCCTCCCCACTGATGAAAAATCAACTCCCACCCTCCCTTATGATGAAAATACACCCCACCCTGCGTTATGATGAAAATACAACTCCTACCCTCCATTATGAGGAAAAGATACGCCTCGTCTTGCCGTATGATACAGCCCCCCCCCCCACTCTTATGATGAAAGGCATCTCCCAATCTACGTTACTCAAAATGCCACTCAAATAACCAAATTGTTCCTATACTTATAGTATTAAGAAAACCCACCATAAAGTATTAGTAAAACCCTCACTTTAGTATCAACAAACATTTGCATATGGAATAAACACAAAATTTTCATTTGATTTTTGATTATAGAATTAAACAAATTGTGATTAATGATATATATATAGTTAACAAACTTTGTTATAGATATAGAATTAGCAAACTTTTGTTATAGATATAGAATTAGCAAACTTTTGTTATAGATATTATAGAATTAGCAAACTTTTGTTCTAGATATTATAGAATTAGCAAACTTTTGTTCGAGATATTATAGAATTAGCAAACTTTTGTTATAGATATAGAATTAGCAAACTTTATTATAGAAATAGAATTAACAAACTAGTTATAGATATAGAAATAACAAACTGTTGTTATAGTTATAGAATTAACTAACTTTATTATAGATATAGAATTAACCAAATTCTTTAGAATTGATTTTAAAAAGCCTTAGAACGGTTCTGTTTGAACCATGCCATTTGTAGTATAGTAAGCACGGTGCTGAAAACAATTGCTGAATTGTTTTGTAAATAATGAAAACAGTGAGGCAAAGTCCATAGTGTTTTCGAGTGAAAAAGATATGTACCTTTGATAGAAGGGATGTAGCGTAGTATTTCGGCAGACATTATATTTGTAACAGAAAGCGTTCGCATTCCAAAACAACAACTATCATTTAGGATTAGGTTGATTTCTAGCAACTATAACACACAACGTTGAGAGTTTTATACCTTTTCTGAAACCTTGAGTAATTTTCGGGTAGTCGGACGACATAGCGAGCGAGAGAGCGATATGGGGTTTGACGTCTACTCGACACAAACTAGGTCATTGCGAGACTAACATATGGTTTAATTTTATTTCAATAATTGGCTTGCGCGTAGGGGTCTTTAGCAGTGGGATGAAACCGGAGGACCGGGAGAAAATCCATGACAGGTGACCCTGCTCCTTGTCACGTACAACCATTCAGCCATCCAATCTCCCGGACGACATATAACTATATACAATTACTCTAACTAGATACTTGCAGCAAGATTTAGAAAAGTTTGGTTATAGAAAATACAACATAAGAACTAATTTGTAGACCACGGAGCTATTTAATTAATTTGATTTATATTCAATCAAAAGTAACGTTGAACTCATTTCGAAATTTTGATTTTCTTTTGAGAATCGATTATACGCCTAATTCAATCAGAAGTATTCCGAAATTTGAAAAAAATATCCCACCCTCGGACCCGCTATGCTTGAGAATCCATAACCATTCCCTGGTTTAAAATAATTGTTTATAAAGGTGACCAATACAGAAGTGGAGTGGGTATCGGATGGGTATCTTTGGCACTCAAGGAAAACAAATAAATATGTATATTCGGTGGACTAAACAAAACCTGATGTCAGAAATTAAGATAATCTGGAATAATTTAAAATATTTACATGTATATCTCTTTGTGTGTAATTTAATAGTTTATAAAACCAGATGTTCTGTGGAAATAATTACACATTCGCCATTCTTATCTGTACACTAGTTCAAATCTACATTTAAAATTCTTATATTTCAATACATGTCCATGTATGTCAAACACACTGATACCATAAATATGTACACTTATCCGGTTTATTGCAAAACTTGTGCTAATTCCCAGAATTAACCTTCTCTTTTCTATAAATATAGTATTACGGTAGTTTGTCCGCAATATTTAGGTAGTATTTGGTTTTATTTGGTAGTAATTAGTCCTGGGTAAATCGTTTTGCCACGAACTGACTTCTTCTTTTGTATAATTGAAGTATTTTGTTATTTTTTCGCAATATTTAGGTGGCATTTGTGTATTTGGTACTATCTAGTACTGGGTAAATCGTTCTGCTGCGAATTGACTTCTTTTGTATAATTGAAGTACATGTATTATGTTAGATTTTGGCAATAATTAGGTAGTATGTGGTGTTTGGTAGTATTTAGTACTGGGTAAATCGTTCTGCCGCGAACTGACTTCTTCTTTTGTATAGTATTATGTTAGTTTTTCGCAATATTTAGGTGGTGTTTTGTGGTATTTGGAATTATTAAAGTAGCTAAGTCTCTAACTCAATATCATCCAAAATCTTCAACATTGAAAACACGATTTATTTGTCAAATTAAATCAACATTCATGTTGTGATCTTACCGGAAAAAGATGGGTTTTTGATATCCAATATTTAAGACAAAATAAACATTTTACCATTGGTACACGAATCGTGTACCATAATGCGCTTCAGCCCCAGTTGTATCAAGAGACGCTAGAAATTTGCACTCGCTTGAGACTGCTGGCTTATTTCGCCGAACATAACTGATTTGAAATTGGAGTAAAAACGGAAACCATTGAATGTAAATCACTTTATATACATTCATATTACAGTATTATATGCGTTGCGACCCACTTTTGTCAATTTCTAGGTCCCAAATGTTAGCGATTTATCTCCTTTAAGTATTGGGTAAATCGTTCTGCTGCACACGGATACGTAATATCAACGACGTACATAATCAATAAGTGTCGGCACGGAGGAACAATTAGTAGATCAACGTTTCGGCCACGTGACGAGGAGTAATGTCTCTCGCCCAACCTCGTGGGTTTTCTCTGGGTCCCTCGTTCTCCTCCAACTCCTAACGACCCCTACACTCAAGCGAATTATGGAATTATTACATATGTTAGTGCCGAAATGGACTGGTTTGTATCGAGTGAACGTTAAACGTCAATCATAATGTGGATCCTCGCTTTTAGCGTAGTTCAGTCATAAAATAGACTGACGCTTTCAGCAAGTGTAAGTGAAATGAAATGGGGTTTAACGGCCTACTGTTCTGCTTAGCAGGGCTAATGAAGATGGGCACATGCCTTGCTATGAGGGAAATGGTGCCTTGACAGCGGTGCTACGGTCTACTTTAATATCGAATTCCAACTGCCAAGCATTCTTTTACGTGCACGCCAATGTGTACACGGGACCACGGCTTTTTGTTCGAACCAAACGACTATACGTAGACCTTTGCCAGGAAAACCCCGATGAACTTTCGAGGCCAACACTGGGATCGAACACAGGCCTCCAGGTCAGCGAGCTAATGTCTTACTCACTGAGCCTCCGCAGGTCCACGTACATTAGTCATAATACAGAACGGCGCTTTAAGTCCACGTAGTCCATTTATAACGCAGACCCACATTTTAATCGAATTCGGTCATAATGCATAATAACCGAAACTGTTATTTGGACCTTTAACGATTTGGCTGAATATTACAATATAAATGATTCAATTAGCCCAATTCTGTAATCAACCTAATTTCAGTTGATGTCTTTCTGTCCCTTTACATGTATGACTGTTATCCAGTGAAGCAAAAACGTAGTAGATATGTAAACTCCCGCACTTAGAAATGGCATGGGGTGTTCTACAAAATATTGTTTTGGGGTAAAGAAAATTATATTATCCATACGTCAGTGCAACAAAAATGTAAATTCCAAATTAGAAGTGGCATCGGGTCTTTTGGGTCTAATCTTGATTAATCATGGACAAGGACAGCTGTCTAGTCGTTCGGGTGGGACGAAAAACCGAGGTCCCGTGTACACATTGGCATGCACGTAAACGATCCCTTAGAAGTTGGAATTCGATATAAGAGTAGGTCTTAGCGCCGCTGTCCGAGCAAAGTTTTCCTCATAGCACACTGTATGCTCGTCTTCATTAGCCCAGTCGGAGCAGAACGATAGGACGTTAAACCCCATTTCATTTATGATTAATCATAACCTTTTGTATTAGCCCAGTCGGATCAGAACAGTAGGACGTTAAACCCCATGTCATTTCCGATTAATCATGGACAGAAAATTATGCAATCTGTAAAGTCACTGAATGTTAAAACAGTTTACAAATTATATTAATCAAAATATATGCGATTAATATTCAAATGTAGAGACTGTTTATTCATTCTTATTATGTTAAATAAGGGAGCCACGGTGGGTAAGTGAGGAAGACGCTGACTCGCTAGCCTGGAGGTCGCGGGTTCGATCCCGATATTGGCCGAGAAAGTTACTGCTTACATTTTTATCAGACAAGTTTTTGCTACATAAGAAAACTGATTATTTCCCTGCGGTGACATTATAGAGACATTAGTGTATTGGATATCTTCGTCAGCGATGTGAACGTTTTTATCAGATTTTATGCAAAATGTCAATACGTTTTGTTGAATGTTTGTCACCAATGTGGATATATTTTGACAAAAAAAAAATCAAAACTTAGAGGACAATGTGGGTGTCAGTGTGATAGGGCTGGTTAACACATTCCATATATAATATTAACACAGAGACCATTGTTGTGGTAGATGCGTAACGAAGATATGAAGAAACCGGAAGTGACGCAAGCAATAGGAAATCACGAATAATCCTTATATATCCTTTTGCTTGTGTCACTTTCTGTTTTCATCAAAACTTTGTTACGCATCTACCGTTGTAAAGGTCCCTGTGGTAATATTATATTTGGAATGTGTTTGACCAGTTATACCCTTTAAACAATATCCGGGTTCACTCAGTCTTTATAAATAACCGTTTCGTGTTTCGATATATTTTCTATTTTATTGTCTTTTTGCAAGTATAAATTGTTTAAATTGAACTGGAATATAACGGCAAAAATGATATATATGGAATACAATTACTGCTTATTACTAAGCGGCGTTTCGACCTTCTTGTCTAGCTTGATATGACTAGAGAAGCCTATAGATAAGCAGTAACGAAATGAAATGAAATGGGGTTTAACGTCCTACTGTTCTGCTCCTAAACTGGGCTAATGTGCTATAAGGCAAATTTTGCCCGGGCAGCGGCGCTACGGCTTACTCTTATATCGAATTCCAACTGCCAAGAGATCTTTTACGTGCACGCCAATATGTACACGGGACCTCGGTTTTTCGTCTCATCCGAACGACTAGACGGCTGTTCTTGTCAGGCCCTCCGTCCTGCATCACTGGCAAGGGGAAACCACGCCGGAAAATCTGGATGAACTTTCTCGGCCAATGCAGGGATCGAACACCCGACCTCCGGGCTAGCGAGCCAGCGTCTTAACAACTTAGCCACGTGATCCCCCAGATAAGCAGTACTTGCATTCCACAGAATTGTGACCTGTCTTTGTGCAGAGCAACATACTTGGATAAATTCCGGTAATTTCCACATTTCGGTATATTTTCAATTCTGTTGTCGTAAATTGTTTAAATAGATAATTTCCATTTCATTGTCTTTTTGCTAGTCGACTTTCTTCGACATATTCCAGTAATTTCCGACATGGTTCTGCAGTAGCTTTATCGTTACCCGAATATTGTACGGAGTGTTCGTTCTGTTAATGCTATTTTTAAATGTACCAATGTACTCTGTACCCATTCACAAGCCGGTGGTGACCTTTATATCAATCAACATTCATATCATATTTAAAAATATAATTACAAAGACGGTTATATAAAAGTAAAAATTCCATATTAGGTTACATATAAGGTCTTGACGTGTGTTATGTCAAATTGTAATAAACACTAGAAGAGCAACACTTACATGTATTTCCGTAGCGACATCTGTATCCTTAATTACTATTATAAATATTATCTTACCATTAAAGATACATTAGTTTAATAAAGATTTTGTCATTCTTGCTATAATAGATAAAAATAAATGATAAAAAAAGAAAATATTGAAAATTTCATTCAAATTACTTCATTCTCAGCCAAGTTATCATTGTTTGTAGTTTTGACAAGATGTGTGCACAGTGATAACCAGCGCACTGCTATAATCGGGACTTAGCTTTCCCATTTTTATATTAAATTTTTAAATGGCGAACCGTTTTAATCTAGTTAAAATCTCGAGTATCCGATGCCATCGAGAGTCGATTATGGTCTTGTTTTGTTAATAAGTTTATATAACATTTCAGGCCTAAAGAAAGACCTGCAATAGGCAGATTTAGCTCTTGCATAGTGTATGTTTAACGAAACCATTTCCATAGGAATGTGATGTTTAGTAGACCATTTGTAGACCACTTGCAAAATTGATTGTTGTTTTTTTACCTTTTGCAGCGATTTTTCCGAGAAAACAAATCACCCCAACGTTGACTAAAAAATGCAATTTGAAACAGTTGGTGGCATTCCTATTTCCGTTTCATATATTTGCGTAATTTATATCGTCGACGGCGAAGTTTTGATTTCTTTATAATATTATTTCCGGCAAAGCGCTTCCTTCATTGTGTGTTCCCATACACACTAAAAAGGAAATAGTGTTTACATAATTTTTTTTCTGAATAAATCAAAAACATGTTTTAGAATTTTATTTGAAGAAGAAAAAGGTTAATATTAAAGTAGCGAAGTCTCTAACTCGATATCATCCAAAGTCTTCGACATTGAAAACACGAATTATTTGTCAAGGTTAGGGCCCAGGATATTGGCGAGATTGTAGGCTATATCTATTTCTTAAGGCCAGCTCAATTTTTGTCAAGGTCGCTGAGATGTAAATAAGGTTAGGGCCCATGATATTGGCGAGATTGTAGGTTAGAGTTATGGTAAGCATTGGGTTAGGTCCAGGGTTAGTGTTAGGGTTGGGATTAGCGCAAGCTCTCTTTACATCTCGTGACCTATATGACGAAAAATTGAGCTGGCCTTATCATTTTGCACTTAACTTTTTCTAATTGATATGGAATCTACTGAGAATGCAATAATATTTAGTGTCGGTGTGAAAATTACTTTCGTGTTTCAAAATGTTCGCCATTACTTTAAATGTTTGCCATTAGTTGTGGTTTCCGGTTTAGATGATATTCCCCTTACTTTAATATTCCCTCGCACATTCCCTGGCAGCCCCCACCCCCACCCCAGCGCGCCGAACCGCGCCCTTTCCATAGGACGCATTACGAAGCCAACGACCAGCGTGCACACATCAGTATGGTACGCCCCATAAAGCCGAGTGACATTGGTTGGGCTGCCCCCCCCCCCCCACGCACTCTTATTAATGGCCTGTATCCCTTGGTTTGTGTTTCTAACGAAAGGTGTACCTTATTTTGTAGCTTGTATGTCAGTTGATGAAGCAGCTGTATGCGAGGGAAAAACATGTGGCGAATGTTTAGCGTCATCAAGGGAATGTGGATGGTGCTCTGACGAGGTAAGATAAGAAAATTATTTCGGCTAATTCTAAAACCCGATTGTCTTAGAAAATTGCGTGGTTTCCGTTTACATGACAAGGAACAGGGTATGGATGTTCGGGTGGGATTAAAAACCGAGGTGCCGTATCCGCATCGCATTGAAATACAGAACACGTGACAGAAATGAGTCAATGACGAACGGTATGTTAAAGATCTTTTTCTTCCAGGATAAATCTGTAGGTCTGTCATTGAGTCAAGTGGCGTGGTTTCGAATCCCCGCTTGTACGTGACAAGGAGTGTGGTCGCCTTTCTAACCTCGTGGGTTTTCTCCGACACCTCCAGTTTCCTCCCACCGCAAAGCACCCAGACTCACAAGCGAATTATTGAAATAAAATTGAACCATATGCTAGTCCCGAATGACCTAGTTTATGTCGAGTGGACGTTAAACCCGATTTCTCTCTTTCTTCCAGGAATTATTTATCGCTAGTGATGAGCCAAGGTGTGCTACAATAACATCACTTGAAGTAAGTGGCTGTGACAGAGCTAATATTTCAGAACCAGTTAGTACCGTAGTCTCTTCAACAGTAAGTATCAGTATGCATTATATCAATAAGTGTCTAACCGACATATCCATGCCATAGTTCTGAAAGGTTGCGTTGAGCAGCAAATCAGATTCGAATCCAGTAAATATCGCAGGCTAGCGATGACATCGAGAGTTGATTATGGTCTGGATAAGTTAAGTAATGTCTAATTAATAATTTAGATAACATTTCAGGCCTAAAGATAGACCCGAAATACGCAGATTAAGCTCTTGCATAATGACCACGGTAATCTTAGAGAGGAAAAACTAATTGTGGGATGCGATCCTTCTTTCTCGATCTTTTGTCGACGCCGCGTGCATTCCTTGTATTGAAATAAATGTATTTGATATATTTTTGTCATAGTACATATTGATGAAGGGAGTTAACTCTAAACCTATTGTTATCAAAATGGTTTATTTCGATATCATTCGTTTTTGTTTATAGAATAAAGCTTTATCGGATGGTGATAGTGAAGGACGGGATGCTGTTCAACTACGACCACAAAGACTTACCATAAAATCAACACCAAGTAAGTTCCTTATAACTTGTAACATTGACACCTGCTAAACATGCTTGTTGTTATTGCACAGAAAACTAAAACTTGTTAAACCAGCAAAAGAGTGCAATAACATTGAACATGCCTAGTTATTTCACGGTTAAAGCGGAAATTGCTAATTTTCTAAGAAAGTCAAAACGTAATTATTTCTATGTCTTTTGCTCAATAGGTTGTCAACTCACAATTATACGATCATAGGTGTCATTCTCACACTTAAGATTTATTTACACAGGAAATAATAACACAATTACCTCCCAATTACCTCCCTTGTTTTCTATTCTCCACCATGGAGTAGCGATATTCAAACGTTTGAAAATGAAGAGGAAAATGATATTTTTGCCAATTTCTCAGCTGGCAATAGTGAATTATAGGATTAATAGGATTATTTAATAGGTAGGACTGTTTATGGATACCATCTATTTTCAGGCTTTATTTTAATAAATTTTAAAAATATAACTTAAAAATTTGCAATTTCCGCTTTAAGCTGCAACCAATCTACTAGAGGAAAAACAATCTACTTATTCAACGAAAAGAACAAAGGAAGATTCCCGTCCATGTTACAAATATCTGTTATTTCTGTGGTTTTGGCCTATTTCGTTGACATGAATGAGCCTTATACTATTCCATTTCAAACTAGTTATGTATTGTCACTTTGTCTTTTTTCTCTCCAGATTACAAGAAAACAATAGAAATGAAATTCCGAGCTGCTAGAAATTATCCAGTAGATCTATATTTTTTATTTGATCTTTCAAACACCATGAAAGAACATAAAACTAAATTAGCCAAATTGGGTGATCTTTTAGGTAAGTGATTTAATCTATTTTAACTCTTGAATCTGGGCTGAACTATAAATAGGAGATAAGTTTTAATTTTAAATTACAGATACATTATGTAAGAGCTAAATCTGTCTATTGCAGGTCTTTCTTTAGGCCTGAAATGTTATATAAACTATTAGTTAGACATTCATTAACAAAACAAAAGTCTCGAATATACCAGTGCCCTGGTTACCACAATGCACACATCTCGTCGGTGGATGGAGGGGCAAAGCTGGGGCAAAGTCTAAGGTTAAGGGGGCAAAGGCACGAGCTTTAACTAGGGGTGGTAACTAGGGGTGGGGGGGGCTCCCCCAGAAAATTTTGAAAAACAGGTTGCCGGAAATGCAGCCTGGCAGTATTTCAGGCACTGATCGTTGAGTTAAAGTGTCAAGCGAACGGACTTGCGAACCTCGACGAAGCCCACTTACGAGCGTCAAAGTATGGAGTGCTTATGGAGGGTATGGGGGACCTCCCCCAGAAAATATTGAAAAATAGACTGCCGGAAATGCTGTCTGACAGTATTCAGTCAGACACCGATCGTCGAGATAAATAGATTTGACCAGATACCGTCCGTCGCCTGATTACTAGTTTATCCGACCAGAGATCAAAATGTCAAACGAACGGACTTGCGAACGTGAATTAACGAATTCTCCTTATGAGCGCCAAAGTAGCGAGTCCTTGTGGGGGTTATTGGGAACCTCCCCAAGAAAATTTTGAAAAATTGACTGTCGGAAATGCTCTACAACAGTCTATGACTGAGTGGGAATGTGGGATTTATTCACCGTAGAAGGTATTGATTACCGGAACGTACCACAAATACTTTTTTTTATTGTCTAAAATTATTGGGGGGGGGGGGCAAACAGAGGGCAGACCAGATTTATGGTCCCTGCCCCCCCCCCCATGGCACCGCCACTGCGTCGAAACTACAAACAGTGATAACTTGGCTCCGAATGAATAATTTGAATGAAATTTTCAATATTTTCATTTTATATTATCTATTTTTGAGCTATTATAGCAATAATGGTCAGTTCTTTATCTAAATCTTACATAATGTATCTTTGAATATCGATGTATGTAGAACATTCATTCGTTTGTCTGGCGTAACGCCGAGGAGTGTTATCGCAGAAAACTGTAGAATATGTGAATTTGGGATTAAACAATAGATCTATTTCAATTTGATTTGTATTTCGTTGTGTAGAATGCTGGTTTGTTTGTGGGTTTGACGCCCACAGAGTGTGATATAGCAGACCTATGTAGAATTGGAAGTCCATCCAGATGTGTGTAGAACGTTCGTTTGCAAGTTTAACGTGCGCCTCCATCGAGGGTGATATAGCAAACAAATGAAATGGGGTTTAACGTCCTACCGTTCTGGTCAGACTGGGATAATGAAGACGGGCATACGTCATACAGTGTGCTATTTGGCCCGGGCAACGGCACTATGACCTTTTTTATATCGAATTCCCACTACCAAGGGATCATTTACGTGCACGCCAATGTATACAGGGGCCCTCGGTTTTTCGTCCCACCCGAATAACTAGAAGCTGCCTTTGTCAGGTCCACTGTCATGTTTAACGTCCACTCGACACAACCAAGGTCATTTGGGGAATAACACATGGTTCTTTAGCAATTGGAGGAAACTGGAGGACCCGGAGAAAACCCACGAGGTTGGACAGGCGAACCTACTCCTCTGTAGCTTGGATATAATGCGTTGTAGGAAGATATCTTCAAAGGCTAAATTTCAAATATATTATTTTACAGCTCAGAAAATGGGAGAGATATCGAAGAATTATAAATTTGGTTTTGGATATTTCCAGGATAAAGTTATACTACCTTTTAGTTATATGATTCCATCAAAGTAAGTAATACCACAATATTCCCTCTTACGTATAATATAGACCATAGGGGAAAAACTGGTGATGTCCACATTTATGCTTTTGTTCGATTACTTCCCCATGATTTTACCCCTTGGTCCCTTCTTTCTTCTCTGTAAATATTGTAAAGATCAACTGGACATGTCACTCTCTACAGAGGGTTTTTTGAAAGGCATAAAAGGGAAAAATTGGTGATGTCCAAACCATGGTCAGTCAAATCAAATGCCCAAAATACAGCATAGGAATGCTATGGGAGTGTGCACCAGCTTAAATGTTCTCACTAAATGCATGATTCTTCACAGAAACTTGCAATATTTAAAAGAAAATCTTCCAAACTGAAGAAATGAGTGTTTAAACTGGAAATTTTCATTTACTCAAAAGTCAGAAAACGTGACATCACCAGTTTTTCCCCTGGGGTCTTCATATATATACATTCTAGATGCATTCATATTCTGAAAGCACATCTATTTTTAGAAACCCTGGATACCCTTCTGTGTCGAACTTACTGTTCAGATCCAAAATGACCATTATGACGTAGTTAAGTGGGCACCCCGCCACCCCCCCACCCCCACACACACACTGCTACAGGTCTTAAATATGTCGGGCTTGTATGCTCACTAGAGCAGATAAGGGAGATAATCAAAGTTTAAACGAGAGATATTTTGTTGCAAAGCCGCACCAAATTGTAAAGGACATAGTAGGAACATTTTACAATTCTCTTTCGGGTAGTTAGTGATTATGAAAGAGTTATTTGGCCATGTTAAGATCATGTTGCGAACTGAAATAAAACTATACGGCACTCCGACTTTCACCCCATACTAACAGCAAAAAAGAAAGAGAAAAGAAAGTATTTGTTAAATTCCCATGTAATTGTTAACAGATACGCATAATAACAATTAACTTGTAATTTCTAAACATCATTCAAAAAGGTCGGAACATAGAGGAAAATTGGTCAATTTGTGAATTTCTTACTGAAATAAAAAAATAGGAAACTCCAACACCCAACTTTACCTATGCAAATAAAAGAACAATTGACCGTTGAAATTGGATGAGGAGTGTGCGGAAACGCCCCTGTATGAGGGCAGCATTGCGCATTTGACCAATGTAACAAAAGGCTTTTTGGATAGTGGGGGGTTGGATGGTCGAATGGTCGAATGGTTAGCACGTGTACGCTGCAGTATAAGGTCTATCATGGAGTCAACTGGCGTGGTTTCGATTCCCCGGTTGACAAGGAGTAGGGTCGCCTGTCCTACCTCGTGGGTTTTCTCCGGGTCCTCCGGTTTCCTCCCACTGCTAAAGACCTCTACGCGCAAACTTATTATTGAAATTAAATTGAACCATATGTTAGTCCCGAAAAGCCCTAGTTTGTGTCGAGTGGACGTTACCCCCCCCCCCTCTCTCTCTCTCTCTCTCTCTCTCTCTGTTAGTCTCAAAATGGCCGTTTACTTCCCTGTAATATATAAGCTAATGTTTATTTGTGAATTGTAGGTTACTGAGGCCGTGTGTTGATTGTGCTCCACCATTTGGATATAGGCACAGATTGTCATTAACCGATAATATCGAGGAATTTAAGGTAAATGTTAGATTTATGTCTGTGAAGATTTGCCAGTTTCTGCTTATTTTTCGCACACTCCCTTTAAATTGTTCAAGTCACTTGTCCCCCTATCTTCAAATAAAATTTTTCAAGTCACTTAGCTCGTTGCCTTGGGGGTCCTGCATTCATTTCCGGTGTTGGCAGAGAACGTTCCTTTGGGATTTTCCGCGCGGTTTCCTCTTGACGGTGGTGCAGAAAGGATAACCCGACAAAGACAGTGTCTAGTCGTTCGCATGGGACGAAAAACCGAGGACCCGTGTAACACATTGGCATGCAAGTAAAAAAAAACCTTGATAATCTGGAGGTCCTGTGTCCAAGTGTTGGCCTCGAAAGTTCCCGTGTTGTCCCCTTTTTTCAGTGATGCAGGACAGAAGGTTTAGCAAGGACCAGCGTATAGTCGTTCGGTTGGTACGGGAAACTGAAGCCCCGTGTACACATTGGCGTGCATGTAAAAGATCCTTTGGCAATTGGAAATCGAAATAAGAGAAGGCCGTAGCGTCGCTGTCCGGGCGACATTTCCCTCTCTGTACAAAAGTAGGACGTTAAACCCCATTTCATTTCTAATACTCTCACATAAACTTTAAGATCAGGCCAGGAGTTCACAAAGCATTCTCAGACTTAAAGGCTCAATACCACTCTTGTTGTAACTGAATAATATGTCCCAATCTTTATTCTAGTCAACAAATTGTACTATTTTAGAATATTTCAATTAATTGATGATACAAATTCCATCTTAACACACCTTATTTAAATTTTTTGAAAAATTCAACATAATGGTTTGAAACGTCTAACGTAAACCTTTTCAAATGAAACTTCGATTTAAACATATTTTCGAACCCTCTGCACAAGTAAAATAGGATGTAATGGATAATTTACACAACAGGTAGGACACTTAAACATCTAGTACTTAGATAGAGATATTATTTATTTTCTGGAGCTTTCAAGCCAGCAAGAGTGTTATTGTCCCTTTAAGTTAAGAATTTACTCAACTTTCAATCAGAGAGAAATATCTTTGATCCAGAAACAAAAATAAACAAAAATCTGCTCATAGTTTCTTATTGATGTATTTGATACATTAAAACAACAAAAGTTTTATATAGCGCTATATTGCAGTTAAAAAGGGTGAACTATTTTGAGTAAATTCTTAAACATACATTATGCAAGAGCAAAATCTGCCTATCGCACGTCTTTATTTAGGCCTGAAATGTTATCTAAATTATTAATTAGACATTAATTAACTTATCCAGACTATAATCAACTTTCGATGTCATCGATAGCCGGCGATATTTACTGGATTAGAATCCGATTTGCTCCTCAACTTTCATTCATGATTAAATCATGAAATGGATAATCGGGACTATGTTTTTTATCGTACCGACTTTAGTAATGATGATCGAGGCTAGGTCGAAAATTCAATCGCTAAATACTCGGTACAGAGTGGATCAATTTGACTGAAATTTTCAACAAATACCCTTTAAATTATCTAGTTTGTAACTATTATAGTGAGAACTGTCAGCTCTTTGGGGCCTGATAATTCCTACCTATAATTCATTTCTTTACCTGAATTTCAGAACGCTGTAAACGGTGCCAATGTGACAGGAAATATTGATAACCCAGAAGGGGGTTTTGATGCCATTATGCAGGCTGTGGCTTGTGAGGTAATGTTATATTTTGACCTAAAATATTTAAATACCCAAAAGAAATATGTTCTCGATTACAGGGACTACAGTTTTTAGATAGAAACTCAATAATGGAGCAATCTATCCAATAGAAAGATCGAAAATATGCTTTGCACCGGAAATGACCATTATGGAAGGTTGAAGATGTGATATATATGTCAGTGGTGATTGATGTGATCATGATAGAAGAGAGGGCGATGGGGTTTAATTTAACGCGCATTCGGGACAAACATATGGTACAATTCTATTTTCATAATCCGGTTCCGCTTAGGGGTTATTAGGAATGGGAGATCCAGGAGAATAGCCATGGGCTTGGACAGGAGACCCTACTCCTTGTCAAGTATCTACTTGATCTTATGATCTGAAGCGCAGGCGTTGATGCATTCGGATTAAAGGGAAGCAACCTCTTCTTGTTGATGTTTTCAATAATGATTTTGAACTTTTTCTTTCAGACTCAAATTGGATGGCGAAAACAAGCCCGTAGATTGATTATTTATTCATCTGATAGTACGTTCCATTATGCAGGGGATGGCAAGGTAAAATGAGAAAGAGACAGACATGGGGTTTAACGTCCACGCGATACAAAATAGGTCTTTTCGGTCGGGACTAACATATGGTTCAATTTAATTTAAATAAATCTGCTTGCCAATAGATTGTGGGGGGTTGGGTGGCCGAATGGTTAGCACGTGCTGTGTCATACGGCCTGTCATTGAGTCAACTGGCATGGTTTCGAATCCCCGGTTGTACGTGACAAGGAGTAAGGTCTCCTGTCCAATCTCGTGGGTTTTCTCCGGGTCCTCCGGTTTCCTCCCACTGCTAAAGACCCCTACGTGCAAGCGAATTATTGAAATAAAATTAAACCACATGTTAGTCCCGAAATGACCTAGTTTGTGTCGAGTTGACGTAAACCCATTTGTTAGACCAAATAAGGTAATATCTATCTCTGTTAGTGATGGGAAATAAAGCGTTTTATTCCTTATATGTCACGTACATGCGGGGAATCGAAACTATGCCACTTGACCCAATGACAGACCTAATGATCTAACGCGTACCCGTTAAACCTTTCGGCTACCCAACCCAACACCACCCCATTAGGAACTCCATTTTCAATCCCCGACACTCACGACTACAGCAGGCCGATGCAAGTGTGTTTTGAAACACAATGGTCGTACTCGCTAGAGATAAAGGGACATAATGTATAGGCGAGACGGTCCCACGTGACCTCATTGTTTACCTTATAGCACAGTTTTCCTGTACTCGCGTGTTGACAAAATGCTAGTTTTTGTCGTTAATATGGAATTTAATACCGATATGGTTCTCTTACCATCGATAAGGTCACGTGGAACCGAGTTTTTACTAGCGACACCTGGTGGGAATTCCTTCAGGGAGGACTCCCATTGGGCAAGGTCGGGTATGGTGACAGATGATTAACACGTTACTGCGTCTTGTGTAAGAAAAGCTTATGACAGTTTTAAAATATCATATACCTTGGCCGGTGGGCACTCTAGATCTTGGGGAAGTAGGCTTCCGGCTGACAAGCCTATAGGTAAAGCTGGCACTGCACAGAAAGTAGCGATACGCTGACAAATGGAATCGGGTTTATAATACTGGCGTTCCAGAAAAATACAAAGCGAGATATCCTAATCTTCTATAGACACAATTTATTCCCAAAATGTGAAAAATATTCGAAAACGAACAAAGAAGTCGCAGAAACGGTGTATGGCTGCATCACGTTGTCAAAGCTCAAATATAGTCTCGTAAGCCGGTTGCTTTCGCTATATAAAACTGGTGCAATCTTGTGAAATTTTTGTCTTTACTGGCTAGGAAATGTAAAACATAATACATCCCACATGATACCTCTAGGTTTTGATTTATTTCTTATACAAACGATCAGAAATATGGAACTATCAAACGGCAGATTTTTAAAATAATAAGTTTATTTATTTATTCTACGTTACAGTTAGCAGGAATAGTTCTACCTAATGATGGAGAATGTCATTTAGATGAAATGGGGAAAAACCCAGAGGAATTGAATCAGGTACGTTATTGGCTTTCCAGTTGAGTATAGATGTATATTGTTGTAACCCTTATCACGTGGAGGACTATCCGGGGGTCTGAATATTAACGGGAATAAACTTCTCTTATACTCATCTAATTGAACCGCATGATTTTTTAAATAATGGGATTTTATTTTCAATGGGATTAACAGACAGTCTATGCTTTGATGATTAAAGATACATTACGGGAGATTGGACAAAGAGTTAACAGTTCTCGTTATAATAGTTAAAAACTAGATAATGTAAAGGAAATTTGCTAAAAAAAGTCAGTCAAATTGGTCCACTCTGAACCGAGATTTTAGTGATTGAATTTTAGGCCTGGCCTCGATCATCATTGCTAATGTGGGTGCGATAAAAAAAACATAGTCTCAATTATCCCTTTTTTGGGCGTTGAGTAGCAGATCAATTTTAATCCAGTAATCGAGAGTTGATAATGATCTGGATAAGTTAATTAATGTCTAATTAATAATTTAGATAACATTTCAGGCCTAAAGAAAGATCTGCAATAGGCAGATTTAGCTCTTGTATAAAGTTTGTTAACAATACGATTCTATGTTTTGATGATTAACAAACTCCCATATATTGTGTAAATGATTAACATTAACGAACGACTGTTTTATTTTTTTAATGAGATTAACAAACGATCTTTTTTATTTTATAATGAGATTAACAAACGATCTTTTTTATTTTATAATGAGATCAACAAACAAAAATATCGTGTTTTAATGATTAACAAATAGCCATTCTTTTTTTAATTTTTAGGATTATCCATCAATTGGACAGATATCACAGAAAGTCAAGGAGAAGAATGTCAATATAATATTCGCCATTTTAGACAAAGTTGAAGATGATTATAACCGGCTGACTAAACAAGTACCCAATTCAGTAGTCGGTGTAATTGAAAACAATTCAGAAAATATTGTTACTATTGTAAAAGAAAACTACGAGGTATATTCTTAGATTATTTTAACGATAATTCTTTCGATTTGGATGGCCGAATGTTTAGCATGTACGCGCTGTGTCATAAGGTCTGTCATTGAGTCAACTGGCGTGGTTTCGATTCTCCGGTTGTACGTGACAAGGAGTAGGGTCGCCTGTCCAACCGAGTGGGTTTTCTCCGGGTCCTCCGGTTTCCTCCCACTGCTAATATAAAGACCCCGAAGTGCAAGCGAATTATTGAAATAAAATTGAACCATATGTTAGTCCCGAAATGACCTAGTTTTGGGACTACCCCTCTCTCTCTCTCCCTCTCGCGTTTACCTTTGTGTAATGTGTACATTGTAATACATGACCTGTCTAATACAGATAATATTGATAACTCACGTCCAGCGTATTATAATGTTTTGAAATATGGTAAACTGTATTTACTATGGTCAATGGGTGCAATTCTAGGAAGGAAAAATATTTCCAGGGTGGAGGGTGTAATGTTCTAGGGTCTACAAGCCTTGTTAATTCTAAAGTCCTTTATTCTTTATTATCCTTACATTACAAACCCATGGATAGGTGAGTGGGGTAAAAAGCTACAACATACAAAATAGCTAAGTATGAATAATCTATCTATAAAATCTAAAATCTACAAAGAATCTTATCCTTGATTTCTACAGCCTTATCTTAATTCAGCCTAACACTACAATAAATCACAAAATTAAATGACTTGGCCTTATTCCTGACACGGTTATCAATATGACCTATGACCTGAATTGTTCAGCTTTAAACTTATTTAAAGGCATTTTAAATGGTAAATAGCAGGTTGATTGCCTTATTATAGTTACTTAACATTAAGATAAAACAAATATCTACACAATAAAACATTAATTCATCTAAAATTATAAACTTACTCTGTGGGGGATCCAAATTCCTTAACTGAACAGAGAGCACATGCCAATGAAAAACTAAACCTATAAAAATATGCAAGAGTTAATGAGGGGACATAATTAAAGCAAACAAAAAAGAAACAGGTTCCAGACCGAAATTACTTAATTGTTTGAAATGAAATTATTATAACATGTAACAACACAGAGGGGTTGGGAGTGTTTTCTTCTTAAAATGTATTTAATTAAGCAGATTTTGTTGTTTAAAAGCAAAAATATTTCTATGAAAAAAAACCCATATTCTTTACAGTTTACTCTTCTTAGAAAGGTAGTTTTGTATACAGATGATCGACGGTGTGAACCAGGTATTCCAGTCTACTCCAGTTCTTTTCGGACCACTAGATGCCATGGCCTTAGCGGCTCCAGGAAGCAAACAGATATCTTGGAATTCACGCAATTCTAAATAAGTACATTAATCATTCATCGGTATAATTTTAATCTTTGCAGGCTATTATCTCTGAGGTGAGATTTAAAGTTAACAGTCCTGATGGTATTATAGTTCAATTGTACTCTGATTGCAATAGGTACGTAATACGATTACATTTTAAGTTTTAAGTAGGGGCGGGGACGAATGGTCTAACGTGTGCGCTTTAGATCATAAGGTTTGTCATTGGGTCAAGTGGCTGGGTTTAGATTCCCAACTTGTATGTGCAAGTAGTATAGGCGTCTGTTATATATTTTGATTTCATATTTCAGAGGAATCCGACAAAAGACAACAAGATGTGACGGTTTAAGTATCGGAAAGGAAGTAAGTATACGGCTAGACTTTATTTCGTATTTAGATTAAATTGATAATCTGCTAGAAGGTATTCAAGACTTACCAATTTAATCCTGGATACACACAATCATACCAGTATAATCCTGGATACACCCAATCATACCAGTATCATCCTGGATACACCCAATCACACCAGTATAATCCTGGATACATCCACCCACACCAGTATAATCCTGGATACAACCAAAAATACTCTCACCAAAAAGGTTTAGTCCAGTGATACGTAATTATAGATTAAAATATGTATCTACAGCACATGAGGCTGTTGTCAGGTTGCGGGGGTGTAGTGGCTATCATAATGGCATGTTGCCGCTTTACAACATGATTACTGAATTATTGAAACCCATATTACGCAAATTGTTCATGTTTGAGAGGTGTGCAATCTGCCCTAATCGTAAGTTAACAAAAATCAGTTGTATCAGTTTGTGAAATTCGACATTGAGGAAGAAACGCTAGATAAACAACAGTATCAACAAAAAATTTGTTTTTATACGCGTACACAGTTTGTGCAATGTTTTTCATGGAATATTGTCGGAATCTACATTATTTATTTTTCCAATGGATGCCATGTTTCCACTACCAAACGACGTACAGAAATGCGTCTAAGATAATTGTTTGTCCAGACCAATATTCGTTTTAGTCGAAATCGGGACGATTTTGACTGGCGTGGTCAAGAACCCGAACGGCATTGTTCTAGACACAGGAGATACGAGGACGCGGGCGATCAGAGGCCACATGAGATCCGAGGACGTGGGCGATCAGAGGACACGGGAGGTTAGAGGACTTGAACGGATAATTTACAGGATTTCCTACGATTGTCCCTTGTATATTTTTCTTTATTTCTATTCAACAGGTAGCATTTGATGTTGAAATTCTTGCTACCGAGTGTCCGAAAAACCCGGAGGATTGGAACAAAACAATAACAATACAAGTGGACGGAATGCCTGATAGTCTGACCATAAATTTTCAGATTGAGTGCGAATGTGAATGTGCAAAATCTGGGCAAGGCGTGAGTAGATGCTTTTTGTACATGATATATATATATATATATATTGTTTTGATAGACAATACGTGTTTGTTGGGATTAGTAGGGACAAGAAAACGCGTTCTAATCTAATCTAATCTAAAATTATGTTTTGCCTTATTAAAAAAGCTTTGAATATAGTAATGGTGCACCAAACATGAGGGTTTCTGTTCTTGTATTACAGGAAGTAGACATCTGGTTTTGTTTCATTGCCGGAAGTAGAAATAGGTTTTGAGCTTAGTTTTGATTTATTACCGGAAGTGGACATGAATGATGTCTCAGAACTTAGTTTTTGTTGTTTTATTACAGGAAGCAGACAGCAGTAAATGTAATGATGTCGGTACATATCAATGTGGGATCTGTAGTTGTAATGAAGGGCATTATGGTGACATCTGTGAATGTAGTGAATTTGATATATTAGGCGAGAAACAAAAAAGAGCGTGTCAAAGGTACGAGTTGCTACATAGAAAACGGATATAAAAATACTCTTCTGTACTCCAAACCTCCATGCTAATAACAGACTTGGTGGACATGTCTCTAACCCTGAAATTTAATTGGTCCACAGTCTAGACACGCGGTTGTCAAGCCAGGTTGGCACTGGATGACAGCCCGTGCAATCGATATACCTCGATAAATATTATTATTTCAAGTGTTGAATCTAACAAGGCGAAGAATTTAGTCCCCTTAACATTTTGGCCTGATTATTTCTCGTATGATGAATCCATTCCACGGCAAATCACTAAACATGGTTTGAATAATTCGATAAAATGTCGTTTTTGTTAGAAATTACTAAATTAGGTATCGACTATCTATGGATGGTAAATAGGTTAATTCATTTTTATAACCCAGTAATCAGGCCACTACCATAGGTAAGCAAATTAAATGAAATAAGAGTTTAGCGTTCTTCTTTTTTCTGCACCAACCCGGTGATTGATGCCAGGTATACGTCATGTGACTACCAACTGTTAATGTTAAGGATATTTTGCGTACATACCAACATTAAACGGGCCCTCGGTTTTTCGTACAATTCGAACCACTGGATGGTTTCCCCCTTGTCTTTCGGATGATAAGAAAAACCGAGGTCCCGTGTATACATTAGAATGCACGTAAAAGATCCCTTTGCAGGTGGAATTCGATATAAGAGTAGACGACAGTGCCGCTGCCCGGGCAAAATTTCCCTCATAGCACACTGTATGGCGTATGCCCGTCTTCATTAGCCCAGTATAGGAGCAGAACAGTAGGACGTTAAACCCCATTTCATTTCATTTCCTTTCCTTGCGTTTGTTGTACCTAGGATATGTAGGTAAGCTTCAGACAAAAAGCGTTTTGTTCTTTACGTCTTGGCTTTGTGACAGTACTCTTCAATATGTGAATAGTGTAACTACTAAGCGTATCGCCAAACACAGAGCTTTATTGAAAAACGAAAAACCAGTAATCATAGAGAAATTATAGATACTGAACAAAATGCTATATCTATTTCTTAAGGCGTGACCTATGACGAAAAATTGAGCTGGCCTTATTTTTTAGTACTAGCTTGAACAAAACGAGTCTTTTCTTTTATAGTGAAAATACGACAATATTATGTATGGGACGAGGAACATGTAACTGTGGACAATGTGATTGCAATCCGGGTTATACTGGACGCTATTGTGACTGTGATACTAATGCCTGTGGACGAGTGAATGGGGAGGTTTGTGGAGGTAAGATATATTCATTATAATAATACTATTTCAAATGCGTGTAATTATCACAGTTTCATTAAGTGTTTACATGGAAATGGACCATCATATCTAGCAGATCTGTTATTACATACTTTCCTGGACGTCCACTCCGTTCTCAACAAAAACATCTTTTTATAATCCCAAAATATAAACTCAAATCATTTGGATACAGATCATTTGTTCATATTGTGCATGTTCTTAGGAATTCATTACCGCTGAACATTAAACTATCATCCAGCCTAGAAACATTCAAAACTAATTTAAAAACTCGTCTATTTACGTCCCATGATGGCACCCAGTCTGTGTAGCGCCTTGAGCATGCATACTAGCATGGAACTGTGCGCGAGTTGTAATTTATCTAGCCTCATGCCAAATTTCGACATTTTAGAAGAAGTATACGTGTGATTATCGCATATTTTCATTGAATTTATATAATCGGGAACGTGGCGATTTAATTTTCAAACACGGGGAGTAACTCCAATGATATTATATGGTTGTAATTTATCTAGCGCCATGATGTTACATCATTTATTCAATAACAAAATTACTCATTTACTGTAGCCCCATAAGAATGACAATAAGAAATAAAATCAGTCCTCCCGGTTAGCGAGCCACCGCGGCTCCCAGTGGAAGTAGAAACAAGTAAACATGCAATTACAGGCCCTACATTTCAACCTAACCAACCTCTCAACTCTTGTATCCTTCCGCATCAAAATTATGAATATTCACCAAAACCTGGCAGAAAATGTATTTTCAAACCCTTTTCTTCGATTCTACACCAAAAAGTCAACAAAAATCGCCATGCAAAAGGGGGAAAAAGGAAAAGGGAGAGGAAGACTAAAAATAGCTTTGGCCCTTGTTTCGTGGCTGACGGCGTACGAATATTTGGTGATCTGTGTCCATATGAGAGCGACCATTTTTAGTTTACAAGCGTTAACCATTAGTCGTGCTATTGGTTAATATAAATAAAAGGCCCCCTCCCTTTACTAGACATTGATCGAAAGTTGGTTAGATTGCAACCCGAAAAGTAAACGAAACGAAATTAGAATTATAAATTGATCATTTGTAAATGAGTGACACATTCCGTGCAACTCGAGCCCATGCTGATTGGTGATTATAAACGCACTAAGTGTTACATAAACTTCTAACCGACTATTTTATCTCAACTTAACTCTTCATCAAACAGCTGGCCATTGACTGCAAACCAGCGACTACTCTCAATAGACATAGACTACAAACCTTCGACGTTAACTCAACCACTAGTAAGTATAATGAAACTAACACATTTCTATGGGACATAAATCACAGGTTTATTGCATACAAGCACGACGTGTTGATAAGTATCCCCTTGTCGTTATAAAGTCCAAAACTGTATCGTGCTCGAGTTTGATAAACCAGTGAATGTTGTCCCCTAGAACTGTGGTAGTTTTGTTATTTTTTTCAATCGCTAAATTCCACTAAAGGATTAAATACTAGCATAGAGCGAACCGATGATGAGCCACAATTAACTTTCCGTCTTCACTAACATAAGGGGGGTTGGATGGCCGAATGGTTAGCGTGTGCGTGCTGTATCATAAGGTCTGTCATTGAGTCAGCTGGAGTGGTTTCGATTCCCCGGCTGTACGTGACAAGGAGTAGGGTCGCCTGTCCAACCTTGTGGGTTTTCTCCAGGTCCTCTGGTTTCCTCCCCCTGCTAAAGACCCCTACGCGCAAGCGAATTATTGAAATAGAGTTGAACCATGTGTTAGTCCCGAAATGACCTAGTTTGTGTCAAGTGGACTTTAAACCCCATCTCTCTCTCTCTCTCTCTCTCTCTCTCTCTCAGTAACATAAGACCACGAACGTCATCATGCACAGGCCAAATACCTAACCTTTCCCTGTCCCATCTCGCGCTGTCTTAGACGATGACAATCCATGTAGACCTTTAACGTTATGTGTTTAAGGACCACTAAAAGGTAGATGTGCTTGTGAAACGTGTGCTTGTCTAGATGGATATACTGGACCTAAGTGTGATTGTCCGACTAGTCAAGATACATGTCTATCCGACGACGGGGTAAGTAATATAATAATTATACATTTGACAAAATAAAAATTGATTTCTGAGGATTCACCAATACCTCAGAGAACATAAGGGAGCTATGGGAGTAAGAAGTGAGATGTCGAATTCATATCAGTCGATATTTACCTTGTCCACGGCGGATCACGTGGCTAAGTGGGTAAGACGCTGGCTCGCTAGCTTGGAGGTCGGGTGTTCGATCCCTACATTGGCCGAGAAAGTTCATCCAGATTTTCCGGCGTGGTTTCCCCTTGTCAGTGATGGAGGACGGAGGGCCTGACAAGGACAGCTGTCTAGTCGTTCGGATGGGACGAAAAACCGAGGTCCCGTGTACACATTGGCGTGCACGTAAAAGATCCCTTGGCAGTTGGAATTCGATATAAGAGTAGGCCGTAACGCCGCTGCCCGAGCAAAATTTCCCTCATAGCACACTGTATGGCGTATGCCCGTCTTATTAGCCCAGGTTAGGAGCAGAACAGTGGGACGTTAAACCCCATTTCATTTCATTTCATTTCACCATGACCACGGTCAACCAGCCTGCTACGTATTGTTATTCTTGATAAAAACAAAACACCTCATATGTAATGATTGCTTCACTGGATCATCAATTACACAAAGATTCCTGTATCGGTGGTCCTCGGGAACTATTAGTCGCGATCGTTTAATAATACAAGTGTTGATATATCGACTCATCTTGTAGTCAATTTAGTCTAGTAGTAGATCGCAGGGACGTCTATCAACATGAACCCAGGCTCTACAGAGTACCATGGACATTTTGTTTCCAATATCTGTCACAGGTAATCCAAATTGCTCGTATTTTCGTCGTGAGAGGCGACCTATTTAAGAAGGTTGATAATTTTCTGGATTGACTGTACAATAGACTGTGCAATATGAATCTGACAAATACACTACACAAATTTCAACCTCGGCTCCTTCATCATTACAAAGCAGTTGACCATTTTATTTTCATTGGCCCCACTAAATGCTCTGGACACACCACTGCAGCCTCTAGACTATGATTTCTGGTTCACGTCAATATCCTATCTGCTGCTCACTATTTAGTATATTTTACATATTTACAGGAACTATGTGGAGGAAAGGGAACTTGTACATGTGGTCAGTGTATTTGTGAAAGTGGTTATATTGGTACAAAGTGTGATACGTGTCCAGTAAGATGATTTATTTATTATTCTAAGATATCATCCAACAGCAGAACTGTCAGAGTTCATGAATACAAAAACAATCTGATTAAAACACAGATCCTATTTCGTTTCGTTTTTATAGTTCAAAATTTCGTTTTACTTGTCTATATTACACTAGGATCTGGAAGAGTTGTTATCATTGACGTGTTCTGAATAGTGTGAGGTATTAGCCAATGAAACCGTATGCTACGGCGAGTTTTAGGCGTGTTTTGCACATAACTGTGGGTAATCCACTAGTAACACCAATGCTTATTGGTTAATCAAATGTCTGACGTCATAGGGTTAAAAGTCACTCGTATTACCTCTGACGTGACCTATCGCAACAACCGGTCAGATCTTCATGTAGTGTAGGCCATCGAAAGTAAAAAAAAACGAAACGAAATATAGATCTGTATTTTAATCAGATTGCAACACTGTTAAAATCAATTACATGCAGGCGTTAGTACCTGTGTAGTACATCTGCGGCAAATTTGAAAGGATTTGGAAGAATTCTCCGGATTGGTCCATTTTTATTATATAATATTTATTAACAGAATCAACTCGTACGTTATTGCAATACTGTCCTAGCTTTAGAAACCTATAACGGTAAATCTCTTTGATCTTTGGGGTATATTATATGCCCCGAATAACTTGCGGTCTGAAAGTCGGGGCGGCTTTGAATATATACTGGGGAATTTGGGGTTATTCTTCTGAAAGTTATTATTTAAACCTGTAACGGTTATTCTTCCAGGCTAGGGTTTTCTTTTCCATCAGAAAATATGATATAAGGTTTTTCTTACTGGAATTCTAGGATATTCTCATTTTACATACATGTAAACATAGACGGTTTATAAGCAAGATGAAGTTCTCGACTTTGGTTATGTTGGGGAAGAAAGACTTCAGAAAAAAAAACCTTAAAAGAAAATCCTCGGCCTACCGGTCTCGTTATTTCTTTTGTACTCGGGTTATTTTCTCCAGTCTTTCTTTCCCCGGAATAACCTCAGTCTCGTGCTTTATCCTTCACATATAATTTGCTGTTTCAAACTTTCTACACTTTATGACGAACTATTCTGGTCTGAGGGTAAATTTTTATCCAGACAAGTCTCCTCGTAAACTTCAATATCCATTCAAATAAAATAAAACCAAGTACGAACAATCCAAACCATAAGACAGAATTCGAAGTCCTAAAAAACGTTATAGGCAAAATAGTGTATTCAAGCAAAATAGTGTAATCAGCAAATGGACTGCTCCTCGTGTACAAATTACACGACAAACAAACATATTTTATATATTGAGATGTAATATTTCATATCCGTGACAACTAAAATCACAGATATTTTCCCTTGAGTGGTGATTATTTTGTATAATGTCTTGAAATAGAGGCTGTCTATATGTTCATAGATAATAGAGACTCTGTGTATGTCGTATTGTACACATATCCTGGGGAATGTCTTGATAATAGGGAACGTCTTGGTGATAGAGACTGTATATTTTATATAACTGTAGACATGTCCCGGGAATGTCGTGATAATAGAGACTCTGTATATTTTGTATAATAAACAGACAGTTTTATGGATAACATTCACTAGGTTTATTAAAAGAGTATCCTCATTGAAACGTTGCCGTTAATAAAACTAGTGAATTTTATCCATAAAACTGCCTGTTTATTATATATCACTTTCACTAAATGCCTTTCAAAGATAATATTTTGTATGCTTGTAGACGTGTCCTGGAGAATGTCTTGATAATAGAGACTGTGTAGAATGTAAGGTATTTAAACAGGGATCACTGTCGCCAGAACAATGTGATTTACAGTGTACTAATCTTCAAATAGTGGAAACAATAAGTAAGTGAGAACATAGAAACGATGAGTGAGTGAAAACAAACGGTATTATATTCGATAGAGTAACAAGAAGTAAACCACAATAAGACATCCACCATACCCATTGTAATGTTTCGTTTGATACGTCTCAACACTGCTGTATTGATTCTAAGTTTTGTGTCTAACTACTGTAGTCTACTGGGGGGGGGGGGGGTGATGTATTTAGTCACGGTGGTTACTCTCATTATTGGTGACTGTAGTTTTAAATCGCGTTTTAATTGTTAGGCGTCAATTGTTAAAGGGGTTTCTTTATGGGGTTTACGCCCAGTGAACACACCTTATTTTTATATTTATAAATTATTTACCCTAAAAGTTTTAACTCTGTATTGTATTGCAATTGTAATTGTATTATGTTGTGTTTTATAATTGTATTTGTGTTGTAATTGCAGATGATAAGAATGGCACGTGTGAAATTAAAGATATCGACGGGTGTAAAATGATTTTTAAGATCAATTATGAAGCAGACGGCAACCTCACGATTGTTGCCCAGAAATACAAAGGTGTGATATTGATAATGTAATACGTACTCAAATATTGGTCAAATATCTCGACTGACACGGTACTGATGAAATGGGGTTAATATCTTGTTTTAACAATTATAAAACGGTGATATTAGTCATTCTAAATAAAATACTACTTTTCTAAATTGAAAACCAAATCAGGAACACATCTGAGTATTTTTGCATACTGTTCCATAATCTTAAAAAAGAATACATAACCTTTGTCAAAATAGAGGTAATTAAGTTTTGGGTTGAATTTCAAAAGCAGAAACTACTAGGCGTTGAAGGAGCCAATAGCACGAGCAGAATAGACCTGCGCAGTCATTTCGGGACAAACACATGGTTCAATCTTATTTTGATAATTCGCTTTCGCGTAGGGGTCTTTAGAAGTGGGTTGGAAACCGGAAGACCGGGAGAAATCCCACGCGGCTTGTCAGGTGACCCTGCTCCTTGTCACGCACAAGCGGGGAATCGAAACCACGCCACTTGTCTCAACGCCAGATCCAACGCGCATGCGTGAACCATTCGGCCATCCAACACGACTACCCCAGCAATCTTGGATATTTTACTTGATTTTTTTAATTTTATTTACAGTTTGCCCACAGGATGTAGATATATTGCCTATTGTAGCTGGGGTAATGGGTGGAATTGTTGCTATAGGCATATTTCTCCTGGTACTCTGGAAAATTCTTACTTCACTGTATGACGGTGTTGAATATTCACGATTTCAACGAGAGGTTGATCAAGTCTGCTGGGCACAGGTAAGGAAATATACTACACATTGATTCACTTGAGTGTCGCTCGATAATTATCATTTAACATGTCAATGACCAACATGTCAAAGGTCACAACATACAGATCCATATATTTCGGTCTAACTTGGGATTATATTTGCATTGTGTTATTATTGCATAAACCAAGGATCAACTAAACCACAATATAAAAATAATTGAATATTTACACCACCTAACCACACGTCAATGGTTATGAAATGAAATGAAATGAATGGGGTTTAACGTCCTACTGTTCTGCCCCTAAACTGGACTAATGAAGACGGGCATACGCCATACAGTGTGCTATGAGGGAAATTTTGTCCGGGCAGAGGCGCTACGGCCTACTCTAATATCGAATTCAAACTGCCAGGGTTTCTTTTACGTGCACGCCAATGTGTACACGGGACCTCGGTTTTTCGTCCCATCCGAACGACTAGACAGCTGTCCTTGTCAGGCCCTTCCGTCCTGCATCACTGACAAGAAGAAACCACGCCAGAAAATCTGGATGAACTTTCTCGGCCAATGCAGGGATCGAACACCCGACCTCCAGGCTAGCGGGCCAGCGTCTAACCCACTTAGCCACCGTGATCCACCTCAAAGGTTATGAGTCAGTATATGTGTGAAATAGTTTATTTAACATCCGCTTCTACTGAAAAGATGTCGCTGATATACATTTTCATTTAGTTCAGAATAATTCGATATTTCGTCAAATTCCTCACGAATCGACGAATCTGATATTTGTAAGTTTTGAGAGAAATGCGTTTAAAATTTGCACTCTGTTTTATACCTGTCTCTATGGCCATCAATTAATAACATTAATTTGTTAATTAATATTTCATACATATAAAACAGAACACGGAATGCCATTTACATAAATGTTATTATTTGGTGGTCACAGAGACAACGGAGCGCGAATTTCAAACTCATTTTCCTCAATGCTTAAAAATATCAGATTTGTCGGATCTCGAGAAACGTGACGAATTGTTTTAACTGATCAATCGAATCAATTAGCATGATCTGAACAATAGCTTCAAAAAAAAAGACGCAGGAAATTGACGTCATATTTTTTTTATCTCTATAACCTGTAACCTTAAATGGTTTTCATACCGTATGTAGTTTCAAAAACATAGGTGGACGATCAACTCATTATAAAACACCTTATTGAGCCTTCTCTTCTTTTTATTTTGCAGGAATCGAACCCGATTTATAAAGGAGCCACTTCGACTTACAAAAATCCTCTATGTGATGATATGTCGTCGTTAGATAGTAAATAGATCAAAATTAACGGCAACTCCAGAAGTATTGTGTTCAGTATTTTATAAACCACGAGTGATGTGATCTGAAGCGTTATTTATATTTGTAGAGTATGCTCATACCAACCACAGGAGATGTGACCTGAAGCGTTATTTATATTTGTAGGGTATGCTCATACCAACCAACCAGTGTATATTGCAACAGTTAGAATACTGTCATAAATCGTAAATAAATAAGTTATGCTTTACGATTGTACAAGAACAATCGGATTAAAATACAGATCCTATAAATTTCGTTTCGTTTTTATAGTTCAAAATTTCGTTTTATTTGTCTTTACTACACTAGGATCTGGCAGAGTTGTTATATAACCCGCGTGTTGGTCGATGTGAGGGATTTGACAATGATACGGTCTGTTGCACAGAACTGTGGATATCCTACTAGAAACATCAACGTGGTTAATCAAATGTCTGACGTCATAGGGTCACAATCCGATCGTATGACCCCTGGCGCGACCTGCCACTACAACTGGTCATATCTTCATGCAGTAGAGGCTTTCAAAAATATAAAAAAAAACGAAACGAAATATAGTTCTGTACTTTAATCAGATTGGTAAAAGAATAATTAGACGGCATATTGGCCGCTAAAAAGCGTGAATTTTTTTATTATTGACTAAAATTCATTTATTTCATAGTCAGTAGATGGAAATTTCGTTTCAAATATTTTACCGATACTGTATTTTGATTAGCCGGTAATAAACAAAATATAATTTAAGTTTTCATCAATCTAATTAAAATACAGATCTATATTTCGTTTCGTTTTTTATACTTTCGATGACCTAGTGTAGTAAACACAAGTAAAACAAAATTTTAAACTATAAAAACGAAACGAAATAGGATCTGTGTTTTAATCAGATTGGGTTTTCATGTATAAGACGCTTAAATAGTTGTATATAAATACCTTTTTTTTCGATTTAGTTATGATATTGTCACCATTGTGTGTTGATATGAAAATGAATTACTCTGTTGGCGTGCCAAAGGTTATGCCATCTCAATTCTTGTATATATTTTTAAAGATGTATTATCATTTCGTTTTCAAGTTTATAGCAAGCATTCTGTCTTTATTTTAACTAAAAGAAGTTTTTGTTTCTCAAATCACGATAGTTTCAGATCTAAAAACGATGTAGCAGTTATTTTACGGTAACGATGCGTCATTCAGGGTCATTATAATCCCCCCAAAATACAATATTGTGAAAGATGAATCTCGAATAAAAATATCGGTCCAAAAATGGCTCGGTAAGTTTAAAAGAAATTTCATCGATCGCCATTTTGTTGTGGGTGAACAGAAATGATAGGCCTTTTTAAAATCGGATAGGATCAAAGCTGGGGGGGGGGGGTATCTAGCGTTAATATTATGTTTTCTTAATCGAATGTTAAAGAATCTATCTGGTCCCGAGTTGACAAAGCATTCTCAGACTTAAGGTTAAGAATTTACTCAACTTTTAATCACTGTTTCTGAGAAATATATGTGATCAAATAACACAAACTTTGCACATTGTTTCTGTGATACTGATACATTAAAACAACAAAAGTTGGCTATATTTTAGTTAAAATAAGGCGAACAAGTTTGAGTAAATTCTTAACTTAAATCTGAGAATACGTTGTAAACTAGGGACCAGAATACATATATATTATTACCCTGGATTAAGCTGTGCGATTTTTGATAGTTTAGCGAAAAATGCAAATGACACAACGTTACTTGAGTTTGAATGTTCATTATTTCTGACGAGCTTCTAGAAGGCGATAAAGTACTTGAAAAAATGTTCAAATGTTATTAAACCGGTGTCGGCATACCTTTTATCTTTCACCCGTTACCGTATATATATCCGTTAACCGTAAATCTGCACTACTTCATTCCGCGGAGTCATGGTAAACGATGAGAGAAAAACGACATGTCATTAATACTCGATCATTCCAGTTTCTATTGTCTCCCTTTCAACTACACTGCAGTCTGGAAAAAATAGTGCTAACTTTGTTTACAGTGTCAAAGATCATAAGGAGAGTCATACGATTGGTTGAGTGGAAAAATGACCTTGCTTAAGCAATCTACAAGGGTGAAATAGTGCAACCAAATAACGTTTAATTATTTACTACTTTCGGTTTTGCTTGAAATACTTCATGTTGAACGGAAACTAAGGTTACTACCTTATTAGTTTCGATCGCTGCAGTATAGTTCAAATCGTCCCCTCTGCGAGCAGTTTTTGGTCATGCCAAAATAGTGAAATTGTTTTATGCCGTGGAAATAGTTTGGTTTGGTGTTTCGAGACATCAATTACTATATCCCTTTGTGCGAATGGTGTACGCGAATATCTAGACCCCCAGCTACTGTATTCACAATTCTAGTCTCGTCTGTATCATTCAGACAAATATTCTAGGCGGTTCTGGGTGACCGAGGCTATCACATTTCACACTGTTATGTCCAGAGCAATGTGCGTTGCCGTCGAAACGGGAACAGTTTGTACTGGTGTACTTCGACAGGCGAGAGTAAAATATCACCAACCATGGCAAGGATGAGACTTAAATTTCAATATCGTGATCATAAAAGTATTGGGTATTAGATAGGCACTGGATTTGTGGATGGATGGATAAGGCCAGTTGATTTTATGACTGATTTAATAAAATTTAAAATGTAAATATTTGAAATAAGATGTACAAAGTCATAAACCATGACCAATAATTATATAGAATTTTGTTTATTCCATACTTATATTGTAAATACGTGCGCGCGCTGTATCATAAAGTCTGTCATTGAGTCGACTGGCGTGGTTTCGAATCCCCGGTTGTACGTGGCAAGGAGTAGGGTCGCCTGTCCAACCTCGTGGGTTTTCTCCGGGTCCTCCGGTTTCCTCCCACTGCTAAAGACCCCTACGCGCAAGCGAATTATTGAAATAAAATTAAAAACCATATGTTAGTCCCGAAATGACCTAGTTTGTGTCGAGTGGACGTTAAACCCCATTTCTCTCTATATATATATATTGTAAATAATGAATTATTACATAACACGCGCAGATCCATGTATAGTCTTAGGGATGAGATGACATTTGATGTCTACCGAGCCAAGCGATGCTAACAAACAATTTTGTTAACAATATTTTATTTCAGCGGTGCAATTTTTATTTTTGTAAACAATATCCTATTTCATTTGAAAATAGATTGGGGAGCAGGCTATGTTGTCTCAGCGATGCTAAATGAACTGGCAACAAGACCACTATCCTTCTCAATGAAATATTTCAAATAAAAGAGAAATTCGGGGTTATTTAAAGTATGGGTTTGCAAAGAGAGTAGTCCGACATATTAAACTCTCTCCCACACCCTGGCTCCGGTTTTTGTGTTGTCTGATTCTTTGTGACAAGGATTTTTATAGAATGTAAAGCAATTTTTATTGCGAATTTTCGATCCATTCGAGAGAGAGAGAGAGAGAGAGAGAAGATAGAGAAAGAGAGTGGGCGTGCATGTTTTATTTATAGCTTATAACTAACACAGTTCTCGCTATAATAGTTAAAAACTAGATAGTGTAAAGGTAATTTGCTGAAAATTTCAGTCAAATTGATCCACTATGAGCCGAGAAAGAAGCGGGTGAAATTTTTGCATAGTCTCGGTCATCATTACTAAAATCATTAATATAAACAGCATAGTCTCGATTATCCACTTTGTCTGATTTAATTATCAACGGCCGTTAGCGGCATATAGGAATCTAATCCAGCCAACATCGAAGGCTAGCCTTGACATCGAGAGTTTATTATGGTCTGGATAAGTTAATTAATGTCTAATTGATAATTTAGATAACATTTCAGGCCTAAAGAAAGGCTTGTAATAAGTAGATTTTGCTCTTGTATAATGTATGTTTAAGTTAGTTATTATAAACCCTTGCCATGCCTAAATATATAAACATGTCGCTTAACGCTTAACCATAATTTATGATTTCTATATTATGAGCAATTATTATTGTTAAAATTCCATTATTTTTAAAGAAAACCATAATAAAAAGTTATAATACATGACATTGTGTCTTTTATGTTACATCCGACAAGGACACCGTGCCTAGTGGTTCGGTTGGGACGAAAAGTTGACAGTTTGAACTCTTCAGGATGCATTATGTATGATAAGCTAGCCGTTCTTGCTATACTAATTAACAAATAAATAATAAAAAATCAATAAGTATCGATTATCTATTTTATCTCAGGATAATCTGGAATGGTTTTCCTTTGGCTGGAAGGTGTGTGTGTGTGTGGGGGGGGGGGGGTCACGGTGGCTAAGTTCGTAAGGCGCTGGCTCGCTAGCCTGGATGTCGGGTATTCGATCCTGCATTGGCCGAGAAAGTTCATCAGATTTTCCGGCGTGGTCCCCCCTTGTCAGTGATGCAGGACCGGGGGGGGGGGCTGACAAGGACAGCTGTCTAGAGCCCTTGGCACTTGGAATTTGATGTGGTGCCGCGAAATTTCTCCCTCATAGCACACTGCGGCGTATGCCCGTCTTTATTAGCCCAGTCGGAGCAGAACAGTAGGACGTTAAAATTAAACCCCATTTCATTTCATTTTATTCAAATCCTTTATTCCTTTAAGCCAGGGACATAAAACACGTAAAATACAATAAAAAAAACCATGTACGAATACAATATAAACACGTTAAATACAATGTAATACAACATGTTCAAACACAATGTAAAATATTACAGTAGAATACAATACAACATATACAAATACAAATAAAACACACATACCCAATCTAAAGTAAATAATCCACAATTATTGCGTGCACTAAACTCAATCTAAAATCGGCGAATTTTGATTATTGAAAATATGTGCAGTGTAAGTTCCAATCCGCGAATAGACGTGACGCGGGGTAACTTCTCCTACTTAGTGAGTTTTCCTTCGATTTTTCGATATCATTCTAAAACAAAAGCATTATCCACGAATGGCAAATACTTACATAACGTTAAAGACTATCATTAGACCCTGTTTAATTACAATTCTGTTTGTATTAAATCTTCGCGCTCTCCGTTAACATTCAAGAGAGAGATAGAGAGAAATAGGGTTTAACGTCCACTCGAGACAAACTAGGTCATTTCGGGACTAACATATGGTTTAATTTTATTTCAATAATTCGCTCGCGCGTAGGGTTTTTTAGCAGTGGGAGAAAACCGGAGGACCCGGAGAAAACCCCCGACAGGCGACCTTACTCCTTTTCACGTACATCCGGGGAATCGAAACCACGCCAGTTGACTCAATGACAGACCTTACGATACAGCGCTCAAGTGCTAACCAATCAGCCACGTCCCTCCCCCCCCCCCGTAAACTTTCAAAAGCCAACAAGGTATAGAATTACTACAATCAGAAACTGTTAATTCAATTTCATTTGTAGATTTGTTTTTCGTATCAACTGGAATGAAATAGAACTCCGTCTGCTAAGGCTCTTTAAACGTGCACACCAATATGATCACCAGTGGACTTTTCTTTCCTTGTCAGCCCCGAACGGAGAACGCGACTTGATAAATCCTTAAGGTTCTCCTCGGTCTATAACGGGGGCCGAACCCAACCCCTTGTGGGTATCTATCTACATCTATAATTTGGGATATAACTTTGATCAACGGCTGCCAACAAAATACATAAAAATTAGACAAATAAACGGATACATAATTCAATCATACATATCTTATTTCATCGCTAATCGATATTACAACAGATCAATTCTCATTAAAACCTATATTTTGACCTTGACCTTAAATGGGAACGTTGACGTCACATATTATTAGTTTGTCTATAATGGATCCTACTAGTAATTTATTATTGTATATAACAGCAGTCGAAGAACCTGATAATACATGACCATCATCATACAGAAGTTCTCTCGTTCTAATTATATACCCATCTTTTACATCTAACTTCAAAACCTGCGAGAAAGTAACAGAAAATAAAGGGAGTTAACTGGTGAGTAAATGTAGGCATACCACCACAATTAATTTCCCATGTTGACGGCAATGCTTATTCTGGAGAGAGAGAGAGAGAGAGAGAGAGAGAGAGAGAGAGAGAGTTTAACGTCCACTAGACACAAACTAGAGAGAGAGAGGGAGGAGGTAATGTCAATTCAACGCAAACGAGAGAGAGTTTAACGTCCACTAGACACATTCAAAAGAGAGAGAGAGAGAAAGAGACTATAATTTAATGGTTAATGCTGGTCTGCCTCATTGACTTCATTTAAATGTAAAATATGTAAAATATGTAAATTCTATTTTATTTCTTGGTTTATATCATTTTGTTAGCATTATTATGGTTTTGTTACCTGTGAAGGGGTTTTAATTTCGGGATCATTGATATGGTTGGCTAAGATGTGTTGAATAGGATGAGATCCGACATATAAATGCCCTGTTTTCATATCTACGACTACATTGTCAGGAAACGAGTTGACTGCATAAACCTAAAATACATAATCGATCAAAGATATTAAAAATGCCATTACTCGAATTCATTTTTCTGATGACTCAGCACATGAATATATGTATGTACAATTTTCAGTTTTCGAAAGTAAAATTTAGGTATAAATTTACGATAACTGAACATTAACCGATTATATCAATCGAATAATAACTGATTATGTCAATCGAAATAATAACCGATTACATCATTGGAATAATAACCGATTATGTCAATCGAATAAACACCGATTATGGCAATTGAATATTAACCCATCAAGTCAATCGAATACTAACCTATCAAGTCAATCGAATAATAAGCGATTACGTCTATCGAATAATAACTGATTACGTCAATCGAATAATAAATGACTACATAAATCGAATAATAACCGATAACATCAATCGATCAATAACCTATTATGTCAATGAGAAAATAACCGATTACATCAACTGAATAATAATCGATTACATCAATCGAATAATAACCTATTACATAAATTCAATGATAACCGATTACATCAATCGAATATTAACCGATTACATCAATCAAATAATACCAATTACGATTGTTTCGAATAATATGACTACCCGAAGAGTAACTGTGCATAAAGTAATAGATTACTTTACATTGCATTTCTGAATAACTGAATATCCTAATATGTGTGCATTGTTGGTGTACGAGTTTTCTGACACATGCGCTGCAGATCGTAAGGTCTGTTATTAAGCTAGCTGTTTCCTGCCTAGTCTTTTACATCACAAAGGGTACGGTTGTCAGTTTTCAGGCCCTAAGTATAAGGGCATTAATGGAATAAAGACATGTCATATTCTAGTCCAGCAATGATATCTATTAGTATGTTAATTACAACGTACCTGTTTTATAATCAAATCGTCATTGGGTTGCCTTTCAGCTACGATGATCTCTTTATTCAAAAAATTACACACATACACAAACCTACAAAGATGGCTTCTTTCAGTTATTTCACAGGAGATATCTAGATAATTTGGATCTGTTTCATTAAATCATACAGATTCCTGCCTATCATCATCAACATATTTAAACAAGTATATCTAATTCTTATAACGTCAATAAATAATAGTCACTTTACCAAACTTAAGGTCCTTAAATGCAAAAAAGACAAGTTAGTGTATTCACAAGGAGAAGTCACCAGTTGTGCATCCTAACGGATCTGACGTTCCCAAGACAAAGTATTACCAGGTATAAATTTACGATAACTAAACAATAACCGATTATGTCAAAGAAACAATAGCCGTTTACATAAATCAAATGATAACCGATTACATAAATCGAATGGTAACCGACTACATCAATCGAATAATAACCGATTACATCAATCAAATAATAACCGATTATATCAATCGAATAATAACTGATTATGGAAAATATTAAGAATCTTTTTCGCTTTCTTTTTTAATATAGCAAATTTAGCGTAGTTCAACTATGCACTGCGTTTCCTAGAAATCCCACCTTACTAAAGTAATGGGCGGGGTGCTGAATGGTTAACTCGTTCGCGTAAAACCACAAGGTCTGTCACTGAGTCAAGTGGCGTGGTTTCAATTCCCTGCTTGTATGGTACAAGATGTAGGGTTGCCTGTCCAATCTCGGGATTTTCCGCATGTGATGAAAGAGCGAGGCCCCGTGTACACATTGGCGTGCAAGTAAAAGAACCACTGGCAGTCGGAGGTCGAAATAATAGTAGGCAGCCCATCTTCATTATCCCAGTCGGTGCAGAAAAGTGGGACGTTAAACTCCATTTCATTTCATTTGTTGAATCTTAAACCGATATTAAAATCTAACTTGCCTTCCGTCATTAGACATATATAACCCATTTGACATAGCCATGCCATCTAATACCACTCTGTATGTTTTACCATCAAAATATACCACTGTATTCCACGACGTTCGGCCTAGTATCTGTACCATCATCATACGTTGGCTTGGACCAGTGCCAAAATTGGTAAAATAAAAACTATTCTCTCCAGTTACTTGTACATCGTTGACACTTAAAAAATCAATACGACAAAGGGCATTAATACCAATGTACTCAAAGATGCAGTATGTAAGATTTAGATAAAGGGTTGACCGTTCTTGCTATAATAGTTCAAGAATAGATAATTCAAAATGAACACATTGAAAGTTTCATTCAAATTACTTTCTTCTGAGCGACCTTATCACTGTTTGAAGTTTTGATAAAGATTGTTTATTATCGTAGCAACGGTACTTGTTAATCTTCTCTCCATTTTTTAGGTAAATCATTAAATGGCGATCATATTTTAATCCGTTTTTATCGGCGCTATTCATTGGTCTAGATAGTTGACACGTGAATAAATGTCTAAATAATAATTTATAGAAAATTTGAAGCCAAAATAAAAACCTGCAATAGGTAGATTTGGCTTTTACATAATGCATCTTTAACATCTGATGCCACTTTCGTTTTATTTTATTTTTTTATGTTATGCTACAATTAGATATCAACCCATCCTAAATCTAAGCTGTCTCGAATTCGACTACAATACAATAAAATATTGCTAATTGGTATGCGCTGTCAAAGATCGTCTGGAGAGATTCTTGTATCCATTACGATTAATTGGGAGGAAAATGGTAAACAAACTTCTTATTACGTAAACCGTTTTGGCGAATAGCCTGGTAGGTAGTTATCATCACTCATCGGCTTCTATTATGTCCACGCTAATATTCGTTATATCGGGTCGGAGATAATTTAGGCTGGAATGATCGAGACTATAATGCAGGAGTAAAAATCAGAAAAATAAAACGAAACGAAATTTTAATTAAGTTGATAAACGACACCCCTCCTTATCTACAAAATTAACAGTAACATCGTATCATCACGATATCGTTTAATATGTTTATACTACTTACAGTAACATCGTATCATCACGATATCGTGTTACATGTTTAAGTTGATCTATATTACTTACAGTAGCATGGTATCATCACGATATCGTTTAACGTGTTTAAGTTGCTTTTTCCCAGGAATAAATTCAAACTTTTCAATACAATCAACCCCTAGTCGTTCATGATTCACCACAAACAGCGTTTTCTTTCCTAAAACAAAAAGCAGTTGATGTTAAAGGAGGCAAGTCTCTAACCCATTATCATCCACTGGCCACGACACTGCAAATGCGACTTATTGGTCAATTTAAATCAACATTGATGTTATTATTTTACCATGAAAGAGTGAGCTTCTGATATCCAATATTTAAGACACAATGAAAATCGGGTGCAAGAATGCTTCCGAGTGCCATTTGTATTGAAGCGACTCGATGAATGAAGCCAAACGGCTCCCACAGGAGAATGCTACCATTGTCGACTGGAATAACCAGACGCCAATGACTGTTATTTAATTTGGACGTATTTCGCCCAACATAACTGATTAGAAAATTTAAGTAAAAACAGAAATGATAGAATGTGAATCAGTTTATACGCATTCATAGTACATTATTATATGGCTGCGACCAATTTGTGTCCATTTCTATGTACAGCAATATATATAATTAATGCAAACAGTAATATTGGAAAAAGTTCTAAAGTTCATCTAGATAATGAAATATGAATCAAAAAATGTGTACGATAACTTCTTTGTCCTTATAAGCATTTCACATTCCCCATCAGTAATCTGGTTGAATACTTTATGGATATAATACCCCTTGGTTTATTACATGCAACGTTTGAATACTCTTACATGTATTTATATCTATATCTATATAACATTCGTTAAACCTTAATCATTACTAGTAATACTTGACTGAGAACATTCCTCTTGCTTTTCCAGCGTGGTTTCCACTTTTCAGTGGTGCAGGACTAGAGGCAAAAACAAAAGGAATTTAAACAAAAACTTTGCCAGTTGGAATTCAATTACTGCCGGGGCCCAATTTACCCATATTCCTGAAGCAATGACCCGGGAAATCCCTCTCTTGTAGTAGGATATTAGCTCTAATCAAACGAAACACTGCGGGGAGTATGAATTTACCCCCAACGCACACTGCCTGGCGTATGACCGTCTTTATTAACACGGTTGAAGTAGGAAGCAGAGCATTATAAGCACCATTTGATTCATTCATTTGTTTACCTGTTTTAGCATCCTGCCAGCCACTGATTCCGTGAGGTAAGAATCTGGACACATCAAATCCCCCATTACTTCCAATGACTTCCAGCTGCTCGACTTCCGCTTTATTCTTGTTGAAGTCAAATAAATACATTCTACCAATGATATTATATTTCTTTATATAAGCCCATTTGGTGGACGATTCGTTTTGTAGAATAAATCCCTTCAAAAAATTAATAAAATTTAAATAACCAGAGAGTAGTATGAGAGGTTCTGGACACCCGTCACATCTAAATATAAAATGGAATAAGGTTTAAGTCTGATTTCTTTGCACCGACTGGTCTAATGAAAACGGGCATACGCCATGCAGTGCATTATGGGGAACATTTTGCCAAGACAGTTCCGCTACGGCCTACTCTAATTTCGAATTCAAACTGTCTCGAGTTCTTTATCGTGTATGCCTATGTGTTTATGGGACCTCGGTTTTTCGTCCCATCCGAACGACTGGGAACTGTTCATTACTTGGACCTCCGTCCTCCAACTCTGACAAGGGGAAATCACGTGCTGCTGAAATCCCGAATCTTATTCACTGAGCAACCGCGGCTCCCACACCAAAATGTAGATATAGCCTTTGTGTAAATTTGTATTTTACAAAAACTACCATGACTAGCTGGGTTGCAGATTTTTTTCTGCATTAAAATATTAACCAACTTTCTATAAAATTATGATGAAGTTCGTTTGGCTTCTGTAAAACAATTAAATATAATATTTACCGATGTAACAAAAGCTAATCCATCTGGAAAAACGTGGAAATCTTCTGAACTCAGACCTGAGAAAAGACGATAATTAGATTATGTCAGTGTTACTAGTTATTCGGGCTACATTAAATACATCCAATAACAACTGTCGAAAGAGGCCAGTCGCTATTTGGGATACGGGGGGAGACCGATCGATGACGATGATTTTAAATATCGATATTGCCGACATGGTTGCCTATATCGATATTTAAAATCGGTATCGATTTATCGGAAAATTTGAAGTTAAAAGAAATAACTGTTTGTATGCTAATAATGCATTTAAATGTCTTATTGGTTATAAAAAAAACCTATGATCCGCAAACTCTGTTTTCTTAATGTTTGTTTCGTTCACAACTGGTCTGGTGGTGTTATTAACAAAAAAGTATTCGCAGCTTCCGCGCCCGCTATCAATCGCTATTGACAATTTTCCTCGGCCGCTTATAACAATAAATAAATTTCAATTAAAATCGAGTTATTTCCCCTGAACAATTAATTTTAAATTATTGTCATTGTTGTAAAATTACCATCGCGGTGTTTGTACCTTAGTGTGTGTTTTAGGACTTCTAATTCTGTCTTGTGGTTTGGATTGTTCGTATTTGGTTTTATTTTATTTAGTTTTAGCGTGTTTTGAATAATTATATGGCGGTGATTCTCCGACACAAAACATTCCGTTAATTTCATTTTATTAAAGCTCCTTTATTTTTTATACTAGTATCGATATCAAGAACTGAATATCGATATCGATATTTTCCCGTACCCGCAGTCGCAGACGATTATCGGCTATATAGATATTTTTCACCAGCCCTAGTAAGAAGGATTCGACATAAGGATACATATCCGAACCAGTGTCATATTCAGGACAACTATGCTGTTGCCTAGGTACAAACTTAAGAGGGGCAACAATTTTTAGTTTTTGACAAGGGGTGGTGTGGGTGTGGGGCGAGGGGTATATAAGTAGTTGACTCTGCTTATTACGTAGAGCCGTGGTGGATCAGTGAGTAGGAAGCCGCTCCTCTAGCCAGGGGGACACAGGTTCACTCCCGGCGTTGGTGAACAAAGTTCCTTGGGATTTTCCGACGTGATTTCCCCTTGTCATTGGTGCAGGACAAGGGGTTTGACAAGAAACAGTGTGGTTGGGGTGGGACGAAAACACGAGGGCCTACTGTTCTGCAGCGACTAGGCTAATAAAGGCGGGCATACGCTATACAGCGTGCTATGAGGGGAATTTTATCTCGGACAGAGCGCTACTGCCAAATCTAATATCAAATCCCAACCGTCAGAGGCTCTTTTACGTACACATCAATGTGTATACGGGACCTCGTTCTTTTGTCCCATACGGTCGACTAGAGTGATCACAGTGTTATCAAGTACACACATGGGTTAAAAATACCATCACACAAATAAGCATTACCTACTCCTTTAACTGGTTGACATGGTCCTGGGTAATGTTCATTATAATGTAGATGAAAACCCATCAAATATCTAAAATAAAATATACATCAAATAATAGTAATCTTCAACTGTAGCTGTTGAACTACATCATCTAAAAATAAGGTACCATTTTAAAATAACTCATTGTTCACAAATACTGCTATTATGAGGTACATTCTCCTCTGTAAGGTAATTGTATACCACATAGCTTATGGCATGGTCGTCCTAATTGTAAGAACTATGGTCGTCAAAATATTAATTCTAATGAGAACGTACTATTCAGCTATTTTCATTTGGGTCAGGTGGTCCGTATATTAAGTAAACAAAATCTGGAATTCACCTTTAATGTCAGTGTGTGATTTCGAGTTATCTGGTGTTTTTGTACCCAGGTTCTAGGTATCTGAAGTTTTTTCGGTTTCTAGTTGCCTAGTGCCCTGCTGTACTGCTGTGTACTTGCCCGCCCAGTGTATAATTTTCTGGTGTTTCTAATTGTCTCTGGTCTAGTTACCCGGTGTCAGTTGTCTGGTCTAGTTTTCTGGTGTCTAGTTGTCTCTGTTCTAGTTGCGGTGTCTAGTTGTCCCTAGTCTAGTTGACCGGTGTCTAGCTGTCTCAGATCTAGTTGTCCGGTGTCTAGTTGTCCCTGGCCTAGTTGTCCGGTGTCTATTTGTCCCTGGCCGAGTTGTCCGATGTCTAGATACCTCACGTCTAGTTGACCGGTGTCTAGCTGTCTCAGGCCTAGTTGGCGGGTATCTAGTTGTCCCTGGCTTAGCTGTCCGATGTCTAGCTGTCTCAGATCTAGTTGTCCGGTATCTAGCTGTTCCTGGTCTAGTTGTCCGGTGTCTAGCTGTCTCGGGTCTAGTTGTCCGGTGTCTAGTTGTCCCTGATCTAGTTGTCCGGTGTCTAGTTGTTCCTGGCCTGGTTGTTCGATGTCTAGTTGTCTCTGGTCTAGTTGTATAGCTGTCTCTGTTCTAGTTGTCTAGTTGTCCCTCGTATAGTTGTCCGATGTCTAGCTGTCTCTGGTTTATTTGTTCGGTGTCTAGTTGTTTCTCTATATAATGATATGTTTAGTTTTCCGTTTTCAGGTAATATGGTGTTTGGTTTTCTTATGTCTAGTGTCAAGTAATATGTTGTCTGGTTGTCCTTGTGTCTGATGTCAAGTAATCCAGTGTTTGGTTGTCTTGTGTTTGGTGTCAAATATTCTAGTGTTTGGCTGTCCTTTTTCTTGTGTCAATTAATCTAGGGCTTGGTTGTCGTTATGCTTTGTGTCAATTAATCCAGTGTTTGGTTGCCACTGTGTCTGGTGTCAAGTAATCTGGTGTGTGGTTGTCCTTATTTTTGCTTGTCTTGTGCCCAGTTGTCTCACTATTTGCTGTATGTACAGGTATATAAAATGTACTTACATAACTTTGATTAAATGTTGTATGACGAGCAGCAGCAATGTCGTCACAATCAATATGATCACAGTTCCAACTTTCATTTTTTACCATTTATTCTAAAAAAAAAAAGACTTCCATCGATCAGAGCTATATATCAAGATAGGCTGACCGCCAACCTAGGTCATGGTCGTCCTTTTGTTACCCAGTATGTCTATTTAATAGATAAATATTAGAACAAAACAAATATTATGACTGTCAGTGAAATTATAAAATCTCGCGACTATGACGAATTCTGCAGTTGGCCTTAATATTTAGACTTTACCATAGAATACAGTGGGTCGGAAGTAGATAATGTGTAAGTATCTGTAATTGCACAATTATAACCAATTATAACCGAGACGATGCTATACGCCTCATACCATCGACTAATTTATAGTTAAAAAAAGAGAGAGAGAGAGAGAGAGAGAGAGAGAGAAGGGGGGTTAACGACCACTCGACACAACCTAGGTCATTTAGGGACTAACCCATGGTTCAATTTTATTTCAATAATTCGCTTGCGAGTAGGGATCTTTAACAGAGGGGGGGGGGGCAGAGAAAACCCACGAGGTTGGGCAGGTGACCCTATTCCTGCTCAGTACAAGCGCGGAATCGAAACACACGGTACTTGACCCAATAACATACAAGACCCCGCCCCCTACCACCATACATGTACCTAGTGAATTCGATAGTTAAACAACTGTAGATATTAACATGAAATATTGAACAAGGTGAAATATTAAATCTACACTGGTCATCATTTGATTGATTTTGAAGTCCCTGGGAACCATAACATTATGAACGTTGAATCTCTGAATGTGTGAAATAGCCTTATTTAACGTCCGCTTCCACCGATGTGATACCGCAGACAATGAATCTCTGAAAGGAATATCCGCCCTAAATGGTCCAATTCTGTTCAGTATTAACAAACATGTATGATGAATTGACATCTTCTGCAGGCCATATAAACAAGTCAGCGCCACCTATAAGTGTTGGGTATATTATTTAACGGTTTGAATTCAAAGTACGGCTCATATTTTGATTTTATTATTTTTTTAACAAAACGTTAAAAGGAACAAATTTAACAGAACACAGTTATTATGGGATACAATCACTAGTTTTATTCTAAAGTATCCTCTTATCGTTATTAAGCACAATGATCGCTATATGCCACTTGTTCAACGTCAATATGGGGATGTGGCAATTAAGTGTTAAACCTAGTGATTGTTTCCCATAAAACCTGTGTTCTGTTAATGTGTTTGCCGATCGCTAAATGCCACTTAAAGGGACAATAACACTCTTGCTGGCTTGACAGCTCCAAGAAAAAAAATATTAGCCTTATTCTAAGTATTAGATGTTTAAGTGTCCTACCTGTTGTGTAAATTATGCATTACATCCTATTTTACTTGTCCAGAGGGCTCCAAAATATTTTTAAATCCTTGTCACATTTGAAAACGTTTACGTTAGGCTTTTCAAATCAATTAGTTGAATTTTTCCAATTTTTTAAATTAGGTGTGTTAAGATGAAATTTGTATCCTCAATTAATTGGAATATTATAAAATAGTACAATTTGTTGACCAGAATAAAGATTGGGACATATTACTCAGTTACAACAAGAGTGGTATTGAGCCTTTAAAGATTAGAGTACATCTGAGTACATTTTAACGCGGATTAATCTCTGAAATATTAAATATTGTCCGACTATGATTAGCAAAATAAGTTTCGTTCTGTTTTTGGGATTGACGTTGTTACATTCTGCATTGTAGGATTTTAGCTATAGACATGGGTCATTAAAATTATATACACACTATGCAAGAGTTAAATCTGCCTATTGCAGGTCTTTCTTTAGGCCTGAAATTTTTAAACTATTAATTAGACATTTATTAACATGAAAAGACCTTAATCAACTCTCGATGCCGTCCTGTGTGTTTGATTTTCACTGGATTTGAATCCGATCTGCTGCTCAACGCTCATTGATGATTAAATCCAAAAATGAATAATCGAGACTATGTGTTTTATCGTACCGACTTTATAGTAATGATAATCGAGGCTAGGCCTAAAATTCAATCGCTAAAATATTAATTCAGAGTAGAGCAATTTGACTGAAATTTTCAGCATATTCCCTTTACAATATCTAGTTTTTAACTATTATAGTG